AGTATATAAATTACGTAGTTTTAAATAAGAAGAGAATTATTACGTCAAAATGCGTTTCCAGCAACATTTTTATAACTTGATAAAAAAATATGATGCACACTGGATTTCACTGAACTGAATGTCGAGCTATTTAATGTGCTGAATTAGCTATTTATTAAAGTGAATTAGCCGATAAAACTAAACAAACAATCAAGCTATACATAATGCAAGATCAATGTATTATACATAGCTACAGTAAAGAATATATTTGAAGGATAATCAAAATATTTTGTCAATACCCACAATTCAAATAAATGGATCCGACATTGCATCCATATAAATGTCGCATTACAGACAGTTATTCCATCCTCGGCAAAAAATGTATGATTTGCAGCCTCCCTATGCGGAGTAATCCAAGCATAGGAGCAAATCATCTCCAACAAAGGAGAGAAGGAGATCCGCAGGCATTTTTTATATGCAACATAACTCGAACAAAACTGATATATCCATTAGGGGTGTATGTACGCGCGCGAGGACCTTGCCCGCTGGGGACGATATTCGTAACGCGTGTGTCCATTCGTATATATACTACTTGAACGCATATCGTTTATGAAGGCGCTAGGCAATGGTCCGCTGGGACACACTTGACCGGAAATATACGCAGAACCCATAAAAAAGACTTATGCCTTTATCGCGATTGTGTTCGGCCTCTGCTCGTGAACGTATGTACAGCGTATATTGGTGTACGCGCAAAGTCGTACGGCTTAGCATCGTAAAAACTCATGGTAAAAAAAAAAGCGCCAGTTCGCCATCGATTCTAACGGACGTGCGCCGCGCGAAGATGCGTGCGCGCGAGCGAGGCGAGGGGTGCTTGATAAACACGAAAAACAACGTCGTTGGAACGCGCTAGTCATCGTCGGCTGCTTTGATTAAGCTCTTTTCTTCTTTCTGCTCTCTTTCTAATGTCACTGGGCATCGATATTTCTATTTTATGGTATCAAATTAATGCGCGCGTTCTTTCAGTTCCAGAAGATTGCTTCTCATCGTAATTTTCCTTTTATAGCTTGTTATGCATTCTACATTAAAATCACTTACTTTTCTGCTGTAGCAAATGAGAAAAAGCGCCATCAATCAAGGCTTGGCACAGTCAATGCTGATTAATTCTATTATTCTTTTTAAATCAAGCAATTGAACGTAGTTGTGAAAAAAAAACAACAAACTCTTTCAATCAACGATTAAAACAGGCTATATTTCGCGTAAATGAGAAAAACGGTGTTCAGTCAACTAGCTGAATACATCGTTTACTCTTATCGTGTGTTATTTCTTTTTTAAGATGTATTTTCAAACAGTCATCTAGATCACTTTTTTTAATCGACAAAATAAATAAACGCGTAAAAACTGCAATTTAAAAATGAGTAAAACATGCTAGAAACACCACTCCAAATATTTAAATTTGTATCCTTCGGCTGCATTCACTCCCATACGACTTGCAAATAAGAAAATCAAAGGAAAAGAACCCTATACGTCGTAATATACATTTTTTTTCTTCGGCAGAGAGCTTGGATTTCTCGCAGGGTGCGACCAAGACATTGTTCAACCTCGGTCTCTTTACATGTACGCATATTCGCATGAATATTTGAAAAGCCCTTGAGCGTCCATGGTCTGCACATACCAAGCCAAACAGCAGCCGGTCGAGCCTCTCAGTCAAAAGCCCGCACTGCCTCTCGCTCGCTAGTCTCAGTATCGCTCAATTATTCAAGTCAGTCCCGAGGGACAGCTGCGAGAGAGACCTGTAGGTATGTACAACGTCTTCTTTCTAACTTTTGCTGCAGCCCTTGATGCGCATGGTTACAGCATCGTACGTGCTAATGATATGCACAGTGATTTTTTTTTTTTCACTAAGAACGCGAAACCCTTTGATTCTTTAATTTCAATAAACAGTAAAAGATGCACAAATGTTTGAATTGTTGGTAGAAACTTTTTTTCATTATTAAGCAAGCAAAGCATCTTGTTAATTCACACTTTCACTATAATGTAATTGTGTATTATCACTTTTTTGTTAACCCGCTTGAAAAATAAATGTAGTGGACAAAAACTTATATTATTGAAAATAACGAATAAAAATTTGAAGTTTATTATTACTCCCGCCAGTAATGTAAATTACGTACGAAAAAGTAGTTCTTCATAAAAATATTATGAACTTATTTGACGCAATAAATTAATAATTTCTTCCGGTGGAACTGATCTTACTTGAAACAGTACTTTGCTCAAGTCAATACACGTGCAGGATAAGATTTTCCTTACCCTTAAATGAAAAGGATAAAAATTCTTTTGCTTGGACAATATTTTTCAAACCATATTATACCGACCGACTCAGCGGGAGTTGAATACACTAGGCCATGATTTACCCATTCAAGGTCACGAATGCAATGGTTACAAAGACAGCAAATACCTTGGGTGGTAAGGCAGTTTCCTATATATTTAACGATCGATAGAGAGAAGGTCCGTTTCAAATTCACATGATAATATAGCTTTGGATATAACGGGATTCAATCGATGATTTAAAAAAAAATTATACAAAATTTTAGGAACTTAGCTTGATTTAATATATATTATCAGAACACTTAACAAAGTGTTTCCTAAATAAGTTTGAATTTCAGAAATTCGAAAAAAATCGTAGATTATTCTTTGATTGTGTATAATCTGACTAATTTGTAAATTCTCCAACAACTGTAAATAAAATATAGAATAATTCGATTTGTTAAAAATAAAATTACGTCCATTACATGAAAAAGAATTAAAATCATATATGCTATAATGGGCAAACGATAGAAAATATATATTAAGGCAAAGAAGAAAATAAGCTTGAATTTGAATTAACTTATCATAGTAGTAACGAATATTTGTAGCAAAAAAATTTGACGGTGGTACTTGACCATGACACAATTAGTTCGTGTTCTTACTCGCTGAAACAAGGAAGATACAAAGATCAATAAAAAGAAATGCTAATGACACTCGGCTAATGACTACCGTTGTATAAAATAATATAACGCAGCGGTAGCAGCAGCTGGTTCACCAAGTTGATTCTCATTCAAGCAGCATCCGCACCGACGACCCCTAGAGACACATCATTCGCGGAATCTGCTGGTTGCAGCTCGGTAGAGAGAAAGCGAGGAGATTCGGCGCGCCGTTTGGATTCCTGCACGCGTGTCTGTAGACGTATGAGACCGGAATACGACGATCGCGTTCGCGAGTGTGAGCTCCCTTATGCTTTCTTTTTTCTCCCTCGTACGCGATTACTTTCTTTTGCCCATGCTCGTCTTGCCCCCTGAAATTTAAATCTCATGCGATACACACGACGATCGCTCATTCATTGAAGCTTGCATTGCGTTTTTCAATTTGGCAAAGAACCAACTGTACCGTACCCTGCTGAAATTGCGCCAAAAAACTTGTTTTCTTAACACACACATTTATTTATTCATTTCTAATTTGCCAAAACTCGACAAGTTTTTTGAAAAGATTATACAAAAGATTTTATAATTGAAGATACGTTTGTAGTATCTAAAAAGGCCCTTGAATAAACGTATCTAGCGCAGTGCTATCCTTCAAGCCATTCTAGCCACTTGCACGCAAAAATATATCGGGACAGATGTGCATCCAGGACAAAGCTACTGTGAGATTATCGCGAAAACAAGCCGCACGAGAGAGGCGCGTGGCAGTGTTGCTTGTATACACGGAGCGACGGCCTCACCTTGGCGTGCGCCATGTGATGGGCAGATGCCCCGGTGGCGGGCGAAACGAGACGCTTAAAAATATACCCGCGATCGCCAGAAAGCCTCTGGATAGCAGGTGATGGCCGCTCGTGCGCGCGCGCCAGCCCAGCAGGTGGATCGGAAGTTTTTTTTTTTCATTTTCATTATGCGTGCTGCTGCGTAAATGTGCACGCGAAACTAATGCCAGGGGACCTTCGATAAGATTTCGAATAAGATCTCCATGTTTCAATCCACGCATTTTTTTTCATTCATATTTTTTGTGAAATATATACATGATTTACGTACATAATAATACATACTTTATCGCGGCTTGCATCTTTTTGTTTGTAATCATTATCTCTTCTAATTATATTTCTCTACTGTTATTTATTACTTTAATTGAATATTTTACATTGAACAGTTAGGATTCTAGTAGTAGTACATACCTATTACGCATGAAAAAATCATGCTGTTTGAAATGCACTACATATTCACTAATGAATAAAACTTGAAATTGCCTGGATTATTTCACAAAAAATCGATAACCTTTTACTTGTTTCAAGATGTATCAGAAAATTTATTCAAAGGATCAGTTAAAACTATAATTGATAAAATATACGAACTTATTACACTATTATACAATGCTATAAGCCTTATACATACTTAATAGCAGTGATTTTCTCCGCAGTCTTATATTAGTAGTAGTAATACATTTAATATTGTGGGTTTTTAAATAGCTTCGTTGAAAATACCCAAGACTATTGTTTAAATTTAATGGGCTTAATATTTTGATAATTAGTTTCCATTGCCTTCATACTCTCATTTTACAATGCACAAAAACTAAAAATGTAATTTGCTCTATTTTATTCTACTCACTTTCTCTCTTTTCCAATCATGTTTTAAGACAATATTAATTTCAAAATTTCAAATAAAATTCAAAATTTTGCGTTCTTTTGCCGCATCAATCAAAATTATGACGCTGAATGTTGGCAACTAATTATTTTTTAAAGATAGGATGTGTTTAAGTGGATAATTTTAATGCTGATCTATTATTTATATTGTTCAATTAAATAAAATTGAAATTACACTGTTTATTGTTAATTGCAGTATAAATGTATTGAACAAGCATTCTGTACTCCATATTGAGTTGTAGAAATCGCAATTATGAAATGAACATACTTATGGCAGATACTTACGCAAGAGACTTTTGTAGCCAAGCGATTACCAGCGATTATCAGTAGTTTATTAGATTCTCATACTCAGTGAATTTGCAGAAGTTGTGTTAGCAAATAAATCTAAAGATACAGTGTCAATAACAAATGCTTATTACAATGATGAAAAACATATTTATAAAATTAGTATATGAAGCTTGAAACCTCTCACTGTTGACATTTCATTATATCATAAGCTATAACAAAACTATCTAAAGTCTTGCGAATATACTGTGCATTTGATAACCTAAAGAAAAGATTTATAATGAGGTAAAATTAAATAAATTAGACTCGAATATTATTGTTACATCAAATTTAAACAGTACAGTAAATTTGGTGTTGTTATAATGTAAATAGCCATTCAGGAAAAGATAAAAAGATAATTATTGTTGGAGCTGGACCAGCAGGAATTGCTGCTGCTTCTAAACTGTTTGAAAGTGGTTTCAAGAACGTAAAAATTTTAGAAGCGGAAGATCGCATTGGCGGAAGGGTCTTTACAACCGAATTTGGCAAGTACCTACATTTCACCTTTTAGTATTATACATTAAATAGAATATTTAGATAATTCAAAGATAAATAATTTTTTTATGCACAGTTTTATTTATATCTAGTTAACGCTTTTATGGTGCCATACATTTACAGCTGATTTAAAAATAAAAATTATAATATTATTTTTCCTGGTAACATAATCAGGTAATTATTCTGTGGATCTTGGTGGCCAGTGGGTACACGGAGAGAAAAGTAATGTTGCATTCGAATTGGCTTACCCGCTGGGTTTACTCGAAAAACAAGACGATTGTGATGCGAAACACGGCTTGATATTTCTTGATTCAAAAGGGAACGATCTGAAAAATGATGTCGATGAAAAGATTCGAATTTTTTTTGATAAACACATGTCTGGAGAAGTATTTGATGAGAACGCGCCATACAAGTCGATTGGTGAATATATTGAGCAAAAGTAAGAACATTTTTATAATTTCATTATTTTGTATAAATTTTTAATGATTATGATTGATAGATTTGAAGAAGAATTTCAAAACGATTCCGAAATTCTGTACGACAAAAGTAAATATCTGCACCACTTTGAAGTGAATATTCTGGGTGGAAAACCAGCAAAAACTTGGAGAGATATCTCTTTAATAAATCATGAGGCTTTCAAAGATTGCGAAGGAGATAACAGGATCAATTGGAAAACGAAAGGATATTCAACGATTTTAGATATCTTAATGGTAATTGTCCAAAAAATGTATCCTATTTCACGGTACAATAATTTTGTCGTCTTCTCCATTATTTTATAGAAACGTTATCCAAATCGTGAAAATGAACTCCCAGTTATTTGGAACACTGATTTGAATTCTGAAGTCATATCCATAGATTACTTTGATAATTTCGAGGGGTCTTTAGTTATGATTACGACGGCGAAAGGAAAAATTTATAAAGCTAATCACGTTATAGTTACTATTCCACTTGGAGTTTTGAAAGAAAAGCACAAACTGCTTTTTATACCTCCATTACCTGAAAATAAAGCAAAATCTATAGAAGTAAGTAATTGACGGATATATCGAATAAACTTAAAGCTATAAAATGTAGTTGAAGTAATGATTTTTCTTTCTATTCAGGCTCTTGGCTTTGGAAATGCTGGAAAAGTATATTTACTATACGACAAACCCTTCTGGCAACTAGGCGATAAAACCTCAATGCATTATGCTTTCATGTGGAATGACGCCGAAAGAAAGGCGATCGAAGCAGAAGTAAGCCATTTTCCTATCACGCAACAACTGTCTTTTTTCAAAATTCAAAATATGAGTAACAATGATAATCTTATAGCCAGAAAAAATGTGGATGTTGGGTACACCAGGAGCAGTGACTGTGGAGCACAAACCCAATTTATTGGAATTGTATATCGCTGGAGAATACGCAAAAGTAATGGAACAAGTTGCCGAAGACAAAGTGTTTGCTCAAGCTCAAGAACTCATTAAACAGTTTATGGGAAAGAAATTCGATGTGACAAAACCCATCTCAATGTTGAGAACACAATGGCAAATGAATCCTCATTTTAGAGGAACGATTAGTTATCGAAGTGTAGAAACGGAAAGCAGAAAGGTTTACCCGAACGCGTTAGAAGAACCAATAACACTGGATAATTTGGTGAGAAAGCCATTAATTAAATTATTGCATTGTATTATACAATGCTACAATTACTGCTTGTTCAATATCTCGTTATTTTTAGAAAATTCTATTTGCTGGCGAGGCAACGTCGCAGCATCGATATGCAACTGTCGACGGAGCTATAACATCAGGCTGGAAAGCTGCCGACAGATTAATCAATTTTTATGAGAATTTATCGTACAACAAATAAGAATACATTTTTTCGCGAATGAACTCGTACGACGTTCGTTGCATAATCGCAATCCAGACATTATCGCCTTCTTTCCCGTTTCATTTATATAAACTTATCTATCGCGCTATAGTGTGATATATTGCTTTATAAATGCATGCGTGATTAAATAATAAAATTCCATAAATACTCGCTGCTCTGTAAATGTCATTTTAATTAAATTTTGTGGATATATATTTGGAGGCAATATATTTTGTGGATGTATAGATAGCGTATCAGTGGAAGAAACCACTTGAATAAAGTAAATTTCTTTTCCATACCGGAACTTCCGATTCCAACGAATTAATTATACGTTTGACTACTCATGCTTGGGAAATATTTAACAATCCACGATAATGCTCCTAGACGACGGCAAGCATTCGAAGCGCGAATGATATCGCGCGGTCAGTGCGCATCGCGGACAACTTGGTATTCATTCGGCAGAATTATTCCCTGCGTCACGGAGGCGACGATAGGAACGCGAGCGACGGCGTCTGGGAAAACTCGAGGGGTAAGCATTTCATCGCGAGACAGACGCAGTACGTAAACACGCCTGATGGCAATGATATAGACGGTGGCACTTGGCTTTTCAGCGCACGTATAAGGAGTACACGGTTCGTTTATACGAGTGTGCGCATTAGCTTTGTTGTAGACAAAGACTCTGTGTCAGCTCCTTCTTATTTCGAATTTCCCTTTGAGTCCGTGTACATCGCTTTCGATTCGTCATTGACACGTTGAACACGATCGGGAATTCGTAGTACACGCGCGAACGTCATTACTCACTACCTAAAGTGTGTTGAATTGTAATATAAATGTAGTTAACTTGAACTATTAAAGCTTTCACGATGCTTGTTCAAATTCAACCAACGATCATTTCGGAATAATTTAGGTTCAGGCAGGAAATCGGGTTAGCGAGTGCTCAAAGTTTATCTTACGTTTTATTTATTTAGATTTTTATCGCATGTTTAATATATATAAAATAATATATAATAATATATATAGTAAATGTGAGCGCAATATTTCCATATATTCGTCTCAATACACAGTCAACCACAATAATTTTCGTATTACACGAACTCGAACTTTCGTACCCATAGACAACCCCCGAAATATCTCTGTCTGTCTTTCCAAAGACTAACACCACGCAAACCCGCATTCCAGAGAGACGGACGGCTATATAACATAGCGATCCTCGAATTTTCCTTCAAACGCGAGGCCATGTATCCGCGAAATCACTCGGCCGGGATCGGATGGGCCGAACCAATTCATTCCTGAGGCGGTTGGAAAGAATGTTCCGGGAGGCCTCGATGCAACAATAGGGCGGAGACGAACGGCGCGCCGAAACGAAACTTCAATGGTTGCGCGCACACGCACAATGTATGAGAGGTCCTTTTCCCGGCACGGCTTCAAGCGGCTTCCACGAAAATCCAGAGGCTCCGATTTTTCTCTGCTTTTTATGCGAGAGCGAGCTTCTCGTGTGCGCTCGTAGGTTGTATACGCGCGAGATTTGAGAGATCGAGAATTTTCTGGGTACGGGCAAATTAGGATAGAATGCAGATCGCTACGAGAAATGCTGCTGGTCCGCGTGTGCGTCACCTATGCAATCTGCTTTTCATATAATTTTCAGAATTGGACAAATTTTATTTTCTCACATTTTCTATTGTTTTAGTTGATTTTTGGGTATGAGTATTATTATAAGTCATCGTTCTGATTCATATATCATTCGTAATATTATTATATAGATTTGTGCTTCAATGAGTTTAGAAGAATGTGCAACATGTCACCGGCATATCACTACCAGTTTTATCAAATGAATCCATCAAACCGTTTTCGCAAATATCTATTTAATTATCACGCATGGTTTACGTAAGTAGACGATTAAGGATGACGATGCTCTGCAAAGAAATGAGCGCTCGCATATATTTTGCGGAGCAGCAAAGACACGAAAAAAAAATGATGTTTGGGACATAAGGAGGCCCCCAAAGGCTGCGTGTGACTTTAAATTTGCGCTTGTGAAGAATCTGTTCCGACCAAACTGGTTTCGAACGGCAATTAATTCGATCTGACCCGCACGCCTGCTTGAGAACCAAAGCGAATGAGAGAAAAGGATAATGTATAATAGAGAGAATGAGGCAAACAGTAAGTAGGTAAAAAATATAAAATAAGAAAAAAATTATGTGGTTTCCAGTCCGAGTTTTGTGTTTTAATTGACGATATTTTCCTTATTTCCTGTTTTGTAAGTTCAGATTGAATATTTAATGCGATTGCAAATTAAGAAATACATCGTTGTAGATATTTAATATTTATCACTTATCGAATAAAATAATTCATAAAAAATATCGTATAAATTATTGATCAAATTTGTATTTAAAAGAATAATTTATGCAAGGTATTTTTTGCACTGGGAGTGGGGGCAACTGCGAATTATAAGGACGTCCTGAGGATACGTGTCGCGTCTCCTCGTACTTTATCAAGAATCCCTTATTAATGTCGTTCGACGACCTGTGCACGAATGTTGCTCAAAAATCTCCAGCATTGGTGCGCATTTATCAAATTACTAGGCACTTGCTCGCGAATGAATGCTTCATTTAAAAATTTAATGATGCAAGAGATTTTTAAGGTGGAAAATACTGCAATTTTCGACAGTGATCAGCAATGACAGAAAGCTGTACGTTACGAATTTCTCGTTTGAACAAACTACTCTACAATTAAAAAAAATCTTATCTATAATTAAGATATGACATTTGAATTCAAATTTATACGGCTTATTTATTTTACAAAATGATTTCAATGATCCTAAAAAATTAGCTTAAAGCGGCTGAGAATCTATTTAATTCAAAGAAATTTGCGGCATTTACATAATTTACTCGTGCATTTGTTAAAAGGTGGATAAGGCGGTACAACATGAACTCATCGTATTTCAATCGAGATTGTAGCATCCCAAGATATCGATAACGCGTGGTCAATTAATCACAAAGCGCGAAGCAACGATGAAAAAAAACTTGTTCGCTTCCAGCGATGATTATCGTGCGAGTAGTCCTGTAAATTTAGCGAATTAACAACCACTGTTACGCGAGCGAGCAGCAGAGCGTCGATCGATGCCGTATAAAATTTCAACAGGTAACAATGAGAAGGGCGAGCATGCTAGAAACTCGATCTACAGAGGCATGCATATACAGCAGCGCGTCTCATCAGACGTTAGGCGCGTGTGCGACATCGTCCAGACTTTGCTTGCTTCACTTTGACGTTTGTGTGCGTCTATGCCCTCGACGAAAGGTGTGCACTCTTGAAATTCTTCCTAAATTAGATTTGCTTCAAGAAGGGTTTAGATGTTAAAATAACTTGTGGGCTTCCTGTGGCGTCCTTGAAGCGTTGTTCACGTGTCGTACACCCCACAGAAATTCCAATTTAAATACTCGTTCACTTTTATTTCCTTTTCTGACTCGATCGTATCGGCTCGTATCGCAAGATGTTTAATTAGTAAAGAATAAAGCCTCAGAAGCTAAATCTCACTGCAAAACAATCATTTCTCAATGATTAATAATATTTTCCAAAGCTACCACTCGAACAAACCGTCGTTCTCTATTCAACCCTCGGCATATTTTAAAAGCCACGGGAGATCAACCCCTTCCCAGCCGAGCCAGTTAAACTCGTGCGCGCGAAAATTCCGGTTACGACGGTTACTTAGGTATCTTAGCAGCCCTTCGACCCAAAACGTCAAAACGGTTTCTCTATCTCTCTCTCTCTCTCGGCGAAGGAAGGAGGCTATGTAGCTGCCGGCTGGTTCTCGAGGGCGCGTGCCACGCGGCATATCTCGCATCTGCCCCGGCGAACGAGCACACATACATTGAAAAACGCTTCCGCAGGAAGCAGTCAGACCTTTTTTAGGCCACGCGCGCTACGTGCGAGGGGGGAGCCTTACCAGCCTTTCCAACAGTTTCGAGGGGCTGCAACTGTTGCTGCAGAGTGAGAGGCGCTGCGAGGCTTTCCTACGAGAAAAAAAAAATCACGATTGGTGCGTGGCTGCCTATGGATGTGAGACTGCGGTTACAATTTTAGACAGCTTGTTATCTATCGTGTTAAGTATATATTTCGCTTATCGAGTAAGCTTTTTTTGCTAACGAGTTTCCATTCGATGAGATGGAGAAAACTACTCCGCTTGATTTATAGAATCGTTTTTGAATTAATTTTTTATTGTGTTAAAATTATCCCAGAAAACATATAGTCTCGAACACGTATAATAATTGCGTAAGTTTTCACTTCGACAAACCTTAAAAAAATGATTTTAAGAAAACCTGTAACACAGTTAGGCTCGTATTTACGCTGCACCAACACTCGTCCGCAGTCGACTAATTAAACACAACCCAGCAAAACTGGCCACGGAGAGTCGAAAGAAAAAAAGGCTTCTGCAAACAAGCGCGTCTCGTCGAAAAGTCGTCACCGAAAGCCAAACAGGCGAGAGGCCATTGACAAGAGGTGGAAAAAAAAGGAATGGCGAATAAAAAGAAGTAGAAAAGCATGGAGAGCGAGAGAAAAGAAAAGAGAAGTCGGTACGCGGAGAGAAACTCGTAAATTACTCGAGAGATGCGCCCTCGCACGTTAGTAATTGCGGGGACCTCCGAAAAATACGTTCGCACGTATACACGTACGCGCTCGCAATTACCGGTGAACACGTGAGACAGTTTTTCGGATGCACCTCGCGACAACAATCGTGATGCATGCGTGTGCTTTGGTATCCTGAGGATTTCTTTCTGTAAGGGATTTTGCATCGCCTGCCTTGTGTATCGTTTTTGGCTGTCGCCGGCATTTAATGGAAACACCCAACTTAAATTTACAAAAAATAATAATACAAAATAGAACTTGAATTTGTAAATACATATTTTTTTGCAACCAAATTTTTATATTTAGTTACAATTGACAACTTTTCAATTGATCATCAATGGAACCAATCCAACTAACTGACATTAAGTTCTTTGTGAATTACAGGACTTTGTAGTTTTTAAACGGAGTCCGGAGAAAAGTTTGCAGTAAAAATAAAACCAAGTTAGAGACGAGGTAACGAAACGGGACAAATAAATCGAACTCGTCGCTAAAAGAAAGGAAGCGACGGGACAAAGGCGTCCCCAGAGGAAAAGGCGTAAAAGAGGAAAAGAAGAGAAGAGTTTTTTTGCATCAGTCGCGTTTCAGCTTTACAATATGTCCTATAGTCGATATCTAAAAGGTTTAAAGGGTCATTGCCAGTTGTATTCGCTCACTTCTTTCAATTTTTTCAGCTTTCTGTTATATTATACTAAGCAAAATAAATATTGTTTTGATTGCGTTCAGTGCAATCATTTAAAAATGAAAGTACAAATTACCAAAGACACTCAGAATGACATGGACAAGCGCAAATCTGTCCACCCCTAAAGCCACCGAAAATTCTCACGCAACCCTAGTTAAAATTCGCGAAGCTTTCTTATTACGCAACCGTCATCACTGTTGAGAAAAAAAAGGCCTTCACTGAAACACTCACAATAATATACGAACTACCCTAATATCCCTTGTCCCCACCACCAGCATGTGAAAGGGCCTTTATCCTCCATCTCTCTCTCTCTCTCTCTCTCTCTCTCTCTCTCTCTCTCTCTCTCTCTGTTTCTCTGTGGGTTCGCCGTTGGTAGCGCTCAGAAAGAAAGCCGGGCGCAGGTAAGCGAGTGGCAGCTGCCGGGCCTGTTGGTTCGCTCGCTCGCTCTCTTTCTCCCCCTCGTGTGCGTCCGGCATCAGCAGGCACACAAGCACAGCAGGCTGCTGCTGTTGCCGCTGCTCAAACGAAATTAGTCCCGGCGCAACTGTCGCGCGTGCAACATGCTTGACGCCAGAAGCAAACGCCTGCTCATCGGTATGAGTTCGTTGTTGTTCGCGCAGTGATCTATTTGTGCATTGCGTTTCTCGGAGTTGAACGAGTGTTTGCACGAGTGATCAAGCGACTTGCGATTCGACTACGAGTGAAAAGTAGAAATGATGTGGCTGAGAGCGTTAACGATAATCAGCGTGGCCGCGCTGGCAGCCGGCGACCTGATGGACCTCTACGTGCAGCACATGGACGAAGTGATGCGCACGCACGAGTATAAGCGAGAGCGGGCGCGTACGGCAGCCGCTGGCTCGCAAGCGCTGGATATTCGCCGGCATTTCGAGCGTCGACGCAGGCGTAGTGTCCTCGAAGGCCCAATGTTTAGGGTTGCCGATTCGCCACGGCAGAGTCTTCATGACGATTTTCAAATGAAGAGTAAGTTCGTGCTCAAGTGGAATTTATCATGTTTACAGATGCTTGCTTTGCAATGGTCTGCAATCCTATTTTACGTTTTCGTGTTTTTCCAAACGACTTGACTACAGGTTACAAATACATGCTCGATTGTAATTTCATTGATATTTTCGCATTCTATCTCTTATTTGCCAATTTGATAGCCACCTAATATATCAACGTTTCATCCGCATTTATACCAGCACTAACGGTCTAAATGGTGTATGGTAATTTTCATTCGATTTCAAACAACTTTTACAGTACACATATGAGAAATAATATAAAATATAACATTCCTACGGAGTGAATATCAATGAAATCAGCTATAGCCGGAAAATTCTGAAAACCGCGATAAACTTTCGTGATTGTTCGACGATCTAACTGACCAGTATCGTATTTCTTCTTTTCCAGATGCCAGTCATAAGAAAAAAAAATTTTCCCATGTAAAGGACGCTCTAGATTTTCCCACCGTGCGCGAAGATGACTATGACGACGAGAACACCTATGCCACTGCGGCGGAGCGCAGAGAGCCAGAGAAATACATCGAACCGCAGGTAGACGAGTCGACTTTTCCGGCAAAGAGCGCCCGCTCCTTCCCCAAAAAATACAGTCGTGAACGCAAAAAGGTTGCGTTTGCATTGAATAAACGCAGCAAACGTAGCGTTGGCTTTGCAAGATACGAAGTATTGGACGAGGACGGTGATGTGATTTTGGAGTGGGACCCAACAGACGACGAAAACGTCACCTTCCGAGTGACAGCCAAGACTCTGGGTTATGTTGGACTTGGTTTCAACGACAAGAGCCACATGATGGGTGCTGATATAATTCTCGCTTGGGTCGACGATCATACCATGATTCCAACGCTCCTGGTGAGTTGATAATTGTTGGTGCCAAGTCAGTAGAAGAACCCAATCATCGATATAAGGGGAAACGAAAACAAATAAAAAGCAGCGTTGGTCATTAGGGCGTTACAGTCGTCGATAAGCGCGCGCGATGAATGATGAGCGCTAAAGTCGCACGTGTACGCGTGTTATTAATACTAATAACGAGGGACTCTCAGTGAAGAACGCGTGACGAGAGATTAGCCTTTCCTTTTCCGCTCGATTCTATCGTGCTTGCGGCCTGCTCGTTGGCCGATCGACGTAAAGATTGACCGATTGCTTTTTGATAAATGAATGGGTGTCTGTTAACAAGCTCCGGACATCAATAACCTGAATCTCCCATTCGCATATCTTTGATAACAAAAAAAAAATGTATAAATACATAAACGATGCACGTGCAGACTACAAAAAATGACTTGCTCAAGTTCAATTAAGAAGGTGCACTCGCGGGTACAGTAACTCGAAGTAGTTCTCACGCTGTAGCTTTTTTTCAAGCCAAATCCAAACGAGAAATGCAGCAGGCATAAAGTAATTATATCGGGCATAAAACATTTGTCCCATAAATATCCAGTTGGGCCGATAAATAAGCCCACGAAAAATTCACATGACGTTTAATTCAGCGACATATCATCCGATTAAATACTCGTTTATAAAACTGCACGTGCACGAAGCTACAAAATTACAGCAGTTTTTTATATATATACATGTATATTCGGCGTGGAATATATACGAGCGAGAGCTTCGAAAAAGGGCTCTTCCCTTCTTAATCTTCCTTTAATTCCTTTATCAGTCCGCTTGACTTTTTTCCCTTCTCCTCCCCGTATCCTTCTTTCTTCAGAGCTTGTTTCAATACCGATCGTTTTTCTCTCTTAAAAAAAAGAAGGAATCCGCACAAGTGTGTGGGTCGGGCGACCCTCTCTCGCGAAATTTCTTTTCACTAGATCGATGCCGAGATTTTTCAGAGGCATGCGGTTTCTATCCTCTCTCCCTCCGATACTTCTTTTATCGTGTTTAATTGCTTCTCTCAGCGCGCTTTCGGCGCGACCCTTACATATACGCCGCTGCCGCCTCCAATTGATTTATACCTACATATATTCTTACTATACCACCGCATTACTGTAGATGCCATTCATTATGATTTGCTCGATTATCTAATTCACTGTTGGGTAGCTTTTTATTTCATGTCATTTGATGCACAATTTTTATAAGCTAATCGAGTTTGTCACGTGAGAATAATATTTGACAATTTAATTTATTTAATTTCTCAGCCTGTTTCGCTTAAAGACAAATTAATGCGTCACACTTAGACCACCCTGTTGTAGGTTCGGCAAGTACAATTCAAATCATTCGCAAATCTTCAACGCAATTCAAATTTACGGCGATTTAAAATTAATTACTAATCACTCTAGGAACATTCGAAAAAATTGCACGAAATTTCAACGTTGAAAAACCACTATAATACAAGCCAATTTCATTTGCTTAACAAAACATTCAGGCCAACTCGTTCAAAAAACCAGCCGTCCGAAAACCAGATCAAACGCGCAGACTGAACTTGAAAAACACGAGGCAAACGTGTCAAAAGATTAGCCAGTTAGCAAGAAAAAGATAGCGCGGAGCCGCATGGGTCTGGCGACGCATACGAAATGCGCCGAGCGTCCAGTTTTTGATGTCTCATTTCACAAGCCTGCATTTCTAATGTGCGCGCGAGCGTGCGTGTGTGCAGGAGAGATCGAGATCGATCGCCTTGAGCTCGAGAACGATCCTTCATTCTTGCACGGACTGATGGGACGAGAATTTATCGCGACGTTATCGCACATGGGACGTTCGTTAATTTTGTGTTGTAGCTCGGTTCGCGAACCTCCTTCTTTTTTCCGTTTGCTTTTTTCATTTTTGCTTTTTGTAAGGCCGGGGAGGGGAGATCCTTCGACGAATGCTTTGTGGGAATCCTCTTCCTGTGAGAATTTCTTGACTGCTATGTAATTAAATTTTATTAGGATTTATTACTTGCAACTGGTGATCCCAAAATGAGGCTTAATATGTCTATAGATAATGATGATTCTAGTCAATATTGTTTTACAATTTCCTTTCACATAGATTAGATTCTTACCAAAAATTATATTTGGAAAAAGTGAAAGCTATTCGCTACGATTCAAATAATTTTTATACTATCAAAGCGTAATTTTCGTAATGACATGTCAATGACTAAAGTACTAAATTAATATGATTTTATATACAAGAAAATTTTACTTAAATCAAACTGTTATTTCGATAAATTAGTAAAAAATATCAGAAAGATATATTTTTCATCAATTCATAGACACAAATTTATGGCATTGAATTGTACTTAAAAAAAATTATTTTGCCGACTACAAGAGAATATGATGAGAATATCCCCCCTCCTTCCCCTGAACAAATAAAAAAATAAATATCGTTGAAACCGGCTGCGTATGTCGCCCGAAAATAAAACGAATATTCGGCAGATAAGGTTAATGCAAGCGATCGTAAGATCACCCAAGGGTGATTGTATTAATGAGTGCTCGTTAATTGGCACCCGCGCAAAACAATGGATGGGCGCCGTTTTGGAGGGGCGCTCGATCGAGCGAAGAACTTGTCACTCTCGATTCGTGGCTGACCCTTTTTTGCCTGGTCATCACTCTGTCTTGCTTCTCGAGTGAGTTTTGCGGCTCATTGGGCGGCTTTTCACGCTGGGCTCGCGCGCAGTTATGCGGGGTGACTTTACACTTCTTGCCGAGGTTTTTGAAAGCTCTTCTCTTTACTCTTTTTTTGCTTGTGGCATCAGCTTCTGATGTAATTACACGGTTAATGATTCTGGCACTTGTCTCGAAATTGAGTTATTTTTGCGTGAATGTTTCATGCGGAAAAAAATTTCTTAATTTAATTTACATTTGTCTTATTTTAAAACCAGAATGCGTAATGATTTTTAGATAATTCGATGGAAATTTTCATTAAACTTTTACAGAAATAAACGACATTATTAGAAATTATCTCGGTAGACTTAGAAAATTTTAATTTATCAGTACTAAAATTTAAAGTAAGTTAGAGAAAGTCATTATCGAAGCAGCATCATCAAAACGACTGTCTCCAAACAATAATTTATCTCGTTCTATAATCCTTCAAAGATCTCGCCCGCACAGTCGAAAAAATATAAATCATCAGTCAACAAGCAGGCACAGGCGCAAAAGTGATCTCTCTTCGCGCAAAAAAGCAACAACGAATTCCCACAATTCGTCCTCTAGCGTGCAATCAAGCAACAGGACTTTGACGTCGGTTCTGCGAACGCGATCTTCGAAATCTGTCTGGGCAAGCTATAAAGACGATTTACGCGATAGCCATGTGTGTCTGTGTGTGTGTGAGTCAGATAGTCCAGGCGCGGTGACACAGGACGAGATTCCAAGCAGCAGCAGCAGCAGCGCATGCAGGACCTGGCAAAATTTTTAATTGGAATCTCGAGTGAGAGAGAAGGTCAAACAACTGGCAAAACCTGCTCTCTCGACACTTCTCAGAATCCCTAATCTTAATTAAATTTATTTCCATTACGACTGCACCTGCAGACTGAGAGGTGACGATTGTTCGTTCGTGTATCATATATTTGTTCCCCTCTTTTGTGCAGCTTTTATTTATCTTCTTAAGCGATATTTCACTGATTGCCTCGTTTATTTCGGGACTCAGCCGACGAGACAAAAGTGAGAGTGCGACTGCAAGATTAGGTTATTTCGGTAGAAGTGTTGAAGATTATACCCGCCGCTCGGCAATTAGGACTGCATTAGTGCTTGTAAAACTCCTTCTACCCGCGCACATCAAAGCCTTCTTAAAATTATAATTGCAGATGTATGTGTGTTGCGAGGTGCACTTGGAAATTTAATTAGCATGACGTTGCGAAAAGTGATAAACAAGCATCAAATTTTATTCTGCCTCGAACAGCACGCGAACCGTCAATTAGCCAAGGGTCTTTCTGATCCAACCATTAACTCATCACATTTTGCCCAGCAGCAGCTTCTAGTCCCCTCGTATATATTTATATGCCACATCCTTGCGGATCGACTGAAATCTGCTCCTTTTTACGAACGATAAAAGCTAACGTGATTGCCGGTCCTGCCTTAAGGCTTCGTGGCTTCTGTTTTTAAATTTGCTACTGTGGCTCGGCTTATGCAATATACCCCGCTATAAATCACCGATTCTTTCCAAATTTCATGCTCCACGGGATTTATGCACGAGGAAAAGAAGTATACCTTTACGAGAGAGCAAAAAAATGCTGGAAAAAATGTTGCCAATTTTAGATGAAATGTGTAGACGACTGTTTTCTGACACAGCTCATTTCCCAACCAATATGAAGAAAAGTCGGTCGTTATTCAATCGAAAAAAGCGTCGCAGCATACCACTAATTACACTTGACAGATGATTTACGTATTTCGTTTCACACGTAAGTGACATACGAATCTTCTGTTCAAAGTAAAACCAGAAAAGAAAAAAAAAAAACGCTGGACGCACATATAAAAACGTATTACGCAAGAATACATGTTCTCGTACAGAAAACTGGCCCCCTCAAGGTCTTGAGACGCACGTTTACCACTTCTCGTCTCGTTCGAATGCTCGGAGAGAAGCCCCGGAATTGCTTTGGTTTGCGAGCACGCGGAGGATACAATTCGCGAACGGATGATACTTTTTTACCTGCGGCGTGCACCTTCTTAAATGTTGGCCCGTACAAGCTCGGCGATTCCGATCGCGTTTCCATCGTGTTCGCTGCCCGTATAGCGTGTGTTTTGCATCGCCGATATCATTCATTATTGTACTGTTCCGTAGGCGGTCTTGTACGCGCGTCAGGTGAGTTGAACGCACACGTGCAGTCCTCCAAGCGCGTACGCGTTGCGCGTCCGCGTATTCTTCTGTCGAAGGCGCACTGCCGTTGATTTACAGGCATTCTTCGATTCGCGCGGCGCATCTGCCCTCGTAAACGGATGATCGATGAGCGCGAGTCGAGGAAGCCGGCCGATTGTCGCCGCGAAATCCGAAACGGAAATTCGGGGGAATGGTGCGTAGCGCGCCGTGGAATTGGCCTCGGGGAGCACGGGGCGTGTGTCGAGGGTCGAAGGAGCCCCCATTAGCATACCGAAAGGGACGATGCACAAGCGCATATGTGCCGGCGTAATCCGCGTACGGCTATGCTCGATGGGAGCACGTGGAAGAGCGACGTTGTATAAACCGGTTAAAACGCGACGTGCAAATCATCGAGTATTCAAGTGTACGTGGAGCTTTGCAAGGGTGCATTACACGACCTGTTTGTTCGTCACTCTGATCCGACTCCTCTCCGTCGCATCTGCTTATGCGGTTCAAATTTCTTTTCTCGTAGTGAGCTGAAGGATTTGATTCACTGATCAACTGTGGCTTGATCGACTGTGCAGGTGTTTCTTTTTCGTGGTTTGCATTCGAAATAGGAACCCTTATTGGTTTTATGAGAAAGTTTTGCGTCCTCGACAAGTTTCTATCGGATATTTGTGTACTTCGATTACTAGATGATAGTCATGAGTGTATGGTTTCATATGGTTTGGAGAAATCGAACAAGCGCATTTAAATTAGCGATATCGTATTATGAGAAATGTGAAAGTTTGTTACACATACCCTGAACAATATCAGCGAATCGATACTCGCCAGCAGAACTTCTTAACGAGCTCGAAAATAAAAAGCGCAGATCTTTGCGAAAAAGTCTACGTATGAGCTTATGCCGATTGGAACTCTACTCCTAATTACTTAACAAGCCAATTATATGAAATTAGCGATTTTGCTTACGATAATATATTCTTCAGCAATTACGCTATTGTGGAGCTTTCTTGTGCTCAACCCTCATGTGCAATCGATGATGTTCAACTACAAAAGCAAATGAAAATTGTAACCATGCAATAAAAACGTGCAATAAAAACAAAAGCAGCGATTTTCCAACAAAGAAGTCCACGATGATAAACTCATCCGTAAAAATAACGATCTCATTTTCCACGAATGAAGATTCGCGTCCGCGCGTCACCCCAAGCGAAATCAGCTCAAGGCTAGACAATTGATGGAACCGAGCAAGTGAGGTGGATAAAAAACGAGCGCGCGCACGCGAGTCGTTGCTTCTTTGGCAGCTCGATGGCAATTAGGAAACGAAAGAAAGAGAGAGAGAGGGAAAGAGAGAGAGAGAGAAGCGCGTCACTGTCTCGTCTCTCTTTCTTTCTCGTCCCTTGTTGCGGGAGGCCTTAACCATCAGTTGCCCCCCTCGAGCCTATGGTCATGGTCCGGAACTTCGTGCTTCTGCTCACTTTTTTCTCCTCTCCTTTGGGCTTCTTATAGACACTTTGACGTTTGACTGCAAGCTCGTAAAAAGCGAGAATCATTTTGCCAAAGGGCTGTCGAGTAGTGACTGCAGTAATTACTCGGAGGTACTAAACAGTCGCTTGGCGAGCATTTATTAAATGACAAATTGCAATAATACGGCTTTTTCTTTTTTAGTTTTGATCTATGACCAAACGCGTAATCTGAGTATACCGATTATGTGCCGAGATGAATCGTTGCGCGTGTAAAAACAACAATTCGACAGCAACTTATTTCATTATAAGCAATCAACTTTTCAAGAGCAAAACCAGTCTTCGCTCAAGCAATTCGGAGCGAATGTATAATAACGAAACGCAAAAGAAAAACCGCTCGGCGCATGTAAAACAAAAGTGACAGGACAAATTATATGGATCGTTAGAGTGTACACTGCGCTGACGTTCTTTCTCTTTCTCTTCAATTCGCGCGCGCGCGCGAGAGAGAGAGAGAGACAGATAAAAAGGGGAGAAAAAAGTCGCCGGACTGGCGCGATGAACTTTAACGACTTCTCGCTGCTCTCTCTCTCTCTCTCTCTCTCTCTCTCTCTCTCTCTCTCTCCGAGAGTAATTGTGCGTTATGCCGCGTCCGCTTACTTGTACAAATGTGGGGAATTACTTTGGTGCTTGAGGATGGCCATGCCGCGCTCGAAAACCCTCGAGCGATCCTTTAAAACTTGCTGCTGACGCGTGTCGTTGTTAACTTCTTTTTTGCCCAAACTGAAATAAGTTGGATTGGCAATAAAGTTAATTTGACTTTTGCCAAACGGCGGTAACGTATGAGCAATTCTGAATGAAAACAAAAGTGGAAATTAGTTTTAGTCACCTGGCTAATCACACGCGATTGTGCAAATCGTGATTTTATCGCGGAGAGAGATCTGAAGGATACCTGTAGATATCTATACATGTTGTTTTTCAGTGTGGGCCTTTGAAAGCCTGCAATTTCAACAGCTGTTCCGCAACGGCATATGGTGATAAAGATTTTGCAACGGATACACTGGTTCGATCTCGTTGTTTCATTTTATATTGACTTAATATACATTTACTGAAAAGTATTTAGATTACCATGAGAAAAATGTATCAGACATGGTTGAAAAATTATTTGCTTATGTATCTCAAACTATTCATAAATGGCCTCAAAATCAAGTAAAAACAAAATTTAAAGAAAAGAAAAGTATAAGAAACTATGAGAATTGGAAAAAAAGAAAAAGAAATTTATCCATTCAACTCAGTATTCACACTTTCTCTTCTTTGCAGTTCAATTGAAATGCAGGAGACGAGTGAATGAGATACACAAATGCAATTTGAAGCATTGAATTCGAATTCGATGTCTCAATCAAGGGAAACGTATCAACTGTTAAATTCAAGTGCATTTCGTCGAGTCCTTCAGTCCTTCTTTACAGCATTGTATTTTACCGAATCAGATTGTCGACTTCGTGGTAATGCTTGACCATATGTAATTTTCTGTTCTCTATTCATTCCATGCAATTTACGATATCCATCATAAGTATTTGCAAAGCTTAGCAATAAAAGTCATTATATTGTTATTGCGATCGCGATTAAAACGAAGCCCTTACTCAAGCAACATCCTGTCTTTATTATCAACCAAGCAAATTCCGGAATTTCAAACAATGAAACGTAAGGAGGGTGAAAATGCTGGGGCTAAGCGGCGCGCAGAAACGGAAGGAAGCTTGATGCTCCGAAATGTCGGAGGAGATACTGACGTGAAGATTAATCTTTTTTCGTCGTCGACGGATGTGACGTCAGGCGTCAGTTACCTGCAGCACGTGTTTCCGGTCTCCTGACCATTTTCGGCGCTATATTATCCTCACATAACATAGTAAACTCGGATTTGCTCATTATTATTCAATAAAAGTTCCATCTGTTCCATTTTGAATATTTATTGAAACATCTGATGATTCACAATTGTTTTCTGATGGAAACTTCTAATGAATTTCTTTTGAATTTAATTAAATTACGCGTACACGATCTTTCGTTGGATATGCATTCATTCGTGACATCAACTAAAATATACAACCATCGACTCAATTGACACTCCAAATTAGTCTACCTGACTTACTAAAACCGTTTCGAACATTTTGTACAAATAGGAATGCCCAAATAAAATTCCTTAATTTTTCCTTGACTGAAATTCATTTACTCGTCTCTTGAGAAATAACCAGTCTTAGTATTCTCATGAATGAGCATCGAAACCATCACAGCGTGAAGAATATGGCCATCCTTGGCAATTATTCCGGAATGATTATCCAGCAAGGGGACGTTAAGAGCAGGAAGACGACTTCCCTTCGCGGCAAAACGCAGCCTTCAACGTTTGTGTATACCTATCTACGTCCCTCTTCACGATTGTGTACGTTTATACGAAAATTCCACAGCGTTACATAACAAATCGCGCATAGTCGTCGATAGAGAAATCGAAAAGAATTAAAAATTGCGTGAGAATTTGTCGTCGTAAATGGCAAATCAATATTCACATGCGATGCCAGTTACGTAACAGCGAAAGGCTTTGTCCTAGGCGTGACCCTTTTTTTCGCTCCCATCACCATACATACCTTGCATCGGCGCTCTCCGTTTTAAACATTCAGAAACGGACCACTTTGTTTTCTCTTTGTGAAACACGCAGAAAGAGTGGGAAACCGCAGAAAGAGAAAGAGAGAGAAAGAGAGAACGTGAAAAGAAGGGACGTCTGAGGTAGGAAGTGCTGCTCTGCTATAACGCTATGGGAAAAAGAAATTACAGAGATGTTTTATTGCTGAACGTTTTACTTTCATAATTTATTGATTTGTCAATCGTCCCCAACGACGATGTCGACGTTAAAGTCACTTTCTTTCATGTTACGAAATTATATGTAATTGCAGTCGGATTTTATTTTACTCGGCAGATGGATTTCTAAGGTCGAATGAACTTGTCGTGGAGGAAAAGTCAGTAATACAGACGTGAAAGTCAAAGATGGATGGCTCTTTATGAGTAACGACGAAAACAACAATTTAAAGCGCGCACGCGAACATCGCTATGAAGTGTATAGTAGGTGCACATTGTGACGATGTTTTTTACCAAAACGAAAACTTGCTCGTAAATTATCATCAGCTTGCTGGTAGTAAATGTCACTTACATCCTATGACTGTGTTATTAATTAAAACTTACTCAAAAGTTCCACGTTGATTAGCTCAGCAGTTTTTTTTTTGCCATGACCTGACAGAAAATGAATAATATTATGAAATTTATGGTCAAACAAAGTAATTATACTATTCATTCGTTAAAATATATTAAACCGCTCTAAAAATTATCCCTGCATTCCACATCTCAACTAACCGCAAAGCTCCGTTTGAAAAAGAAGAGAGAGAGAGAGAGAGAGAGAGAGAGAGAGAGAGAGAGAACCCTCGAGCATACACAAGAGAGAACAGTAAGCTTATGGAAGTCTTTATTTTTGTTCCATGCGTGTTTCAGGATTCTCACGGTGTGTCGAGCGCGAACGCAGCACCCGAAACAGACATCTCGCAGGACGTCCACTTGATCCACGGCTCCCAAAACGACACCCACACCGTCATCACGTTCACAAGGAGGTGGCGGACCTGCGATCCACAGGACCGCAGCCTCACCGTGAGTAAACGCTTACTTTCTTTCCCACTGTACTTTAAAACCTACATATTTGGAGTGTCGCTCGCGACAAGTGCTGCTGTCGTTTATTTTCTTTATTTTTATTTAATACTTGTGGCACTTCTATTTATAGTCATAGACCATTCCTTCCCTTCCTTTTAAGCTTTTTTCTTTCGAAAGAAATTTCGTTAATGTCGGTATATTACAGATCGTTGCGAGTCAGACCAGGCTTGGCAGTGTATCCATGAGTAACATTAATTATTTATACTACGCAGCATATTCTGACATGATAGACAGTAAACGCAACCGAAAAAAGATTCGCCTTTAAGATATAGTACAGAAACAGATCACTATAGAGGCGTGCGCGCGTGTCTCGTACAAATGCCCGCCCCTCAATCCTCTTTTTTCTTTTTCTTAGTCGATAGATTGGGGTGTTCTTACTTAGTTCAAAGGAGGCCGCTTCACCACACGAAAGAAGCCTGACGCCAGGACCCTTCGTTCTTTTCCTTTAATTGAGAGACTTTTTTCCAAGTTGTTTAATTGAAAGATTCTAGGCTTCAAATGCATTGTACACTTTATATTGCTCGGTATCCAAACGCTCAATTTACGAGATGACGTTAATATAGGCAGATTTTTCTGAGATGCGAGTTCAAGTTCTTGTTTTATATTTTCAAAGCAAATGTAGGCTTGACACAAATTGATTACATTTCGTTTGAACTGTCCGATTGAAAAATCTGTAGTAGTTTGAATCAGTTGGGCTTTTCACGTGATACGAGTTTGTCGCGCTCGAATCCTTTTTCCGTGGAAACTCAATACATCTCCGAGCAGCAGATGGCTCGACGCTCCTGAGAAAAAATGTTTAGAAAAATAAATTTTCTCCCACTGGAACGCAAATCGTTTACATGAAGACACAAACGAAAACGACGTCGAAATTGTCGGGGGGTCGCCTCGCCCCTCCGAAAGACCGTGAATTTATACTCCGCGTTCGACTGCATTTCAGAGGAGCATAAAAGAATTCGCGGCATACCATAGCCGCGTCGTAGCTGACGAAAGCCATTAAAATATTTCTAATCGAGGATCGAGTATATAAGAGTATTCGGCCCCCGCGTGCGTGCACACCTTGCGATTTCTTTCGCTTCTTTTATTTTACGTTCGCCGCGTCGGCAGACAATTTCTTCTCGGCGTTCCTGTTTCGGCGCGCGGCACGACGGCGTGCCGAATCTTCTTTAGGACGCATTAGAATTTATTTTTTTTTCAAAGCAGTCGAATTTCAGGTATAATAAAACTACAGCAAAAAATCTGCAGTATGGGTTAATTAATACACGTTTATATTGTAATAATAATTTTTATTATATAACGTTATTAGCAGACTCGAGCGTAAAAGAACTAAAAATGTTTTATTATTTTATTTCACAATTTCCACAATCATTGAAGCATTAATATAAGCGAGATACTTACTTTACAAAATATTACGTAAATAAAAATAAGATGCTTCACAATAATAAACAGTACTAAGATGAAAAGCTAATACATTCATATCGTTATAATGAAAACGTTTCCAACCTGTCAAAACTTCCTTTCCCACCATTCCATACAACATGAATTGAACTCTAATCCTCATTTGGATAAGTCCTCGACAGTGGACAGCCAACAATCAACCCTTTAAATGCATATAGCCATATAGTCCGGGATAATAGACCGAGCGGTTTTTTTTCTTCAGGGTGACACTGTTCGAGTAATATGGGCTTTACATTCGACTGATCCAGAACTCAACGCTGCGAGATTTCACGGTGAGAAACGGGGTGGTCGAGCACTTCGTCTCAAAGCACCAGCGCCACATCCACCACCAGCTGTCGACGATCCTGATTTGTTCAAATGGGATGTTAAACTCAATCAGGTAAAACATACTCCGCTAAAATGAAGGGCGCTACCGTCATATTTTATTTGCAGAAAAAAATCAGGATTATGCACTGATTTCAGTTCACGGTATCCAACACATCAGATACAATCTACTGGTGCAAAATCTTCAGAGCGCCAAAGCTAAACCGCAAACATCATATGATAGGGGTAAGTCAATTCAATAAGCAGAACAAATTGATCATACGTGATTCGCGCTCCCCAGCGGAGCTGCGTTTCGATTTCGACGCACGTTCCAAAGTAATCGCGACGCGCCGGAAGTCGCATGCGCGACGAGCTCCGGCTCGGCCTTCGCGTTTCAGATACAAGATACGTTCCCATGAATGATGTCACACCACTGAGATCCGCCTTGTCTCAATCGCTCGCTTCTTTCTTTCCCATCTCCGCCTTTGATCTTGTCGAATTCCGACGAACTGTAATGTCATTTGCATTTGGAAATCTGCTGATTCTGCAAATGTTCGCATGGGAGGAGACCAAAACTGCAATCTGAGCATTGGATCTCAGTTCTCGTTGATATATTTCAACATTGAATACGGATAGCTGAACGAATTGTTATGAAATTCCACGAAGGATAAAATCCTTCTTTATTTGCATATTGGAAAGCCTCAAACGAAAGATAGTTGCTTGCAGACATGAAAAATCGAAAACTATTTTGACACATTACAGTACAGTCCAATAATAGAAAAAGCCAACGAAGCCTTAGTTCACCACGTGATACTGTACGAGTGTTCGTCAACAAACTCAATCCTTGCCGAGCACGCGCGCCTGGCAGGTGCTCACTGCTACAGTCCGACGATGCCAAAAGAGTGGGACAGCTGTTTGCAACCGGTCCTCGCATGGGCTCGTGGTAGCCGTGGCGAATGGTTACCCGAACATGTGGGTCTGCCGATTGCCGAACACTTCGAGCACTCGTACTACATGCTGGAAGTTCACTACAACAATAAAATGGGCAGAAAAGTGATCGACAGCAGTGGAGTGAGACTACATCTCACGCCTAACATTCGAAAAATGGAGGCAGGCATACTCGTCGCGGGTGTTGCCGTTAGCCCGCTGCACATGGTGCCGCCCCAGCAAAAGGAGTATGCTACCGCTGGTTATTGTACTCCTCAGTGCACAGAGAAGGTATGCATCGTTTTTTGTCCCCTTATCCTCTTTTTACAAATTCCTCGCACGAAACGTCCTTTCTTTTACAGATGTTCGACAAAGAAGGGATCAACATAGTATCCGTAGTGTTGCACTCCCACCTGGCCGGTAAACAAATGAGTCTCCGTCACATCCGCCAAGGTCAAGAACTGGCGCCCATCGTTCAGGACAAACATTTCGACTTTGATTATCAACAGTCGCATACGCTCGAACGAGAAGTGAAAATTTTGCCGGGTGACGAGATCGTTGCCGAATGCGTCTACGACACGAGAGACCGGACCAAACCGACTTTCGGTGGTTACGCCGCTCATCAAGAGATGTGCTTGGCTTTTGTGGTTCATTATCCGCGAACGCCTTTGGCTGCCTGTTACAGTATGACACCGGTTAAGGAGTTCTTTAATGCCTTAAATGTGCAGAGCTTCAAAGGTGTCTCCATGGAGCAAGTGGAAAAGTTGTTTTTGTCTACTACGTTAGTATATGGATTCATGGCTATCTGTTTGCGTATGAAAGCAAATTACATCGATTAACGTTTACACGTTTTTGCAGGACTGACACGGTCGCGTTGCCAGTGTCGCCAAATCATCACGCTCAGATCTACCCTGATTTTCGACCGAACGACGACGTCGACGTTGACATTATTAAACAGACCAAATCGGCTCTGATTTCTAAGGGAGACTATATAGACTACGATGACATTTTTGCAAGACTTGTTATAGAAAAACCTGACGAGTTTAAAGGTACGATTATGTTTCTACGAACAACTGATAATGATATTATCAGATTATTATGTAAAATTTAAATTCTATTTTTTAGATCACACTCTATCCGATCATATGCTGGCTCTTGCTTGGAATGATACTGCCCTCTCGAAGTCCATCGAGATGAGTTTGTATCATGGAAGACACGTGACGTATTGTAGAACGAGGGAAGATAAAATCCCAAGAGTAGGAATCAAAAATTTTTCTAGTCTCTTATAAAAGTATCAGCGATCAATTTAATAATTTTATTTCAATTTTTACAGGCTGCATCTATACAACAATTTCCAAATTTCACAGCCCTACCAGAAGCCAATAACACTTATTGCAAAGAGTATCGCTCGGCATTTGGCTCGTCGAGTGTCACGCTCGTGCCATCGTTCATCGCCGCCCTACTAGCCATCTTAATGGCTTTACTTCACTAGAAGAACGAGAGAGAGAGAGAGAGAGAGGTGTGTGAGTGCTCCCAAGCGATATGGACTTCTCTGTACATTGCCCGTGTATCATACGAATCGACGACCATTTATTTATTTTAACGCCGTCGCTTGAGCGTGAAATCACAAGTCGCTCGAGCGTGGTAACAAAACGTACGTTAGATTAAGGCCAAAGTCCATTGGGTTTATTTTTGCGATTTTTTCCCCAATTGTACGAGTCAGTGAGAGATAAGAAAAGTTATGATTGATATGCTTATCGTTTGACGACTGTGCATCTTATGAGATTTTATTATTATTATTTTGAATGATTGAGAATTCTTGTAAATATATTTATAAGCTATTATTAATTGATTACCAGATATTTTTTAATTGGAGAGATTTTTTACCGACTTTTTTAAGTTGTAGATATCTTTAATAACACAGGCACACACAAAAAATGGTCTGTATAAAAAACGACATACATATATTATCATGTATTTTGACACGCTGAATCCGAATCCAGAGTTAAAATTGCTCCAAGAATAACCTAATCACGTTTGATATGCAAATAATTCATGACACGTTTATCTAGACATAGAACAAACTTCAACCATGTAATACTTTCATAAAAATTACGGTACTCCAAGATTAAGATCTTTACAAGAACGTTTCGGGATAATACAAATTGTAAGAATTTACACTTTTTTTCTTTTGTACTCTTCTGTTTTCAAAAGATCTCTGCAATAGATTTATCTTCCTCTTTTGCATTTGTGGCTCATTTTCCCTTTTAAGCATCTATCAAAATTCTGCTATCATATTTATTTATACCCTATCTTCCTTGTTCATCGCTGTAATCACCCAAAATGTCAGGAAAATTGTCCACGTGTGAATGTAAAAAGTGTAGCTTCAGGCTCATTTTAGCTCATTCTAGTTGAGTATATTCTTCGTCACTTGCATCTACTACACTATCTACAACATCTTTGTTACTTAAATCTTCGTCTTCTCTATCTTTTTTATGTAAAACTTCATTAATTTCTTCTTATAAGATCTCCATATTTTTATCTTTTTCAAAACTAAGCTGATTATCTATAGCAACAACTGAGTTTGTATGCAATGTTTTTTCTATTGCCTTTAATCTCAAACCTACTACAAATTACGCAAAACTTATATGCGTACATGTAAAAAATATATACGTAAGAAACATCAATCTTGGTATTAAAAATGATTGTAAAATTGTTTGACTTTGAAATAAAATGTGAGGATCATGATTAAATACCAAATATTATATGCACTTCCTGTAGGAAAATGCTTAAAATGTTGAAGAATAGTAACATTGCACCAAAAATGAAAGTTTCTACTATATGGAAGAAACCGATCGATAAAGAAAATTGTTATTTTTGTTTATTTACAAATTAATTACGCCAATATTGAGAGAGTAATGAAACCACTATATGTATCACTAAATAATGAAGAAGAAAACAAACATTGCATACAGACTCAACTGATGTTATATGGATATTCAGCTTAGTTTTGAAAAATATGGATACCTAACACTTAAAAATTAATGAAAATGATGATCCTGACTTATTCAAAGTTAAGTGACAAAGATGTCGTAGATAGTGCAATAGATGCAAGTAACGAGGAATATACTTCACATAATACTGAAAAGAGAAAAGATCCAATATCACAAGAGGCTGTAAATGATCTTATTCGTAATTTGGGTCTACTAAAAGATGGAGCAGAGTACCTAGCATCATGGCTAAAAAAAATACTAAGGAAGCTGAATATTCGTACTACTGCGACAGAGATAAGAAATCTCGTAAATATTTTGTAAAAAATGAAGGTTACTTTCTTTTAAACAACTTTTTTCCTGAATTTGATCTTCAAATTCCCTTGGACCTAACGTGCTGGAGTCTAACTGACTGCGGATTCGGATTTAGCGTATCAAAATATATGAGAATATATGTATATCGTTTTTTATTCAGATCACTTTTTTTATGCGCCTATGTAATATAAGAATGTGCTTATATTGTGTATAATAAAGTTTAATTTTAATTATAGTCAAATGTTATTTATTTTACAAGCTTAGATCCCTTTCTTTTCAATGAGTTTCACAATTACATATAATACGTAAAAAGGTAGATATTTTTTATTACTTTTAATATCCAATGCAATATTAAAATCGCATTAAAAATTTATTTCCCACGAGGTCAATAGAATCGGAAAAAAATTAGTTTCTCGCCTGTAGGATTTGAAAAGCTCAAATAAATGCCAAGGCATTTAACTCATAAGGAAAATAATAAATGAGAGAATATTTTTAGAAACAGGTACATCACTTTCGCCACCTTCTAATTCAATGTCGCGTTCATCCTACGCTCAAGCATATAGAAATCCATTCTGGCGCTCTTGATTTTCCAGCTGGTCGGGCGGCTATGACATTGCTGCATCGCTAAATCGAAAAGAGCCCCATGTGGCTGGTGCTGATAACCACAAATTGCTCAGCCATTGAATTACGAGCGCTGCAAAACTGCGTATAGCGGCGTGGCATCCCCTATAAAACCGGTGCCTCCGACGAGTTCAGTCTCATCCGCTATCGAGACGTCGTCCACGACGATCAGACGTAGACTTACTGCTTTTCTTGCTAGGCGCTTTTACTTTGCAACTGCGAAAAGTTTTCTGATCAAATCTTGGCTGAGCTTTTGAACTTGGCAGAAGTCGATTTGCAGTCTTGATTGCGTAGAGTAAGGGATTTTAATGTTGTGACAAGGTTTTAATAGTCATTTATGCAAAATTTCATATTCGATTGGCCCTTTAATATATTTTTTTCGAATTTTCGATTTTGCCAAAAAGTCTCGATATTAAAACTGAATAAATAATAAGGATAAATGAAATAATAACATAACAGGAATAAGTAATAAGTAGCAAGAGTTTGATATTTCTTCAAGTCTAACTTTCAGAAGCAGCATGCGGCGAACACGGCACGTCGTTTTGCCGGTGAAATCCTGGCAGAGCATCGGTCTGCTCATCGTATCTCTCGCCTGTCTCACTCTTGGCCATGTGTCCCGCGATCGTGAAGGAAGACATGGTAGCCTAGTCGGACCTGAACTACTGCACACTGCACCACACGAGTAAGTACGCTACGCAAATCCCACACGACTCCTGCACCCGTGTGGCCTTCTCGAAAATGTTATTTGTTTCGTGCGCAGAGTTGACGCTTGCCCTAACAACTGCAGTTTCATCCTCTCGAGTAGCGGTGCTTCTGCGACGCTGTCGAGATCCGCTCTCGCTACTCCTACTTCCTCGGGATCGCGCGATACGCGCTCAACTCGCGAATCGAGCGCTGAAGGGCGCAGGGCTCGCGTGATCGGGGAAAGTCGAGAACGTCGGAGTGCTCGACTCCGTTCGCGTTCGATGGACGAAGCAGCTATTCGAAGGGTTCGCTTGCGATCCGTCGTTGAACGTCGTGCAATCGAAGATGCTCGCCGAGGTCGCGCGCTCGTTCGAAATCAGCGAGTTCGAGAGCTTCGCGAATCTTCGATTAAGAGATCACTGGTACCTGTAGAAGGTCAGGTCGGAGCTTTCGATAATCGACTGGATACTCGAGCCGAACGCTGGGCATCGAGCGCTGAACGACGAGCACGAGGTTCTCATATGGTACGTCAAGTTCGAGACGTCCGAGCAGAAGGTAGAGCTACCCGTATTCAACGCACAGTCCGAGTTGCTGAAAGGCATCTCGATACTCGAGCTGAGCACCGAATCCGAACTGTTGACGGTCGACAATATCGGGACTCCGTTTTTGATCGCCGCGTCCGCGATTCTGAAATTCGTCGTGCTCGTGAAGTTCGAGCTGAGCGAAGAGTTATAGATGCTGAAAGACGACTCGATGTTCGCGGAAGATGGAGCACTGAACGTCAAGTTCGAGTAGCCGACAACCGACGCGCACGAGAATCCAATCTTGAACGCCGCGTTCGTGACGCTCAAGCAGTGAGGAGGTTCGCATCTGCGGAACGACGAGTTCGAGCTGCAGAAAACCGACGAGCCCGCGGCTCCGATTTGGAACATCGGGCTCGATATATTGACGAGCGACGGGCTGAACGCCGAGTACGCGATGTTAGGACTGAAGGGAGGAGCCTGTCAGAGGAGCGGCGAGTTCGCGACAACTTGCAGGCTCGCGACTCTGATATGCAACGCCGGATTCGCCAAATTCAAGCGGAGAGGCGATTGGGCAGTGGCGATAATGAGCGGCGAGTTCGGGAACGTAGGGTTGCCGGCTCTGAACACCGTGAAAATCGACTCGATTCGCAAGTCGAACGTCGGGCTCGCTCTTTGGATAGTCGACGAGTTCGAATTTCGAAAGTTGAACGACGAGTTCGATCTGCAGAGAGGCAACTGGATTCCCAAGCTCAGCGACGAGCCCGCGACGGCGAACGTAGATCGATGGCCGATGAACGCCGGCTCAGAGGAAACAACGAGCTAACAGTCCGCGACGAAGGTCGCGCGCGATCCATTGACGCTAGCCGAGCTCGGAATAACAGGAGAGATACCTCAAGATTGGAGAACCACCGAGCTCGATCTATCGGTGACCCGAACGCCAGAAGAGATACGGCTAGATTGGAAACCAGAAGAGGCTTGTATCGAGTTGACAGCCGTGAAACTGTGCGCAACAATTTAGCAATCCGCCGGAAGGCTGAAAATGCACGCAGGACGAGAACTGGGGTTCGAGTCGAAGAAAGCAGACTCGAGCATAGGAGAGAGAAAAGGCACGCTGAACAACGTCGCGTTAAGTCTGCCATTCGAGACAACGAGCGACGGAATGTTCTTGCGACACAACGAAAGAACGACATCGTAACTAGGAGAGTGAGCGATGTTTCTAGCGATCTGTTCAGGGTAAGAGCAAGTATATTTCTGTAATGAATAACAATTCGGTGAAAACTTCATTTTGCTTTAATTAATTTTCAGCGGCTATCTGATCGTCTGGATCATCGTCGCGCGAACGGAGTAAAGGCACAACCACAGTACCTGCAAAATACGATAATGTCGAATAACTTAAATTACGAGGTTTTACGACAAGGCATAGTTATTGTTCTTTGCGCTCTTTACGGGGCTTCTATTTTCAGTACTAAAACTTTACCTTTTACGTAAGTCAAATTATTTCGTTAAAACTATCATTACGCGATGCGAAAAATGGAATAAAACATTGTTTATTTATTTTAGAAACTTGGTTCGTTACACAAATCGATTAGCTGTCTGGTGAATCTTCAAAGTATCATGAATGCTCCGTTGAAATTGTTAAAAATAGTAAAATCCACTTAGAAGCACGATGACAACTGTACTTCAAATGACAGCTAATTTTCAATGTAGTATAGATTTATAGCAGATGGATTTTAAAATATATTTGAAACTGTTCTAGAGTACAACCAAATATTGCACTCTATATCCTATACTGTTGTGATCTCAATAAATTGATACTTGATCCCTTTATCTAGAACACGTACTTGCACATCAGTAGTTTTTGAGATTTTGAAGCTCTTCAAATTGTATGAATATACTATATATTTAATATGAAATCTATGTAAATTATATTTTGTGTGAATAAACAGCATTAATAAAGAATATAACGATATTGTTTTGCAACATTTATTTTTAATTTTTATCGTGATTATTTTCTATACATTAAGAAATTTCACATATCTGGATTTGAACTAGTTGTGATATATTATTTGTTATATTCTTTAATTTTATTTAAAAAAATTAAGCTAATTCAAGATATTTATTCAAAGCTTTGTAAAATCTTGAATTCACTCTTGCTACCTTCTGCTACCAGTAAGAATTGAAACACGTTTATTGCAGTAGCGAAATAGCGGCTCACGCTCCTCGTACAATGTTACGTATGTAGGTATATGTACCGCAAACGTTTGTGACCGAGTAAGATTTATAATTATTTCAACTCAAGTACAGTAATTGTCAGTACTAAACTATTATTTTAATCATGAACCGATTTTAAGGGCTTCATAAGGTATATCAATGTTTAAAACTGAAATACTCTGTGAAACAACGGTTTTTAAATAATTATAGGTTAGGCAGAAAATTGTTTTGATTTGAAAAATGTTTATTAGAACTTTTTCGTTGACAATTAACAGTCACATCAGACGTATAAGCACAAATTTAAATCACCAAAGGTTTAATCAAGTTCCTCCACAAGATCCAGCCCTCAAGGAAAAACTCAAAACTACATTTAATTATGTGACCGCTATTGGAATTTTAGCTGTTGGATTAACGTATGCTGCTGTTCCTCTGTACAGAATATTTTGTCAGGTACGTATTTACGTATTTATTACAATTTTCAATCGAAATTAATATTCATATCATTAACTATTTATTAATTATTTAGGCCTTTGGTTATGGAGGTACAACAGGACATGATACATCTAAAATATCTGATATGAAACCGATTAAGCATAGGGTTTTAAAAATAAAATTCAATGCTGACACTGCTGCTCAAATGGCTTGGAATTTTCAGCCTCAACAAAAAGAAATTAAAGTAGTTCCAGGTGAAACTGCCTTAGCATTTTACACTGCAAAAAATCCAACGGATGTTCCCATTATTGGAATTTCTACTTACAATATTGTACCTTTTGAAGCAGGACAGTATTTTAATAAAATTCAATGCTTTTGCTTTGAAGAACAAAGGCTAGAACCTAATGAGCAGGTATAACATGATTTTCATGAAAAGATATTGAGGTACCAAAATAAAACCAAGAGCATTTATTAACTTTTTTATTTATCATACTTTCAAATAGGTTGACATGCCTGTATTCTTTTTCGTTGATCCTGATTTTTCTGAAGATCCTAAAATGGAAATGGTGAATGAACTAGTCCTATCTTATACATTCTTTGAGGCAAAAGAAGGTTCAAAACTGCCTATACCAAGCTATATTAAAAAACTTCACTAAAAATAGTAAGTTATTAAGTATTTTTGATTGTATATTTTGAGTTTCACAATATTAGCAATTTATTTTTATGAGGTTCTAGAATATCACAAAAAATTACTACAAAATAAGGTAAAAACTATAAAGTTAATTTACTAAAAGCATTTCCAGCTTAAAATCTAAACATTGCATTTACTGGATATGCACGTCTTAATCCACAAACTTTATCTTTATCAATGTATATTGCATCAATTTTCAATGCAAGATCATGTTCTAGACCATTTCGATTTCTCAACAATTTCTGATGTTGATTTTCCATTTCTTTTAAGGATCTGTGCATTTTCTCTACTTGAGCATAAATTTCTTCAATTTCTCTCTGTAAACTGATGTATGCATTGTCCCTACATAATTCTATATCAGGACGATGAGTACGTGCTTCCAACCTAGTATGAGCCACTTTTAATGCATAGCTTTTGTCAGCTATGGCTTTACGTAATAATTCTAAATTTCTTTCTACATCATAAATTTCTTGTTGAACCTAGAAAAAACATTTATTCATTTTATGTTCATATAATTTACTTAGGAATACATATTAACTTAAACATTTCAAGCATACTTTATGCAAATGTTGCTGTAATTTACTCTTTGCTTCCAATAGTTCAGAACATCTTCTTGACAAAGAATTGTTGCTATTATTCCATGAATCCCACATTTCTTGAGCAATTCTATTGATCAATGCTTCTGTTTCAGATCTCAACTGACATGATTTAGTCCTTTCAGCTTGAGACTTTTGAATGATTCGATTAGCAGTTTCGGCCCAAGTTTCAGGCTTCGAAACGCTAAAACCAATATAAAAAATATTTATATTCGTAATTTATTTAATTCCTATTAGCTATTTATTTGTTTTACCAAGGATCATATTTCTCAATTCCAGAATAGTATTGTAATCCTCTACTTGAGTTATTGACTTGATGACAAAATAAGTCAATACCAAGAGCATTTTCTTTATTTTTTAGATCAAGCTCTAATTGATTCTGCGAAATTCTACAATTTCGGAGCTGTAGAATATGAGAAATTTAAATCTTATGAAATAAAACTAAAATTTCAAAACTACTTTACCTGATCTTTAACTTTATCTAAACACATGTCAAGTTTCTTCTGACTACTCTTCAAAATTTCTACTTCTCTAAGTAAAGACTTTTCAGGATCATCATGTACAAGCTCAGTTCCTAGTGAAATTGATAATAATCAGCTTAAAATAAAAAAAAAATAATTCTTTACCTTTTCTTGCTTCTCTGTGGTATAAACATTCTTCAGCAACATGTAAAGGATTTTCAATGTCTTGTATTGCTTTTTCAACAGTGGCTCTGCAGTCTTGAAGTCTTTCTATTTCTTGAACTTGCTTTTCTAATTCTGATGCAATTTCATTACGCCAAAAAGTTACATCACTTATTCTTTCACCTATTCTTCTGCCAGTATCATATTGATTATGCTGTATTTTTTGTTCAGCTTCTCTATAATAAACAAAAAATTAAGTGTATTTTTTAAAGAGTTTTTTAGTAATGGTTTAATTTCAAAAGTTATATTTATAATTACATACATTAAACGATATATAAAATATAATTAAAGAGATTATACCTCATAACTTTTACAGCATCACTTCTCATTCTTTCAGAATAATAACGATTGGAGTCAGCTTCGTTATAGAATTTGACTTGTTTTTGAAACCACTCATTTGGTGTAAATCTTGTACAAAGAGCTGTTTGAGAAGAGTAAGGTGGATTTCTTGGTAAACCTGTCACCAGGTTTGGAAATTTCAAAGGCTGTGTAGTCATATTGTAGACTGGATCAATAGTATAACTCGATACAGCTTTTGAAGACCTGCATGAACAATATTTATTATTGGTGACGTTCTTTGTTGTACTAATATTTTAGTAAAATAAATAATAGTACTGTTTTATTGACAGTTTTCAAAACTATTTACAATCTTATATTTAAATGATTGTTAATTAATTTACCTAAAGAATTGTTTGTTTTAAAAAATGTTGAACACAATTTTTGTTTGCAATAGTATATAATGATTATTATACATTTACTTATTTAAAAAATACTAGAGATATGAGAATTATATAGAAAAGGCAAAAGAAATACAATATATCCAGAATAAGAGTAAAGGAATTTATAGATACATCTGTGCTGCTAGGTAGTCAAAGAAGTTCTGTTAGATCAATAGCCACATTCCCATGCAATCCTTACAAGCCAATCTTTATCTTTCTAATGGCACAGATAACAGTGAAATGGGAAATAAAACGCTACATGAATACAGTTTGTTTTTTTTTTTTGCAATAAAGTAAAACGTTATGAAAATTGTTACTGATTAAAATAGATTCAAAAATTGTAATTATTAAAAATTTTAACTTACAATGGAACTAATTCTACATTTTGCACTCCCATATTTGGATGCCAAGCTAAAGATTTTGTTTTAGAAATATCTTTTAGTTTAGATGAAGACATTAACGATTTTAAGCAAGGTATTGATGATGATCCTAAAGCATTCCAAGTTTGAAGTTGCTAGAAAACATAAAAACAAATTTTTTTTACTATACAAATATTTAAGATAATTGTTTAACATTTTAACAATTAAACCAGTATTCTTTATTATTAAATGTAATATTGTTTTAAAAGATTGTACGGGTGATATTAGATCTTTAATGTATTTTGAGCATTTTTAAAAGCATAACTAATTAAAAAATGAAATTATTTCCTGAATTTTTAAGTCATTGTTACATAATTTTGATCATTTTGAATGAAATCGTGAAGTTTAACAAGCAGTTATAGTAAGCAAATATGGCTGATGTTCCAAAAGATGCTCCTGACCGTGAGTAATAGATATGTAAATTATTTTATGTACAATTATTTTATTCTTTTAAATATTAACTCACTTCTAACTGATATTATAATGTACTCTTTAAAAATATAAAATTTTCTAATTTACAGTCTAATTTAATCAATCTAAATACTTTTGTTTTTAATTGCTTATTGAGGTTATATTTTATCATGTCAAAACGAATCAAATTTGAGAGTTAAATACATTGAGAAAAGAAATTAATTATACTCGTACACATTTGTACTTATATACTCTAATGCAAGCATCAAGGTATCTATGTTTTATGAATTCAATACTTTTTGGTTATAGATTGCCCTGGAACTCAAAGTGAAAATGCTGGAAAAGTGTCTGCTTGCACAGGATGTCCCAATCAAAGTATTTGCTCATCAGGAGCTACAAAATTGCCAGATCCTGGAATTGTGTTGGTGAAGGAAAGATTGTCATCAGTAGAAAATAAAATTTTAGTATTGTCAGGCAAAGGAGGAGTAGGAAAAAGTACGGTCACCTCTCTTTTATCTAGAGCCCTTGCTGCAGATAATCCTAACAGAAATGTAAGCTCAACTTTCTATTTTTTTAAATATTAATAGAAAATTAATATAAGAATACATTACAAATGCCACACTATTAAAAAATGTAAAATAAAATTCATTAGTTATGATTTTCAAAAAGTTTTTAATTTTAAATAAAGAATATATTTTCTTAATTAATCTTGAAATAGTTGACTTGATAAATTAACTTTGTAAATGTACTTACCCTTTTTCCTAAACCAAGAACATCCAAGTGGTTTTCAATGTACATGGCAGATATTAAAATGATCCAGTCTTCAGGCTGTAGTTTAGGCAATAGACTCTTGCAGTGAAGATGCCAGTGCATCAGTGTATCTATATAGGTCGAGTCAGCTTGTACCAGTCACCTATTGATTACTTGATTTCTGCATTCATACTGTTACAGTTTCATGCATGAAATACATTTACTTAAAACTAAATATAAAAATACAGTGATAACTAGGCCTCCTAACTCATAAGCTTCTTCACTCTTTCTTTTCTAGGTTGCTGTTCTAGATATAGATATATGTGGGCCTTCACAACCAAGGGTATTTGGAGCTATTGGTGAACAGGTGCATCAAAGTGCATCTGGATGGTCTCCAGTTGTAAGAATTTTCTCATGCACAAATATAGACTGTAAATATTTAAATTATATAATTAACTGTATCATATTTATTCTCAGTACATAGAAGATAACCTGTCACTAATGTCAATAGGATTCCTTTTAAATAGTTCAACAGATGCAGTCATTTGGAGAGGACCAAAAAAGAATGGTACGTAACATTAATTTTTTTGAACAATTTTTCCATACTTTTATTATTATGCTCTTGAGAATTGAATAAGCCATCAATAATTTATTTAATCAAAAATTCAAATTTTATTAACTTTTTTGCAGGAATGATTAAACAGTTCCTATCTGAAGTTGATTGGGGTACTTTGGATTATTTAATATTAGACACTCCTCCAGGTACTTCAGATGAACATTTATCAGCAGTGACATATTTGAAAGATGCAAGAATAACTGGAGCAATTATTGTTACAACACCTCAAGAAGTTTCTCTTTTAGATGTTAGAAAAGAAATAGACTTTTGTAAAAAAGTTAATATTCCCATTCTTGGCGTCATTGAAAATATGAGTATTTTTATATGCCCAAAGTGCAAGGTAAATCTCATCTATAAAGATCCTATTATCATAGTTTTATATGATTATTTTATTTCAAATATTATATTTCCATTATATTTATAGAATTCTGCAGAAATATTTCCAGCATTGACTGGAGGAGCTAAGAAAATGTCAACTGATTTAAATATAGAATTTTTAGGATCATTACCATTAGATCCATTACTAGCAAGATGCTGCGATGAAGGAAAAAATGTTTTAGTCGAAATGCCTAAATCACCAATAGTAATAGCTTTAAATACGATAGTACAAAGTAAGAGTTATTTTATGTTGAGTAATTCATTTTTGCTGATTTAGTAAACATTTATCATAAAACTAAATCTTAATATCAGTCATTTTCTTTTTTCTTTTCAGAAATCATTCAGAAATGTGATTCAAAAGACTTATAAATCAAGGATTTATACATAAATATTTTTAACTTTTGTAAGAAGAATACAGTTCAATGCTTTATCTTCTTAAATTATATAAAAACTGTGTAAAAAGAATTGTTACTTTTATTACTTATCTATTATACAAGTTATTTTATTAAATAAGTGAACAAAAATGCCTTTCTTTCATTTCAAAGATTTTATGAACCTAACAATAAAGAAATACTTTGATGCGTCTGTCATCAATAGATAAGGTAAATTATGAATGTAACATTGATAATGTGTAATCTGAAACGATACAGTGTGTGTGTGTGTGTGTGTGAGTGTACTCCCACTCTGAAAATAAAAAAGTTATAAAGCATAACATCGTCTTATTTCGTCAGATAGTAAGTTCAGTAGCAGTAAACTTTTGCGCTAATGAATAAGGTGTACAAGCGGTTTTCAAATAAGTAAGTTTTATTATTGAAAAATGAATATATTTTACTAACAAGTTTGTTCAGCAAAAAATATTACATAAATTAATCGAAATTATGCTTAAAATACTATCAAATTTATTTTGCAACGGCAGGCGAATAATTTGTATTTATCTTTACTTAATCACCGCGAATATTATTATTAAATAACTTATAGAAAATATAACTTACAGGACTTTTATAAATCCTGTGTAGAAAATTACTTTATTTAAATTTATACTATCACTATATTATAATTGTTAATAGTGATCGCAAGACGTTATTTATAAGTCTGTTATATTACGTATATTAAAACTAACCAATTAACTATTTATAAATGGGAGTCCTCTTTATTTTTAAGATGAAAAATGGAATACTCAATTGTGCATGCTTAATTTCTTTCATTCCGGCACACAAGCGGCATTATACTGACGATTCCAATGAGCGATACTATGGTGAATGGTCTCGCTTTATAGTGTCAGAAATGAACTGGGTTATTTTAGTCTATGTACATGGGGCCGGGATGTTAGAAATCATATATTCTTATATACATAACTATTTTTGTATTGCCAGAACAATGATTGTCAATCAAAAGTGATCCTATATGCAGACAACGTACAAGATGCTTAGTTATTAGTCGTTTCTAGTTTTTCATCAAAATAGAATTGAATAACAATAAGAGCTGAGTTCGCATATTCTATAGTAAAATTCTATACCAGATTAAATTAGAGGTATAACAGTTAATAACATTTAAGATTACTAATAGAGTGGTTTTAATTAATTTAATTTATTAATTCAAATTTTATTTGTTACTTATAAGAGTTTATAACGTCATAATTATCAATTTGAATTAATTTTTTACATATTTTAATGAGGTTAGAGCCATTGTTTACATTTTTAAATTTTCAAATTTTGCATTGAATTCAAGACTTGATGTAATAGTAGTATAGATTCATAAATAATAATTTATACGATAGGATTACAATAAAATATGAAATAATTGTTACAGCCAGTGGTATTAATTTATTTGTAAATATGGATAAGCTAAAAAATAATTATAAAGACTGTACCATTCGTTTTACAAAGCCACCTGATAATAATGGAGCATCACAAGAAACCTTATTATCTCAATCTCAATCAGTTTCCAGTGATCCAAATATAAAAAGATTTGAAGACAGTTATATGAGAAAATATTTTAAAAAATATTTACCTTATGCTCAACCAACATACTTAGCTATCAAATTCATTGGTATGCTTATTATGTTTATTCTTGGAACATATGTGCTTTGGCAATGTACTATTTACTTTAAAGAAGCTAAAGTACAACAAGAAAAAATACATTTTGAGTTGGATAACTTTCGTATAGCTGCAGAACAAAAATTGAAACAAATGAACATTTTGCAACACATAATTGAGGATAAAATTGAAAATATAGATGTATTAACTGAAGAAAGCTCAAAGCGCATCAAAGATTTATTTACATTTTCTAAAAGTGATTTGTTGAAAGATACAGTAGAAGAAAACAGTGGAGAACAATGTGAATTTATACCACTGAACTTGCGATTTGACTGTCACCCAGAAGATGAGCCATCTCAATTATCATGTACACAAAGAGGATGTTGTTGGCATCCTTTGCATCAATTAAATTATGAAAAACAAGTTCCTTTAGATGTGCCATATTGTTATTATCCTAAAAATTGGAGTTTATACAAGTATGAGAATTTCAGTAAAAATAGTAATGATTTCTCTGGATTTCTGCGACTGCAAAGAAATTCATTTTATAAAAAAGATATATCACTTGTTAAAATTGAAGCTATTGGTATAGATGATAGTACTTTACGTGTTAAGGTAATATTAAATGAATTATTGAAAAAATGTCAAAGAATTTCATTTTAACTTTTATTTCTTTCAGATATCTGATGCTCAAAAGAAACGTTATGAACCACCATATCCAGTAAGATCATATCCTGAACTATTTTCAAAAGTATCTGATAATGCTCAATATGAATTTAAAATGGATGAAAACGTTCCAGGCTTTAAAATAATTCGTATAAATGATAAAAGAAACATGTAAGTATCATCAATAACCAAATATTATCAGTCATTTAAAATTTTTTGTTATAAGTACTGATTGGTTTTCAGATTTAATTCAATAGGATTTGGTGGTTTCATTTTTGCTGATCAATTTTTACAAATAAGTTCTATATTACCATCTCATAATATTTATGGTCTTGGTGAGCACAGGACTAATCTTAAATTGAACACTAATTGGCAAAAACTTACTCTTTTCAATGCTGACCAACCTCCAACAGAAAATGTAAGTAGAGAATTTTCTTGAATAAACAAACTAATGTTTAAAAAGCATGTAAAGATTATATGCCACTTAGGCAAATTTGTATGGGTCACATCCATTTTACATGGTTGTTGAAAATACCGGAAAAGCACATGGAGTTTTATTTCTAAATAGCAATGCAATGGGTAAGAAAAGTATTAATATTTTCTATTACAATCATACAGTGAATGATGTCATAGAAGATACATTTAATTAATTTTTTTTTAATTTTGTTTCTGAACAGATGTAATTCTGCAACCAACTCCTGCTATAACTTTTAGAAGTATTGGTGGAATTTTTGATATCTACTTCTTTATGGGCCCTACTCCAGCTGACGTTTTAAAACAGTACTCTGAAGTAGTAGGAAAACCTTTCTTACCCCCATATTGGTCACTAGGTTTTCATTTATGTAGATTTGGTTATGGAAGTTTAGACAATACAAAGGCCGTTTGGCAAAGGACAAGAGATGCTTTAATTCCATTTGTAAATAATTATTGATTTTTATTTATGCTTGATTTTACTTATTAGATTATTAGAGTTTCGTAATATTTTCTTATTTGCAACAGGATACTCAGTGGAACGACTTGGATTACATGGATAAGAATAACGACTTCACATATGATAAAACTAAATTCAAAGATCTTCCAAATTTTATTAAAGAACTTCATAATGCAAGTACCAAATTATCAATTTACGCTTGATAAAGTTATTTCAAATCGGTTTGAATTTATTATATTTTAAATTTTTAGGCAGGAATGCATTACATACCTCTCATTGATGCTGGAATTTCGGCATCTGAAAAAAATGGAACATACATTCCATATGATGAAGGTGTACGTCGAGGCGTTTTTGTTTATGACACTTATAATAATGAACCATTCAAGGGTAAAGTATGGAATTTAGTTTCCACAACGTGGCCAGATTTTACAAATCCAGCAACATTGGATTATTATACGGAAATGATGAATAATATGTATGAAGGCTTCGCATATGACGGTGCCTGGATAGTAAGAATATATTTCCTTAATCAGTATTTTAATCATCACTCCCAGCATATGTCAATGCATATTTATTTACTCTCAGGATATGAATGAGCCATCGAATTTTTACAATGGACACATAAATGGTTGTGAAAATACAAATCTAGATAACCCGCCGTACATACCTAATATTAATTCTCACTTGTTAGCGAAGAAAACTATTTGTATGAGTGCTAAACATCATTTGTCATATCATTATGATCTTCATAATACATACGGCACAAGTCAAGCTGTCATTGTCAATCAGTAAGTTAAAAAATTAAGCAAATGTTGAATTAAAATAATTATTCTTTAAATGATCTAATACCCGCAAAATTCAAAACATTTTTACTTTAGCGCATTGAAGAAAATAAGAAATAAACGGCCATTCATTATTTCTCGATCTACTTGGGAAGGTCATGGTTTTTACGCTGGACACTGGACGGGTGATGTATACTCTTCATGGTAAAAATTCTTCATTATAATTTACTGAATAAGTTTACGTAAAGTTGAATCAAGATCAACAAATTTCTTAATTATAGGCATGATATGAGAATGAGTATACCGGAAATTTTAGCTTACAGCTTATTCCAAATCCCAATGGTCGGAGCTGATATCTGTGGATTTGACGGCAATACTACAGAAGCATTATGTAACAGATGGATGCAATTAGGAGCTTTTTATCCCTTTTCTCGAAATCACAATTCTGATGATACTATCGTATGACATTTTGCACTGATGAATACATTTTTGATATATTATATTGTAACTTAAAAATTATTTAGGAACAAGACCCTGTTGCTATGGGCCAAATGGTAGTGATGTCATCTAAAAAGGCACTGAACACGAGATATTATTTCTTACCATATTTATACACTCTATTTTACCGTGCCCATATATATGGAGAGACCGTTGCTAGACCCCTTTTTGTCGAGTAAAAATAACTTCGTAGATTATTTAATTTAAAACTTGAGAGAAATATTAATATCTTAATATTCGATTATTTTAGATTTAACGAAGATCCTAAAACATTCAATATTGATACACAATTTTTATGGGGTAGCTGTATCATGATCGTACCAGTTCTTTTCGAAGTAATAAAATATATGAAAACATGTTTTTAAAATATTGGATATCAGTTACTCGAATACAAACTTTTAATTTCAGGGAAAAACTAACGTGGAAGCTTATCTTCCAAGAGGATTGTGGTATAACTATTACACGATGGAATCTTCTTTTTCGATCGGTAAAAATTATACACTCGATGCTCCGCTCGATACGATCCCATTATTAGTTTACGGAGGCTGCATTTTGCCAGTTCAAGAACCAAGTGTAACAACAACATTGAGTCGTCAAAAGCCTTTCGGCCTGTTGATTGCTTTAGATGAGTTTGAAAATGCAAAAGGAGAATTGTATTGGGACGATGGCGACAGTTTAGGTAAGTGAAAATTTATTAAATATACCTTTAGGTTGAAACAAGCTAAGTTTTGTTATCAATAAATTGTAGATTCGATTGAAAAAAAACAATACAAAATCTTTAAGTTCGAAGTATCAAATAGCATGTTAACGAGCAATGTGAGCAACGGTACCTTCGATGGTAATATGAAACTGAAAAACGTAATTGTCATGGGTATTCCTAAAGTCGTAAAACAGGTGTTCTTAAACGATAAAGAAGTTGACTTTGAATACGATAAAGAAAAATTGGTGAGTGTTGTGTAATTATATTTTACTTTTCTCAAGAAAATTGTACATGTATTTTAAATGCTATTTTTCAGACTTTAAAAGTTGAGAACATATCTTTAGATTTCTCAATGACGTTCGATTTGAAATGGAGCGATAAACAAACGGAAAGACATTTATCAACGACAGCTATGCCGCAGCACGTTGAACCCACCAGTCATGCTTATCCGACGCTCCAAGAAATGGGTGCTATGAGTTTTGCTGTAAGTCTTTCTACAACTCCTATTTTTATGGGTTTTTCTTTATTTATATTTTTCAACTCTTTGTGATTAAATAACGTGTAATATAACTAATGAAAGTTATAATATTATAACTTAATAATGTTATCATATTTTAACATTATGCATGAACAATTTCAACTTATCATAGAATAAATGTTTTTTATTTATTATTTGAATTTGCATTATCATTATCATAAGAAACTTGTGAAACTCATTTTTCGTAAAGTTTTGAAATCTTTCATATCTCTATTATATACACTACAGTGTGTGTGAATTTCCAATTCTCACACTGATTACTGACAATTAGTTATAATTGAAAGTTATTGCATGATAAATTAAATTGTAATATATATCGGTTATCTTTACATTATTATGATTTAATGTTTTAAAGAGAGTTGTGTAATTTTATATGCAATTTATTATAAATGCATTATTTACTATGCATGGAAATAGACATACTTGATAAGATTAACGCTACGCGAAAAAAAATGTGAAAAAATATACTTGAAAATTTTTATATAAAATTTTTATATGAAATTTTTGAATTTACATATAACAAAAATGTCCTTTTATACATGTACTGAATTTTGTAACCCATAAGGTTGACCTCGTGTATTTTTATGTGAATAAAGTTTTATAAATTTAAATTTTTGTATAAGTAGTAATTCTGTCCCTTCCTTAATAAATCATCTATAATTTTGTTTTATTTTCTTGTTTGAAAATCTTTAGAAATAAACGTGTGCACAATGATGTATTTTATGAAATATTTTAGCTGAGAAAATAGTCAAGAATGCCTTATAACTTAATGACATAAAAAAACTTTGATAAAGCAAAGCTTATAGGAATTACTCATTTTGTGATATCGAAATATTACTTACAAAAAAAGAATTTCTCTGACTACATAAAATAAATAAAGAGCAATTAATTTTTGATAGTATTCTATACAGTTATTTTCTTTACTAATTAGGAAATGAGTATGCTTATGCACGTTACACTTTAAATTAACTATACAGGTATAATAATACTAGGATGTTATTTAGGAGTAAAAGGAGGTTGAAAATAATTAGCTGTTTTATTGCATATAGACAATATATATTTTTTCGTACTCAAGTTTTCAGTTATGTAGTACAGAAAATTTGGATTTTGCACAACGCTTCACATGAATTTTTGGAGTCGAACTTTAACGTTTTATCCGACTACAATATTCGAAGCAAACTTACATCTAATTATTATCAACCACATCTGTTTTTCCATTTTAAAACGCACAGACTAACAATTACGTTGTTTTACTCTGTAGGAAGTTACAAAAAATTAAGTATTTTGAGTGTAGTACGTTTCATCACCTAATAATGTTTTTCTATAAATGATAAAAAAGATTTGAAAATCTATAGTATATATTGCTGCTAATCTGTGCTGCTTTTCAAATTTGTGCTGGTTCAGTTCTTTTTTATCTACATTTGAATTTTCCATACAATCCTTCCCTTTTTTTAAATCGATTTCAAAATTAGAAAAAAAATCGCAATATGACAGCATTGAATGACTCAACAGATAAATAAAGTTATCTCAAAGTTTTTGCGTGTTCTATCGTTGGCATATATGTTTTCAACCCGAAAACATACGCTTACACAAGTATTTCAACAAAAACATATCTACACACTAAATTTACTTGTAATTTTGATTTTTGTCACATCACGTTGGAATTTGTAACAGTTTTTATAATATATTACGATTAAATTTTTCATGGCACACACCCAAAAAAACAAAATAAATATATTCTATATATATATATATGAAATTCGACTTAGAAGCAAATGAAAATACAGCATTTTATCAATGTATTATCATTTGATCTTTCTGAAAGCAAAATTGTCAGACATTTATCAGTCATTGATTGCAATGATAACAGTACGCATTATATCGAACTAATCGATCGCTAAATTAAGTAATACCAACAGAGAAAAAAAAATAAAAAAAATAAAAATCTTTGAGAGAAAACAAAGCGTTATTTACAATGCCTTAAGCCTCAAAATTGTAAACTGCATAAAATAATGCAAAATTATTGCAGTTACTTTTAAATAGTAATAAAACTATGGATTACGTAAGCATATTTTGGATTCTCGTCAAATCACTTTGGCACTCATCAATGAAAAAGTTTATAAAGCTCTTTTAAAGTACGTAACGCAGCGCAAAATAAAAAAAAAACAATCTATCCGCTTTCTCGGGACAGTCTATGACGGACGTCACCTCGATTTAATATTCAGTGCTCTTTCGACCCCGATTTGCATTCGGCCATTCAGGCAAGCGATTTCGCCCAGATTTCGATCTGGAATAAATTTTTTTAAATCGAAGCGATATATTTTCATTTACCCCCTCCTTCCCTTCACAGTTGTTTTCATTCGCACAGTGCTCAGATACTCTATATGTGTAAAGTACATTTATCAAATATGTAAGATTATTTGTTTTCGCAGATATATTTTCTTTCCATTTCTCAAAAATCAACTGAGCAATTGCATTATGATTAAGTTAAATCAAATGACATCTTATGTTCGCAAATGATAAATTTCGTCGCGAATGAAAAAATTATTTCATATAACTGTAGCACCTTCGACTTATAAAATAAACGAAAAACCGTTACACTGAATTAAGTCGTATAATGTTTATATCGATTGTTAAGTAAAACTCCGTATGTAAATATATAGATTACGTTCTTGTAAAACTTCTTTAAACTGGATATCCAATATATTCTTAAGAAATACACGAAAAAACGCTCATTTTAATATTCAATATATAGAACTATTTTCTCTATTTTTGAGTTATTCATTATTGTCTGTTCACATTTACTATACATCTCTAGCTAAAAAGTCCAAACGCATTGGTCTCTGTTTGTTTATGTTGGCTTTGCCAAGTCGGGAAAGAATACAGTGTTTCTAAAAGAAAAAGCTTGCTCTATGTATAACAACGATTCGTTTGGATTAAGTCTGGCTGTGAACACAATAGAGTAGAGAAAAATCTCACTGAAAGCTTTAGCTTCGGATAAAAAAACCTTGTAATTTTTCTTGTAAATAACATATGTTCATCTCACTATAAATGTTAAGTGACGCGGTTGCGCTCGCGTGTGCTTCGCTCGACCTTCGTAGACTCCATTCCAGGGCATCGAAATCTCTTTTTATCTCTGGCTCTCTCTCTCTCTCTCTCTCTCGCAAGTCTTGTGACAAATCGACACACACGCGTGGCACGCGCCTACACATACACACACACACAGAAGGATAGAATAACATTTTTGCGTTTTGGTATACAGCTCGGTACGGTTAAGATTAGCATTGTCAGTGTACAAATATAGATGAAAGGCGAGTGCAATTTATACGTCTATGCTTTTCGTGCGCTATTTTTATCAATTAGTACGGCCAAGCGTTACACGCTTTAATTCTTCTTTTAAAATTCTTTCGCGCTAAAATACATTATACAATTACAGAGACTTTCGTCGAAAATCGATCATAAATTTTCTTCACTCTCTCTCTCTCTCTCTCTTTCTCTCTCTATCTTCTCTCCGTGTGTTCATCCAATCTAGAAATGCCACTTACTCTCCGAGTATTTTGGAAATAATATACTTGTGCCCGCTCACGCAGCGTCCCCGCAGTGGAGACCTCATCCGAATCTCATTGGCAACCCGTTTTCGCGTGTGCGTGCTCATTGAAATCCTGCCAGCAACCAACCCCTTTTATACATTCGAATCAAAAGAGCCATATTCCCTTTTGCAAATCTCGCAATCAATTGCACCTCGAGTCCCCAAACGCGCTATGTATATGCGATAACCAAACCGGGCAAACGTCCTATGGCACTGATGCGGAAGAGAAAGAGAGAGAGAGAGAGACAGAGAGAGAGAGAGAGAGAGCGAGAGAGAGTGAAGCGAGACATTGATCTCTCTCTCTCTCTCTCTCTCTCCTTCCCCTCTCCCCTCTATACAACGCCTAACCCCTTGCTCCCCCCCGGCCGTGGTTCTCTCGAGACGACGGCTAAGTACGCGCTTACGTGGCTGTGAGCGTCTCCAGCACTTCCTCGGGCGTCTTCTTGAGCTTGCGGAAGTTGTCCCAGTGCTCCTTGGGCACCGTCCACTCGAGGAAGACCGACAGGTTCTTCCTCAAGGCCTCGAACTCGGTGTTGAGACCGTTGGCCTTGACCGCCTCCTTGCCCGCCGACTCGAGCGAGTCGACGAGGACCTCGTCGATGAGCCGCTTGCCGAAGCCCAGCTCGTCAAGCCTCTCCTGCTTGGATATGCGCTTGAGCAGCACGGCCAGCAGCAGCCTCATCTTCTCGATGGACATGTTGCGGAACTTGGCCATAGCGCTGGCCGACACGTCGCCGCTGTCCTCGTCCTGGTCCTTGGCCAGGCAGCCCTTCTCGTGGGCCTCCAGGTCGTTCTTGATCCTGAAGAAGCTGTTGCAGTTGCGGCAGCAGTAGGGCTCGCTGCGCCCGTGGATGCATTTCATGTGCTTCTTCCAGTGCGGCAGCTGCGTGAAGCCGGCGCTGCACTCGGCGCACTTGAACGGCCGTTCGCCGGTGTGCCGCCTGGTGTGCAGCTTGAGCGCGGTCGAGTGGGCGAACGCCTGCCAGCAGACCAGGCAGCGGAACGGCCTCTGGCCCGAGTGCGTCCTCTGGTGCACCGTCAGCTGGCTCTTCTGCGCGAAGCGCTGGCCGCAGGTGGCGCAGCCGTGCGGCCGGTCCTGCGCATGGGTGCGCATGTGCTGCGGCAGGTGGCCCTTGAACGTCTTGTTGCAGATCGAGCAGAGGAACGACTTGACGTCGCGGTGCAGGCACTCGAGGTGCTTCTTCAGGGCGTCGCGGCGCACGAAGCCGCGCCCGCAGATGTCGCACTTGTGGTCCTTCTGGCCGTTGTGGCGCTTGACGTGCAGCGCCAGGTTGGCCGCGCAGGTGAACGTGCCCGAGCACAGCTCGCAGCTGTACGGTTTGATCTGGCTGTGGGTGCGCCGGTGCTGCACCAGCTGGCCGCCCCGCGCGAAGCTCTTGTCGCACTCGTCGCACTTGTAGGGCTTGAAGCCGGTGTGGGTGCGCACGTGCAGCTTCAGCCGCTCCTTCAGCGGGAACTCCTTGCCGCACTCGTCGCACTTGAACAGCGGCCCCTTGGAGTGCACCACCTTGTAGTGGTTGCGCAGACCGCCGCTGCCCTTGAAGCGCGCCTCGCACAGCTCGCAGCTGTACTTCTTCGGCGGGTCCGGCTGCCGCCGCTGCTGATCCTCCGAGGACTCCTCCGAGGAGTCCTTGCTGCTCGCCTGGACCACGGACCGCTTGTCGAGCTCGTTGTTGTTGTCGCTGCTCTCCACGATGTTGTTGTTCTCCTGCTCGAGCAGGTAGTTGGCTTTGATGATGTCGTTGATCTTGCTCTGCAGCTCTTTTTCCGGGCTGTCCGCGAACTTCTCGGTCTCGCTGCTCGCCGGCTCCTTCTCCTTTCTCCTCGGCCTCGCCAATTTTTTCTTCCGCGGTCGCCCTCGCGGCCGCTTGGCCGGCGCTTTCGCCGGTTCCTGATTCTCCTCCTCCCCCTCCTCCGCCTCCTCCTCCTCCTCGTCTTTTCTCGCGGCGACGCGCTCGGCCACCGGCTGTGCACCTCCCGCGGCGGCCAGCTTTTCCAGCTCGGGGCTGGAGCACGGATCGCGCTGTCGGTACACGTACACTTCCTCGACGTTCCTCTCGTCGAGGTAGTCAAAGTCACCGTTGATACCGTGGTACAAATCCTCGTCCTCGTCTACCTCCTCCTCGTCCTCCTCGTCCTCCTCGTCGTTGTCGTTGATCATGTCGTGGAGAGGGTCGATTAGTTTGACGCCGCTCCGTTTGCGGCGAATGCCGTTGATGCGCTTAACGCACTCGTCGTCCTCGCTGTCGAGGCCGGCGAACTCGGCGCCACTCAGGTGTTTCCATCGTTCGGCCTTCCTCTTCCTCGGATACTGCGAGCCAAACTGCTGGAACTCGTCGAGCTGTCGGCGCGAGAAGCTCCGCAGAGCTTTGAGGCCGTCGGTGACGCAGGTGTCGTCCCCGGCAGTGGTCTCCTTGATCCTCGACTGCTCGACCGGTCGCAGCTCTGTCAGTTGCACGGCCTCGTCGGCGGCCGGCTGCTGCGGCGGCGGTGTCTCCCGACTGGGCGTGTTGGTCATGTTGCTCGCTCTCGAGCGTACCTGTACGGCTGGGCTCGGCCGGCGTTGGAATCACCAACTGACAGTGGGTGATTGTTGTTGCATTGCCGGCTAGTGCCGACGATCGACTGACTGCTGCTGCGGCGAGAGGCGAGTAGCGCGGCGAGTCGTGTAGTCTGTGAACCGGCCCCTTCCCGTACCCGCGGCGGCGCAAGCGCGCAATCGCTCTCGCGCTCGATAACGCCAACGCCGCTCTCTCGCTCTCTTTCGCTCGTCTCCCCTTTCGCGTGAGCAGAACAGGCTGGGAATTTTCTCTGCTCGGGCCACTTTTCCTCGCACGCACCGTTCGCTCACCAAAGAGCGAGAGAGAGAGATAGAGAGAGAGAGAGAGAGAGAGAGAGAGAGAAAGAGAGATGGGGCGACGATTTTACGAGCCGTGCGGCCGAAGCCGACCTCCCACCCCCTCCTGCCGCCGATGATTTATCCCCCTCGGATGTTAGCTGCTTCTACCGCTCTAGCCTGGACTGCCCCTAAGATAGCTCGTCATTTAATAAGCTCGATGTGTCGAAGGAAGGAGGCCGAAAAAAGAGAGCGACGTGTTCACTTGTTGCCCTTCGAGTTCTTTAGCTTTACTTTTCCCTAAACGCCGTGAAAACGAGAGCTGCACGAGTGTTGTGATTTGTATAGTAAAAACGCGCAAGCTCTACATATATACAGGCTCCTCTCTCTCGCTCTCTCTCTCTCTCTTCCTCGCTCTCTGCGGCCGTCAATCTTTCGCTCGGGCTCACCCCACGCCAATGTTGCGACCCCTGCACCACCACAATAGCGGGATACCTCCGGCGCGTGACGTCCAGCTCAGCTCGCAACAACCCTTGGTCCTTTCCACCCTTGCTGCTGCTGCTTCTGCTGTTGCTGGCACTGCTGCCGCCGTTGCTGATTGCGAGGGCGCATCGTTGTGTTTCTACTCTCTCTCTCCCCCCTTTTTTTCTCTCGCTCTCTGGAAAGTTCGAAGACCCCTTGCGCTTACGGCTAAATGACGCGTTTGCCCAGACCATCCATTTTTGGTGCCGCCGACAAATTTTTTTCCTTTTTTTTTTCTCTCTCTCTCTTGTTTTTTGGTTCTTACCACCACTTGAGCAACACTTGCCCGTGACTATTTGTCTCGGACTCGTTATTATGTATCCCCCGAAGGATACTTTTTTTCTCTTTTATGCACGCGTGCTTGCCTTTGTGTTTGTTTTGCTATTCCCCCACGTTTAATATTTGTGATCGCTTATATGCTTCGACACCCCCGCTCTTTCCAATCGAGCATTAACGGCTTTTTATTGAATCAAAACTCTTTTCTACTCTTCGAGAGTGATCAACAGATTTACTTATCCTATTTTGTGTTTTTAGAGAAGCATACAGTCTTCTATTCTAAACAAATTATAAATGCATCTTTACGGGTTTTAACGGAAGCGCTTCAAAAGTTTGTGCTAACAAATTACGATAACAATCGCCTCCAAGACCTTCAGCTTTTCTTCATTTTCTTGAAAAGCTGTCCGTCTCTCTCGCACGTCGTCGGTAATTCCCTCTTCTCTTGTTTCAACGAGAGATAGTGCGCGCGCGCGCGCGCGAAAGCGAGAGAGAGAGAGAGAGAGAGAGAGAGAGAGTGAGCGAGCGAGAGTGAAAGACAGAGAGAATACCTTCGCCCTTCGTCTGGCGGCAATCAACAATTTGCTCACGCACTTTGGCTGGCGTCGTAATTTGGCGGGTAGACGAGAGGCCGGGCCTAATCGCTTATTCGGAAAAATCGACGCAATTGAATTTTTGCCAGGCGCTGTGCAGAAAGGGGCAATAATTCACTCTCGCGCGGCAATAATCGTCTTGGTGCCGTGTATATCGCGTCGCAATCGTGGTCCGCAAAATATCGCGCACCCTATAACCATTTCCTTCTACGAGCCAACCCTCCTACGCCATTCGGCTGCTCTCTCTCTCTCTCTCTCTCTCTCTCTCTCTCTGCACATTTATTAATTTCTCTCGCGAACGAGCAGCTCAGCTCAGCACGCATCGGCTCTTAATCTTCAGCTGTGCAGCGGCAGCGGAGCAGCACACATGTTCGATTGTGGGTCCCTGGCTCTCGGGCATCGATGTCGCCCGGGAATTCCAATTCTGCACTTTACTCCGCCTCACTCTCTCTCTCTCTCTCTCTCTCTCTCTCTCTCTCTCTCTCTCTCTCTCTTTCTCTATTTCTCCATCTCGCTCGTTGGGTACGTCCGCGAAAAACGATGCTCCCCTTTATATACGCGTGGCGTGTGTGTGCGTGCGCGCGCGTGTTCGTGGTGCTAGGCCAGTAGTGTAGCCGCAGGGGGAACTTCGTCAGCCGCTGAAAGAACGTCGGCGTGTGGGGTGGGCGTCTAGCTCGGCGCGCCCGTAAGTGGCTTCTTCCTCTTGAGTTTGCGACGAATCCTCATGTTTGATTTCGCCCGATTTCCGGCCGATTATTCACGCGGCCTATTAACGCGATCGTCTTTTTTATCCCTCGGCTCGTGTTTTTTTTCTCTCTCTCCGGCCCCCGAATCAGTTTCCCCCCCCTTATCGAGCAGTTCGAGTGTCGATATAGACACGCGCCCGCAGGGGGCTACTGACTTGCTTGCACGAATGCCCCTGCCGCTCGCTCTTAATTTGGCAGTCGGGATTTTTTTCGATTAGCTTGGCCCGCTGCCGCGCCACCGGCTTCTATATATACGAAACGCTTAAGTGGCACCGGCAACAGCAAGTGGAGAGATAAGCGACGACGATGTGGCAGCTCGCGCTCGCGCGCAGTCCAATTAAGCCGCCCTTTCTTTTTTATACGTCTCTTTTCCTCTTTTTCGCTGCCGCCAGATTTTTCGCTCTCTCTCTCTCTCTCTCTCTCTCTCTCTCTCTCTCTCTCTTTCTCTCTCGATTTCGGCCCTGTGCGCGCGCGCGCGCGCGCGTTAGTTGCGCGTCGGCGGCGACCTTTATTAGAGCCGGGAGCAGCTACTGGCTGGTGTCGCGGGAGACTTAACTACGTTAGTTCGATGATAGGTGCGCGCGTGCGAACGAGAAGGGCGAATTTCTCCTCTGCCGCTGCCGTCGTCGTCTTCTTCTTCTCACGAAGTCTCTCTGAAGTCTTAGTTAGCGGAGGGGCAGCAGATGCGTGCGTGCGAGAGAAAGAGATCAACGCCAGCAGCAGCGGCAGCAGCAGCGGCAGCAGCAGCGGCAGCAGCCGTCACCGACTTATCTGAAATGAAAGAAGATAGTAGAGACTACAGACTTTTCCTTTCAGCCTTGACCAAGCGCACGGTTAGTCACGAGAGTTTCGCCAATTCCTTTTCTCTTTCGTCTATTTCTTTCCCGCCCTCTATCTCGTCTAGCGAGCCATACGCTACAAGGCATTCATTCTCCGAAACTGCTAGCAAAGGGACTGGACTCTATCGAATGAAAGTGAGAGGAGCCGCCAATCGCACAGAAAAAAAAGAGACTTACTTTGCTAACTTTAACATTTAGAGGGTCGGGAAAAGAAGGAGCAGTATATTGCCTCGAGGGAGATCCGAAAAGAGGATTGTACGAGAGAGAAAACGTAATGCGGTGCACGAGATTGGAAAATTGATGATTTTACACGCCTTCCGCGCGTTACGCCTTGAGAATACAAGCAACAGCAAGCAACCGATTCTCCTTTGAGCTTGATTTAGGGCGTTTGATTAGGGATAAAAAGATTTTTTTTCTACCCCACTCTCTCGACAAATTGATTCTTTTTATTACGTTGTTTGCATTGTGATTCTAATCGGGGGGCTGAGCAATCATTTTTTTTAGTTCTCGCTCGCTCCCATCAATAGGGTGTCGATTGTTCGACGTGTCGGTATTTTTATCTGCTTAAACTTTTCTTTTTTTTACTTTCGTTTCGAGGGGGGACGATGCAAGGTGGAAGCGCCACTTTAACTCATCGTATAATTGAATCGGACCGATTCGTTCTATTTCACTTAGATTCGAATGAAATGATTAGAAATAAAGTACAGCGATTTTGTTCGCAGCGAAAATCGACTTACGGTAGCGGATTGCATCTTTGCCGACTTCGAAGACTGGAAGGTTGGGTATTCGATCGATTTGATGCTAGAATTACCGAGCAACAGAAGCACTGTGAACTCAAGTAATTCGCTGAAAAGATTATACGGTTGCATTTAATAGGTCTGGATTGTCCGACTGGGCGAAAAACGCAGTGGACTATATATATCTGGACAGTGCATTAGGATTAAGAAGGATCAAGGGGTCGAAAGAGTTTCGGACAAAGCACGAGTTCCAAATGCAAAACAGACGTTAACAAAGGGCTGCGCAGGACGCTTGCGCGAACTAAAACCTTCACGGCGCGTTATTTTGATAGTTGGCCCTCGTGCACGCCACGCGTCTGTTTTTGACTACAAGATGGGTCGCAGTAGTATGAATTAGGACGATGCATTATGTCCGCAGACCAGATCAAAGGATCAGACACCCCGCGAGCGAAGCTGAGTTCTGGCCGTGCGAACGCATGCGGCTCCTGCTTTAATTAGTCGCCGCTCGGTACATAGCAACCATCGAGACCGAGGGTCGCGCCGCTCTGAATAAATATTTTTTTCGAACCGAACCTGCAAAAAATTGCTCGACCGTGTTCAACAATCAGGCTTTGTTTTTACTGGGTCTCAGTCTGTTTTAGAACGATAAAGAAAATTTATGCATTTGAAGATACACGATTAGGGCGTGCCGGCTAGGTTGGTGGCTTTAACTACTTTTCTTTCGTTTAAAGTTTCAATCCTTTTTAACGAGAAGTATATTTTCAAAAACAATTCAATGTCGTCGCATAATGTATACCGAAATATCATGGGTAGCAAACATTTGAAATCTGCGTCGTTTAGCAGAATAAAGTAATTTAGGTGGAAATTGGATTGAAAGTCACGTAAGCACGTTACAGATGCAAATGCAAAATAATCACAGAGAGAGAGAGAGAGAGAGAGAGAGAGACCTCACTTTCTCCCTCTCTCATTGCGCTTATCGAGTTATTGTAGAAATTGGTCCTGATAGGATGTACACGGCTCTGATCCTTTGATCTGGCTGGCGCACCATGGAGCGAGTGATATAGAGCGGAAGAGAGCGGCGAGAGAAGGCATCGGCCGCGATCGATATGAGGGGTGGCACATTTTCACAATGAGTAATCCTTGGGAAATCGTGGAAACAAGAGCACTTCCGTACGCTCGCGCATCGCGCGGAGATTATTAGCCTCGCGATGGATGCAATAATCGATAGACGGAAATTGAATATTATTTTATATAATGGCCGCAATCACAAGAAAGGGGCATGTACGCAATAAATGGCTGAAAGTCAAACGTAAATATCGATCGATAGCAAAGTCAATAATATTCTTTTCTATAATGTGATTGCGATAATTGTAGGTCTATTTATGGTTCTGCGTTGGCTTTGATTTTTATCGTAATTCTTAATGATTCGTTCAGGAAAGTCATGCACACCACATTTCCCTTTCTTTTATTTTCAATATATAGAATGGTGTAACGCATTTAGCCAGAGACCACTATTATATGCCTTCAAGTCAACACGGAATTGTCACCCTAAAAATCTTTATTTCATCCGATAAAATGCGACGTTGAGCTCTACGGGCACAGAAAATAATAAGAGATCGAGTATGATATTGGCTAGGCGCTTCGCTATGCCCATCAGTGGAACATTAGCGAGATTCCAGAATCGAGTAATAACATCGATAATAACGCTTCGGGGGTAAAAGGGTATGTGCAAGAGGAAAACCGTTATCAGTGACCATAATCTTGGGGTCGGTCGAAGCGAGGCTTTTTTCACTCGCGGCTCGATTAGCATCTTTCTACTGACAGGCGACGAGACTGCCGCGTAAACGACCGAAACTCCACGGCATCCATAATCGTAAACATATGTCGAGGCTACTATGCGCGCGCGACGTCGTGCATCGATCGGTTCTACGACACATTGTGTGTGAGTCGGCTAGCGCAGTCCGGACTACACTACTCCCCCTTCTGTAGAATCTCATTCTAGTTTTGAAAAATGCGCTCCACGGGCAGCACTACGGCCTTTCATAATACCACGGTCTGCATTTGCAAGACTTTTCGTCCATATGGTGTTATATACAAGGCTTTTGTATTCGCTCCAAGCTCTCCGTTCGTTCATTACACTTTCAAATGTCCTTAATTAGATTAGAATTTGATTTTCGATTCTTCCTTCCTGTCGTATAAACTTTCAGCAACGCGCGCTGTCGCGTAGCTAGAATCGATTTAATTCTGTTCTTCTATTAACATTTCTCGAATTACTTGGAATTAGAATTTGAATTGATCGACAGACTGGAAAGTCTCTAGCATTCATTACTCACTTCAAATTTGTCATTGAATAGCTATCAGATCAAATTATTTTTAAAGTTCAGCTGGAATTCGGTTTTGGTCTACTATTCAAGCGCTAATGAGCTTGGCCTGTCGAAAGAGACTTTCTACACCAAATCTTTCACGATTCCAAATTAACAATGCCACTCTTCTTGTAGGAGGTCAAATTTGTCATTTCCCAAAATTCGACTGTTTAATAGAAAGAAAAAGACGGTACAATTGAATATGATTTATCTCATCAATAATTCATCTGCGAGCGCGAAAATCGGAAACCCTTATAATCAAATATGATGAAGCATAAAAAGACTAGTCACCACCCACTCATATATCGACACGATAAAAACGTATATCATGCTAGCCTGTAGGCAAGTGATAGAGAATCCCAAATTATCCATGAAATTCGGCTAATACACAATAAATCCCGCAGCGGAAACAGACGTATGTTAATAAGGTATCAATAATGTATACCCCCGAGGGAAAAATATGTCGAACGGCCGTGGCGGGGAAAAAATGCCGGCGTAATGGCAATTATCGATGCGGCGATCTGCTTTTTTTCTCCACCTCCCCTTCCCCCCAACATATCAAGTAGTTAAACGATATTAAATTGCTTTGAGACGTATCCAAATTCATCATTATTAGCCTGTTCCTAATTCCGGTATTTAGGCTGTATGCACGAAACGAACGTTTATTCTTTGGCCAAATTGATTTCTGATGTAAACCGCTTTTGGTCAGTAGCACTGTGCGGCTACTCGGTTCGATGAGGTTCCTTATTCTCTCAGTCCCTCGATTTGCTTTTCAAACGATAAGATTTTCGGTAATCTTATCTCGGTCGGCTTCGGCATACGTCCACGTGTGTGGGGAAACAAGTGTCTGGCTTTTTTACGAGTGCGTGCAGGGTGCCGACTGTCGAGCGAAAAGGCCCTTAAATCTCCCCTCCTTTTCTCTCTATCCCTGCTACGCTCCATTTGTCAGTGTGGCGGCAGTCGGCAGTGAGTTTTTTTAATTTACGTCGCCACGACGCGTCGCGCCCATGTATACCTATATATAGGCACGCATAGAAGTCTGCTCTCGAGGCCGATTTGACTATTAATTACCGACTGCTTTTGCGCCCTTTCAATTACTTTTCGAACCATTAAATTTGTCGCTGAGTTCTCGAACTTCCGAGCCCTTTACTGCGCATTTTTACGATTCCCCGGCATTCAAACACCGCCGCCGCCACCTCAATGAAACTGTAACTAGCTGATAAAAACTTTTGTTATCTTAATGACTCTATTGTAAACTTAAACAAACCGTGCGTTCGACGATGCGCGTGTCCAAGCCGTCATTGCACTTTCGAAAAAATGCATTCTAATTAAGCCTCGAGTTAAGTCAATTACAGAATCCCCTGAACTTAATTGAATCGACTGACAAATGGCCGATGAGTCATGAAACGAGACACATCACATCAAAATGTCAACTGTTTTTGCGAAAAAAAAAAAAAAGAAAAGAAAAAAACGTTTCGAGTGGTATAAATTACTTTTCTCACGAGGAAATAACTTTTTTGTCTCGGAACAATTTCGGGCGTTATTTATTCGTATCAAACTCTAATCCTATCTCAGTTAGCTATATTAAAAGAGATTTTATCTATCGTATATACTGCGGCAAAGACGCAAGAAGAGAAAAAGGCAAGCACATAAATCAGAGTTACACTAGGACCCCTCGCTTCGAATGGGTTTTCCTTGGCGCAAGTCTTGCACGACTTTCAGAATTGGAGTAGTTAGAAATCTTTGTTAATCGTTTCGTGGGGATGATATTCATTACGCAGTGACAAACTGCCACCTGACGCAGGACAGCAACATCTTGACAGATAAAGTTGTGAAAGGGAGCGATCGTTTCTGCCTTCGACTGCTCGCGCGAGCTTCGAGGCTATTTTGAATGCGCCTAAAAATATCCCTGCCGCGGCAAGTGACCTGCGCGGCTCTTTTCCATTGCGTCACGCGCTCGCGAGCACAATGAAAAAAAGAGCGTGAAGCTGCCGAAAATTTCGATCGTGAACTCCCCTGCCGCGCTAACTTTATTTCGCCCGCGACATAAAGGAGGTAGGGCGAGAGAGAAAGAGAGAAGAACGTCGCGCTCGGGTATAGATTAGCCGAGAGAGAATCGAAGTGGCGACGAAAGGGGAGGAGGGAGAGGAGGAGGAGGAGGAGGAGGAGGAAGGGAGAGCGGCGCTGATCACGGGAGGAGGAGAGTGGTGTGGGTGTAAGTGCGCCAGACTCTCGTCGACGAGCAGCGCTTTCATTGTTGCGCACCGACGCCGCCGTCTTCTTTCCTGTGAATACGGTGCGTATCGTGAGTCTATATATACCATTGATATCTCTGGATTTTTCGAGGCGAGAATTTGTTGCGCGTGCAGTATATGCCTCTAATAAGGGGCGTTTGATTTCCTTCGCCCTCGTACTTTTTTGGCCTTCTCTCCTGCGCGCCGCTGGCCAAGTGTTTGGGAAAGGGATTATGATCGTAAAAGTAATATGGGGGGAAATTAGGGAGCTCCTTTTTTTCCTTTTTCTCGCCTCTGAGATATATATCTGTGCACGACGATGTGATCACGGGGAGAGAGGATGTCTCACTTTGGTCAAAGCTCCATTGATATAATTTATCAAGATCTTATTCAATTTGCAATCGCTGCTTATGCTATGAGAGATGGTTTGGTTGGCGCGCTTCCCTTTTCTGACGAGCACGTGAGAAACGCGCGACGGCTCTGAAGCAGCAATTCAGCGTTTTTTGTTGCAAAAGCAGCGACAAAGATGCCCAGATGTTACCCAATATCGGGCACGAAGATGAGGGCGCTTCGAGACTTCCTCACTCGGCAGTTTATTTGTTCAAATGCACATGAACTGTGTCACCATTATCTCCTTTTTGTTGTACGGAGGAACAAAGAAATCGACACCGAGCTGAATTTGATATCCAGTTTACCGGCTGTTGCCGAGAAGAGTGTTCACGTGAAGATTTTTCGTCAAAGCTGTTGAAAGCACAGAAAAAGATCAGTACGAAATTTGCATATTTTTCTCATTTGGAATGCTGAATGATGTAACACACTTTCTGATCGACAATAGAAATTGAAATATTTCAAGAGGGTTTCAAACTCTATCCGTAGTTGAATAAAAATACTTGCCCCATCCTCAGCTGCTCAAGGAAGAGAGAACAGAAAAGAATAGAAATTGTAATACCGCCCCCTGTTTGCAACGTGATGTAAGTGACAAGGAATGTTTTCACTTTATTGCGCGCGATAGGACAAAAGGAGTTGTAATGAACCTTGGCGTTAAAGGGGGGCATAGCTTACATTCTTTTGCATCTTACTGATCCTACACTTCCTACACTAGGCAATCGCCTCTCTTCAGGTTTCCAAGATGGCTTAACATGTTAAGTGCATTTTTCTGCCAAAATAATATCGTCATTCAGAATTTCGCGTGTCACGAAAAATTTCTCGGGATGAATATTGCAAGAACAAACGAATCTGCGGAAATGTAGGGTCGAGAAATCTCATAGGAGTGTTTGGAGAAACGACGGGATGAAGAATCGGTGCAAGAAAATATGTATTAGGCTAATTTGCTCAACAGGTTAAATTAATAGTAGCCCAGTAAATAATCAATTCCTCCCTCACTCATAACCGTATAGACCTGCTGTATTATTTACTTGATGCCTAATCTCTTCCAGCATATTTTCTGCTGAGTATTAATCTATGTAATATTAGTCTTATCTACGTTTACGACCCCAGAGTGTGTATGTACTTATATATACTGCTTCGAATGAATTGCTAAATAAATAATCAGATTATATGAAGGAAGTTTTATTTTTCTTATTCCTTTCGTACTCTGTTTTGTTACTCATGGTAAAGTATTGCGCACTTTCAACGCCGCTCTCGGTTTTGAATGTAAAACTTAATTCATTTTTTAATAAAGTAATAAAGTCTGTGAATACGGATAACCTTAGACTAATATTACCTTAAAAGGTTCTTAAATGAAAAATAATGAAAAGCTCATCAATTTGAATTGACGCGAACACAAGTTTTTACTTATTATATATTCAAAACAATATGGAGATAATTCGCAATTAAAGTTCATTTTTTATTAATTATGAAAAACAAAATATCAAAATATAGATTTACAAGTGAAAGCTATTTTAAAAGACTTTAATAAAAATATTTTGGTCAATAATCTATGCTCGATAAATTTTTGTATTTTTTCTTTTGGAATTATTCGAAAATAATAACTACCAGACTGTCATACGGATCCAATTAAAGTACGAAGTATCTTCTTTTCATTTAAGAACCGGAACGACGCTGTGTAATCTAATTGCCTTTTTATCTCTAATTACGGACATTTTCTCAAAGTAAAAGTTTTGAAAGCATCTTTCTTTCTAAATGATATTTACGTATTCTAGCCCAGACGGCAGTTAATGAGAAAAAATTATTCAGTTTTTTAAAATGTTTCAATAAAGAAAGAATTGCGGACAAATTGAGAAATATCAATCGATAACTTTTTTTATATTGGTATAGTATTCGAAATTCCCCTTCTTTTCTCGCCGCAATGTATACACACAAAGAGCCATTGCACAATCAATAATGGAAGAAGCTTACAGCGAGGCAGACATTTTCAAAACATATGTTTACGCAACAGCACACTCCTGAAATTCCGTCAATACCCAAGCATCTTCGAAAAAGGAATCCCACGCGAAAGCTCTTCTTGCGTCTCGGTCTCGCTCTGCTATCGCGATACTCGGAAAACAAACACACCCAGTAGTCTCGAAAAGTCTCAATCACACTTCTCTCTTTTTTCAGTACCAAAGTCCTTCCAAAAAGTTCATAGCTGAAACATTCACTTACTACTTTACTTTGCCGAAAGCCAATCGTCATTCCCCGCGCGAAGAAAGAGCGAGAAGCTTTACCGAGAACAAACAAAACCAAAAGGAGAAAGCCCCACAGCTTGCTACTCTCCCGGGCCAGTGTTTTTGCCCATTCCCTAGCAGTAGCTCGCCCCGTTCCCAGAGAGAGAGAGAGAGAGAGAGCAGCGAGCTCGGAGGATTTCATTTTTTTGCTCGCTCCACATTCCCCTCTTTTAGTTCGGAGTTGGAGACCCTCGCCTTCGACCGTACGCAATTTTTGACGAACGCGCGCGCGCGCGCGCGCACGGCCGAGAAGAAAGGAGCGTATGAAAACAGGAGAAAGAAAAGCAAAAAAGCCACAACCGTCCGCGTGTGCGCATTGAACTTCCCAGGTCGTCGTCACCACGGCGGAGAGTGAATATCCCTCTCTCACTCGCTCTCTCTCTCTCTCTCTCTCTCTCTTGACGTTTGCTCTCTTATCACTCTCTCGTTGGTTTATTGCGATCAATTGGCGAAACTCGCTGATCAAGCGCGCGCTCGTGGCAAAGCCCGACGATATAACTAACCTGAACGGAACAAGAAGAAGAGGAAGAAGAACAGTCAACGGGTGCTTGCGGCTGGTGAGTAGCGTTGAGGTGCTTTGGCGTCTGCTGCTTGGCAGCTCTGCATCGGCGGCCTAAAACCCTACCCTCGCCATCTTCGATCGTGTCGTCGCACCGCACATGCACTCGCTCTCTTGCTCGCCCGTGCCTGAGCAGCAGCAGCAGCAGCTCGCTCGCTCGCTCGCTCTCTCGCGCACACGACTTTAAAAAGCTTTTGCCTTGCGCAGCAGCGGCGGCAGGCAGCGCGAGGGGAGCCCTGCTCGTAGCTTCCCTCTCTCTCTTTCGCGCGGGCGCGCGCGCTCCCCCGCTCTGGCCTCCTCTCTCTCTCTCTCTCTCCCGTTGCCTCCCTGCCCTCCCCCACCCCCTCCGCCCCTCCCCCCCTCTGCACCGCTGCCGCGCGCGCGAGCTGCTGACGGAGACGGAGCAGCAGCCAGCGCTTTTTCCATTTCTACGATGACGTTTTTCTATTTTTGGGCTTATCTCGGCCCTCTTGCCTTCCTTTGCCCCCCCCCCCCCCGCCCCCGCCCCCGCCTCGCGTCTTCAACCGAGATTTCATTGATTTTCCCGCTTTGCCCCTGTCCCAGCCACCAAGCCTACCATTGGCCTACATTTTCAACTTTAAACTTCGCCGTGTCTTTGTCTGGCCAGCAGCGCGCAGCTTTTGCACTTTGCGCGCGTGTGTGCGCGTCTCTATATACGTGTGTTGCAATCTATACGCTGGCTGGCTGATGCGATCCTCGTTGCTCCACTTGCACGCCCGAGTGCGCCGAACTTGACGCCTGCCTGGCGATGCAGCTGAGGCCCCGGGAGGAGTTGCACTCTGCTGCGCTTATGTGCATTCTACCTGACCGACCGACGATGGACCCTCCCACTGTTGTTTATTTGAAAATTTAATTGCTGCATTGACGAGCTAGTCTATCACGAACGATATGTAGCGTCAGCTCGAGTTCTAGCCGAATTCGCAGTTCGCTTGCACACGGGTACAGTTTCTTTGAGGGGACCAATGAATAGAGACGAAAAGCAGTCGCAAAGAGACACCGAGTATTCCCCTCTTTTGCATAATTAGGTAGTTTTGTCTTATAGACCCGTAGAATGTATTCAACTTTAGTTGCAATACGAAGCATGCGGATGGTGTGTACAGTTATAGCACGACTGCACTCATATTTTTTGTCAATATTTCATGAGTTGTCCAAGTAGCTGGGCAGTTCGCAACTTGGATCATTTATAGCGTGCGTTGCTCAGTAGAAAATGGAAATGGTCATTGATAGAATAATAGAGCTCGTTATCGGAGAATGTGGTGTGGTATCGTAGTCTGTCGCTGCACAAGCTGCCATAAACGCTACATATATCACGCGACAAAGCGACTTGCTGCCCATTGGACCGTTTAATCTTTAATGCTTTGTGCGTTTGATGCGCAAGAGGTCAATTACTCTTGACTAGAAGCTCAGCGTTTTCATATTTTAGAAATAAGCACGTTTTCAATTGTAATCATCTTTTTGCCTACACTTGCGCATACGTGACCGCTGCACAAGTGTCTTTGTTTGTCGCTGTCGAGTTTTTTGTGTGCTAATTGAAACACAGATAAGAGGCGAAACTCTAACGCGATAAGATATAACGTAGGATTGGGAGTTTGATAACTCATGTATACGCTTTAACGAAGACTCTACCGGAGAACCGTTATTTCAAAATAAATTATGAATATTTCTTTTCTTGCTTTCGACTATTGCCGTTTTAAATGTTGTTTATATTTTCAAATGCTTCTAGAATAAGTATAGATTTTTTATATATAGTAGTAGAATAAGTATAAATTTATTAAAAATATATTTTACACGGAATTTCCGTTATCGTGTATTTAATAATTAAATATAATTCTCTCGCATACTTTATCAGAATGGTAGTTGTGTCGTTAGATTTTTAATTTATTAATTTTAACAAAATTGATAATTTCTCTCTGGTGATACTACTTGTATGTTAAAACTTGACAAACAAGAAATTATACGGAAAGTAATGTAAAATTAAAGTTTAGGTTGAAGCTACACACAAGTGCCATGAAGCCAAACCTCGGAGACTTCAATTCTCTAGAAATATGATTTTAAAAGGAATTTAGGTTCGGTGATTGCTCATATGAATAGGAAGAATCTTGTTAGAGACTTCAACGCTTATAGACAGAATATCATCGCTTTTCAAGTGTAATCATCATTTGCGCGATAGTGAAAAATATATCCACCAGAAGGTGAAACTTTTGAAATTTCAGAATCCTTATTTATACAGCCGAATTATTTTTCACCAAATTTTCCCAAGCTCTGATAAACTACCGCCAACTATTCGAAATTACGATTTTCTTTACCATTCGTTCATACTCTGTACATTGGTTGCGGCTTCATCAATCGACCTATAGATGGCAATCCGACTACTTTCCTTTTGAAATATTTTTCCAATACGTTCATTACAAAATTAAGAAAAACTAAAAAATTCATATTAATAGTCACATCACTTAGCAGACTAGTTATAATAATTGCTATTTTAACGAATATAATGCGATATTGTTTGCATCCAGTATTGGTTGAAAAACAAAAATAAGTCATCAAAAAAATTATCGAATAACAAATAAAAATATATTTAGATCTCCATAAATAATATTCACTGTTCAAAACAAAACCTACCATCATACTCAATACAACAAATAGTTTTTCAATTTCAAAATATCATTGAAGGAACTTCTTTAAGTTTGATTTAATAAGAAAAAATCAAATTCTCCATGATTAGATAGTTAAGAAGAGCACAAAGAAGGAGCAAATCATTAAGTTTGTTTGCATAATTTGGAGTAATAAAAGCCAGTATAATTAGACATCCGTCTACATTCAATTGACATCGACTGTTACATCGAGCTAATTGTGTAGCGTACAAAAACGATTGAAGGAGATTACATTGGTAAACCAAACGAAATTTTTCTACTATTTCGATAATTTTATATTTTATTAATAAAAAAGAGTACAAGCAATATATTATTTGTGCAGTTCAGGTGGTAAAGGTTCACATAAGCAAAAAAAATAAGATAAACCTTTTCACGATTTTTAAACTTTAACATTAAAATTTTCATAATAAAACTATATTACGGAATCAATTGCCGTTGTTGTGCAAGGAAAGTAACAACTTGAAAAGAGCATGTGGCAGCGCGAATAATCCCATTCTCCTCATTTATAGTGCGCAGACACAAAGCTATACGTCGAGCGGATCACCACCACAGTGTACATCCTTTGCGAACGCGTCAAACGCACTTTCGACTTCTTTGCGCTTTTTTGCCCGAAAATAAGCATGTCCACGAAAGTTGAGTTTAAATAAAAAGTTGCTTCCTGAAGTATTGGTGATAAAATATCTTTAGTAAGTAACTTCGAAAAGTAAAATATTTGACTATTAAAGGACCTAACCTCAAAAAGATAAAAGAAAAATATTTTTCCAAAGCTCATTGGGGAATAAACAAAATCTTACAAATGAAAATTTTTGAAACAGCGCATTTCATGATAATTCAGTATCGTAATGAATAACTTGTCAAGGCTCTGCTTTTAAAACCTTTCATGTAAAACTATACGTCAAAAATCGAATCCAAGTTGCTTTCTTTTCATCTTACAGCTGTTCGTGCACGTATACTACTATGACTTGGTGTCCGTTTAAGTACTTATTTATGAATCTTATTCGTCTCTCTTTCTATTTTGCTTTGTTTTATGTGTAACGCGCGTGTTTTATGTGCCACCAGTTGCGCATTACACAACGTTTTCGTGTGGATTGTCGTGCCACTTGAAAGTTAAGTTTTGAAAATATAATTTCGATGGTATTGCTTCTTATTTGTAAAACGACTCACCTGCTGTTTATTGGTAAGTTTGACCTTTATTTTGAATGCGAATGCTTCCGTTTTATTTATCTGAACAATTTTTCACTGCAAATCAATACAGAATAGTGAAAAAAAGTTCCTTATTTCTTAATATTTTTCTTGTAAGAGTACAATTTTTGTTTCAACCAACGAACACAATAGTAAATTTTGATACTGCACCAAATAGGTAATTTGAACCTCGTGTAGATTTTTACGCCCTAGCGAAGCGTGGATAAAATCACTTTCTCGTTCATGTATCTAACTTTATTTTTCGATACTCTGTGCGCGAGGACTCGACTTTACGAGCGCTCAAGGAACCGAGCATGCTTAACATCTCATCTCACGCACGTCATATCAAAAAATAAAGTTAAATACATGTGCGACAATGTGATTTCAACTTCGCATGGATTGCTCACCCTAGCTTCGCTCGGATGCAAACGTCCACACGAGGCTCAAATCACTTTCTCGCACTAGTATTCAAATGTACAATCTTATTATTATTATTGAATAAATGTACATATACATATGTATCCACATCTTTGACCTGTCTGTGCATGCACACATATGTGATCACGAATCATTGTAACAATTATCTCAACATATTTTAATGCCTTACAAGAAAATTTCTAATACATTCAAATTACAGAACTATCTGCATTATAAATAGTAATTTTCCCTCATTTTGAGAAATGTTCGCACCCAATTCAATCATTTGAGTGAAAAGTCAAATATGAAATAAGAGAAAAAATGGATTTACCTCGCGAAATGCCTTTTCTCGCGTGTTCTGGAGAAAAACGTAGAAGAGGCTTCATAAACGGTACACGCAAATTGAATGAAGTCTACACCCATGTGCCGTTGGCATTACAGCTGGAACGTGCATGCTCTGCTAGGCAATTCCGGCTTTTCTCTTGGTATGACTTACACAAGACAACCACTTGAGCTTGGTATAAGCCGACACGCGCCTTCACTTACGGTGTCAACCAAGAGAACGTAGCAATTACCAAAGCTGAGAAAAACACGTAAAACATATGTGACGATAGATACGTGACTTTTGCAAGTGTTATAATTACATTTTCCTTCGGGAAACAACGTATTTCTCTTAGTCAATTAGTGAGGAATGAAAACTTCGTGATGATTGCTATACGGTTACCAGAATGTTTTTGCGACAAGTCTTTTTATTTAATGTCAAACAATTTCCTTTACAGTTATTATTATAGATTTGTAGTTTTCTTGTTATTGATATAAAAAAGTATATTAAAAACTAATCAATCTTTATTATATTTTATTTTTTATTCATAAATAAATGCAAATATTTGTAATTACTAATAACAATAAATTCAATGGAACTTGTCTTTACTCCATATTCATAATATTCAATTAAAAACTGCTTTTATTAATGCAATAATAATAAACGGTGCAAATACGTTAATTTGCCACTTAAAGAAAAGTATACGGCAGATGACGGAAATTCGTATAATTCAATAGTATGCACGCTAATACTCGACTTTATACCTGAAAAATACTTATGAACGCAACACTGTTATCATATCTGTAGCATGCGTAGCATGTAAAAATATGTTTTTCGATCTATATCTTACACAGGTTGTTTAAATGGCTTAATCCAAGCGACAAATATCAATTGGCATGATTAAAAAAGCGAACAGCCGAAAATCGCGTTTAGGAACAATCTTCTCCGTACATATTAACGATGCATTCACCAGATTAATTGAAAACACGCTGTCAAGCAAAACGTGCTGTCGTAAATTTTGTAACCTAGCGATAATTAACATAATATTTATAATTAGCATACGAACGATTTTAAATATCATTGAGTAACTAAATATTATAAATTGATACAACTAAAGTATTACTTTTCAATGTTGATTATCGTGATCCCTTGCTATGCGTAATAGCAATGGCGATCTTAATGTCAAGTCAGCCCCTTAGCTCACCGATGTATACAATAAGTCGGCACGCGCATCCGAAGATAGAAAATACAACGGGACGACTTGGAAAAATTTGCAATTAGAAGACAAGCTCTCACGTTGATCCAACCCTGTTGGCGTGATTCAACGATTTTCGCAAGCTCATTTTTTGGCTGGCTCTTCACGCGCTTACCGTCGGCTCCTTAGGGAAAGAATGATTACGACGCATCAATCCGAATATACTTCATTTTGATGGATAGGAGAAAGCAGATTTCAATTAGATTTCCGTCAACACACAAATCGAACAACAGATCAGGAGAAAAAAAATTATCAGCTCCATTCTGCTCAAATACGGCCATTCGAAGCCGCACGAGCGGATTATTCCCGCTTATGGGCAGTGATGTTCAATAAGACATTTTTTTTCTCTGTCTCTTTAGCTCCGAGCATTGGGCGACATATATAAAGTGCGAGAGAGCACGAGCGGATAATAAATCTCAAATGCCTGCCCGCTCGTTCGTTTGTGCCCGCCGATATATATATATATATATATATATATATATATATATATATGACCTAGAAGAAAGCTCTCACATAAGCGCGCCAAAGAAACTTTTGCGAAGTATCGCTTGATAGGTTACACAAGTTGTTGCGCAAAAGCTAATAAGTTCTTCTCAAAGCGAGTGAGTCGTTAGTCGAGGAAGTATGTGCGCTCTGCATCGATCTACTTCTACTGAAATTGTTAAGCGCATATATCGCTTGTTAACGGCAGTGCGCGATTAGGATAATAGATGGAAATATCATCCCTCCTGTCAGAAGTTGTCTCTTCGTTTTTGCGCAGTCTTTCGGAGTAATAACTTGAACAAATTTGACAGGTAATTTGAGACTCGTTGAAGATTATTCACGTGAAATATACCCCACTTCTATGAGCCTTTGGATACCTGTCAGTTCCTTAGTCGCAACACAGTTATATCATCATAATAGAGACAATATTGTACCCGGAAATTTACGTAAATTTTTTTGTTACAATTGTCGAAATTTTGCGATCAACAAAATAGAAGCTCGACACTGTGCACTTCGACCCGAACTGAATTCTTTTTTTTTTGTTTTTTTTTTTGTCGACGCTTGTAGGAGCACAGCTTACAAGACTTCTAAACCTCCGCGCCATAAATCTTCGATAATACAAGCGTAAACAGCAAAGAAAGTACACAAAAGACACGTATCAAATCGAGTAAAGAGGTAGCAAGCGCCGGCGCGAAAACCAGTTCATCGACGGCGTATGTCAATTGCGTGATTGATGGAAGAAGAGTTGGATGTGTCTGTGTGTGCGTGTCCGCTCAAAGGCTGCCCACGTACACCGACCCAGCTCCTCGATAGGCTCGACTGATTGGATTTTCTCTTTTACTCGCTTGGGCCGACGTCCTCGCTTGTAGGAGCTTTAATTCGGCTTGAGGCTACTTCTTCCTCTTAGTCAGCTTTGCTGCCATACATTAGCCGATTATTGAGACATTGCGGCTCAGCTCTTTCAATTATATTAGTTTGAGCTTTTTTGAGGATTTTTTAAAAGTTTGTCCTTCACTTTTTCATATCTAATTTGCTATATTACTCCTTATATATTAAACTACTTTTCAATTTCTTCCCAACAAATTCCACTTTATTGATATGAAAGGCATTTCTTTTTTCTTTTTTTTAACCACAACAAATAAAGACTCATTTAACTGGGAACATAAAAACTCAATTACTAGTAAATACGGATCGATTCTCAACCAATAAAGTCTTCCCTTCAAATTGAACGCAGCTAACCGTCTATACGAAAGTAAACGTAGGGTGAGGGTGAAAAAAAGCATTGTCGAACAAAAGCGTCGTCGTTCCGCGCGAGAGAGTGCGAAAAAAGCACGATTACCAATTCAAATCTCTCGAGGCAGTTTTTCGCGTGCGCCCAATCGCATTAGAAAGTGGCCACACGATTCGTCGATGAATATCTTCGATCGGTTGTATTTATCGTGGGGGCGCCAACGGCAAAAAAAAAAGGAAAAATGAACGAGGGAGAAGATCGGTATCGACGCGGCAATTAAAGCGTTCAAATGGTCGAGGCGTGATTCTGTACCCCTGCCGGAAAAAAAAGTCAGTAGAATCATTTGAATGGAGGCAGCTAAGCTCGTTATTAGGCATCGTCTATTGATGTAAAGCGACCGATAATTGCCGGCACTTTGACTGACTACTAAATCGACTGTGATATACATCTGTGCGCGATCATTACTTTCAGCTTCGACTATCATGTTGAAATCTCACTCTCTACGTCTCATTTCTGACTGTACTTATAATTAAAATTGTCCAATGGGATTCACACTGAAATTACGTTTATTCAATAACGCAACCTCGCCATAACGAACGCTTTATTCCATCAGGTGTACGAGCAGTGCAGCTGACAAACACTCGAAAGTAAATCAGAGAACAATATCAAAAGAGCGAGCTTTCGCTGCCAATGAAAATCCGAGAGAGAAAAGAGCCGAGATAGCGATAAATCGCGGAAGGCGAACTCGTTGTCGTAGGAAAAAGAAAATTGCCAACAATTACACCGGTCTCTCCCGTATATTTCTCTCCTAGTAGCGGCGAGCAGCTTTCATTAATCTGAGAGCGGAACGTCGCCGACGATCGAATGAGTTGGATTGAGAGATAGAGATTAATCGAGGCTTCTGCTGGATGACCACGCCACGCGCCTACCATGACTTTTCTTGGAATCTAGAATATTGATTTTTTTTTTTTTTTTGCTGCTGCTGCTTTCTTCCTCCTCATTAGGCACACGAGCTTCGTGTCAGCGGATAATTTATATCCAGTCCCTTTTTACTACTCTCTTTTTTGGCCATTTTCGTGCTTTGATTAACGTCTTGGTCGGAAAATGTTTTTTAGTTGTCGTACGAGAGCAAAGATTATTATCAAACACTTTGTTGTTTGTTAATTATTACTTGGATAAATGCTAACCCAAGATCACATTCAATTTTTTGACTTAGGGGCTTAATACATGAATGATGTAATTCACCCAATAATTATGGTAAGATGACAACAAGTTAGGTAAGTTGTAGTATGAAAGCTATACATTACATCTTAGGTACTCTATTTCATAAGCACTTTCATTTAAACGTTACCGTAAGTGACAAACAACTTGTTCAAACAGAAACATCCGATACAAATTCTCATTCTCACCTTTTTCGAGAGCTTGTGTATATCATTTTCGCTATGACAGGCTCATCTATTATGGAAATATAATACAACGCGTTTCATAACAACAGCAGCAGGAGCGATTATTCGACTGCGCGTATCCTGCTCCTTTGTATGCCAGACAGATTCCTACATACCGCGGATGTTGAAATAAACGATATGTTTGCGGTATGCGTACAGCCGCAACATAGGGTCTTGGGCGTGCAAAACGTGCCGCGGATGTGTTCATAAATCATAATCGCTCTCTGACTTTTTCTGAAACGTCGAAGTATGATTCATAATATGTGACGTCTGCTTGTAATTTTCCAACGTAAGGGATAAAACTAAACAGACGAGAGAGAGAGAGAGAGAGAGAGAGATAATTCGTGTTTAACGGTGATGCATACAATAATAAAATAAATTGATCTTTTTCTTTTCTAAAAGTACTAACGGAAAGTACTAATGCAAAATTATATCAGGCAGTATTTGGATAATATCAATTATTTCCGTCTATTCCTAATGAAATTTATCGAAATAATAAGTTGAAATCTCCGTTATTTTGTTTCACGAGAACGTTGGCCTGAAATAAATCGTCACTAAGCACACTGCAGTATATGGAGTCCAAAGCGGTAAACTATTCTATGATACATCGTTTACAATTCCTTGCAGTGAGCACAGTCAAGTGGCTGCCGATTAAAGTCTTTCGTAAAGGGGATGGAAGTGAACAAACGACGGGTGGAAGGAGTGGACACAATTGTACTTGGCTATCAATCTTTCCGCAAATGGATCAGCGATTATAAGCTCATTCGTTCGTGGTCTCTGCAACTTGAGTATTGCCGGAACTATGGAAGTAAGTGCTTTCGTTAAAGCTTGTCTTAGTTTTTAACAAGTTTTACTTTGAAATGTCTTACCTTTTAATTCTATTTATTTGTACATTTTGGAGATCAATAGTTTGATATTGAATACCGATTGTTCGAGAATTCCGGGGACAATGTAGAGGTGAAAGTCTTACAATGCAACTGAAGTCTCCCTTGAGGGAGGTTCGACATAAATCAGAAACGCTGTTAAGGAAAGCTTAGCCGAACAATATCCTTTTTTGTCCTTTGTTGCAGCTGCACTTTGGAGACTGCGGCGAATCCTCTTATACGCTCGCACAAAGTTTCTCTCTGAAAGATACCCTTATTCCAATGAAAAATAGACCGTAATCATCATGGCGCATCAGTTACTTGTTCAAGTCTACAAAAATAATCTATAACAAATCGTAGTTAAAAAAAATCCAGTTCCAAAAGTAGCTTTTGCTACCACGCTATGTGGAGGGGTGTAACTAGAAATTCGACGCATCGTTTAATCAACGCATGTATTCGAGAAAGATTCTAGCATCAATTCCCATGTAAAGGGGATGTAAAATAGATACCCCCATTACGGGTAATCTTTCGATAGAAAAGTTTCTCTCTCATTACGTAGGACGAGGCGTCCAACAGATACCTCCAACTTCCTATCAAATTTTCCCAGTTCTACACCTTATACCCCTACATAGCTTTGGTTAAAGGGTCAGCCTATCGTTTGCGCTAAGTAATTGCGGCAATGTAGCCCCGCAGTGTTCTCTTTCTCTCTTGGGATGGTTGGCTTTCCTGGTATGCGGATGATGGTCATCCCGAACATTCCCCCAACCTATATTTTTATATTATTATTGGATCGAGATTTCCGTTTGCATGCTTGAACTTAACCAACAAATAGCTAAATAATTTAATAGTATCGATTTCTAAATTTTTTTTGTTTCCTTAATAAGGGCATTTCAATTTTTTATGTTGTTCTCATACTTTGTCTTGATCACGCTAAGCTGAGAACTGAATTCGTCTCTCATAATTCACCGCGTCGGCCGTTCAAAATTCGTCTTTGGAAAGATAAATCAGCGGAGAATACAAGATGAACGATTGAAAGGAGAAGAGAAACGAGGTGGCACCCGACTCGGTGACCTCGCGATAGAGAACCTCTGGTAGCCAGCGGTAGCGTCTTCTACCCATTTGTTTCATTTGATGAATGCGGATATCGGGGTCGGATACACTTATGGATGGGCGAACAATTGTTAAATTTCTACGCACGCAACTGAAATTTTGATAAGATGATGTGTTTGACCGTATTAGTGGAAAAATATTGTATATAAGAAGAGCGAATATAGTGTTTCATTTATGCTGCCGAATAAAATCTGAAACCTTGCCGGAACAGTTTGATAGAAAGTCAAAGATTTTTTTTGAATATAAAAATATTGTTTAATATATTGTTAATTTTCCATTAATAGTTACAAATTGTAATAGTTTGCAACTACTTACAGAGGTGCATACATACTCGTATACTACCTGTACGCAAGCCGACATACCAAGTAAAATTATAAACAAACTTATAATTAAAACTTATAGCTACTATTAACATGAAACTTGTAGTAACTCTTCCTTGTTAAAATTACCATTATCCACTAGGATATTATTATTAGTTTGTTTCCATATTTTTATTGGTGTTTCGGAAACTTTTGTTTTCATCCTGTTTTTCTACGAGATATTTCATTTCCTTGATGAAAATGGAATCATTACTTTTATCTGGGCCGCAAAATGGTAATGTGAGGAAGACATTTAGAGCAGTATCGGAGCTTAAAAATAATTCGATAAAAGGCAAGGAGTTAAAGAAAATTGTGTTCACAAGAAGTTAATGTATTTATTACTCCGGTCGTGGCAAGCAAGGCTTCCACTTGACTCTGTATACTTACTATGGGCTTGAGCGAGGCAGGTAACCGAAGGAGCTTATTGATTTTGTTTAAAGCTGTGCACGTTAGTTAGGAAGCACAGCTGTGACTGTAGACGATCACAAAAATAAATATTACTCGTTGAAGTCAAATAATTAGAAAAGATTTTTAACAAATAGAAGTAGATCCACGCGTAGCTTCATACAATGTTAAGTTTTTCGTAGAAAAGCTTACTGCTTAATAAACGAACTTTTATTATTTACAATATTACCTTCACTGCTTTTATTTTAGTCGCTCTATTAAATGAGTGATAAATACTTTATTTCATCAATAATATAATCTTTTTTTTTTCTTGAATTCTTTACGTCACGTAATTAGGCACTAATTATGCAGACGCGTAATTTACAAAATGTGTATGCATGCTCTACTAAAATACATAAGAGACAGGTGTGATTCTCAACTGCACATATGGTAAATTATTCGTTTTTAACTTTGTATAAATTTTTACACGAATTCATCCACGTTATATCTATACTCACTCACAAGACGAATATGCATGCAATTTTTTCTTTTGCCATCTGCGGCTACACCATCTATACTTCATACATTTAGAAAAGAGCATTGTATACGTTCCCGATTGACTGATTGCTATCTCTTCTACACCGTTTAATCTCCTTTTGCTAACTTTTTTCCTTGTGAATTTATATGCAAGAAATTATATACAGAAAATTATTTTCTTTGCCAGATTACAAATATTTACAATGTAAATATTCTATTACTAATCAATAATCTTGTTTTTGAACGAGTAAGAATGAAATAAATGTCGTAATATCGCAATCTTTAATCAAAAAGTAGGAAACGTTTAATAATTTGACCTTTATAGCTGGAAAGAATCAAAAGATTATTTATTGCAGTTTTTAATATGATAAATTGTGTATTTGGAAACATGGAGCTATTTTACTAATACACATTTTTCCGTTATATGTATTTTGTGAAAAAATTGAAAAAAAACACGTTTGAAAATAGTAATTTATGTTAAATATATTAACCAATATAACAATAAGTTTATAAAATGTACACTTACTTAGTTACATGTATAAAAATATGTGAGATTATTTATAGGAATTGATATGACCATAACGATCACATTCTCATCGGCCTAACCATAAAATAATACGATAAAGTAATCTTAGTGCAATATAATGAACAATAAAGAGAACAATTAACAACATCATCAATAATGAAGAAAATTATAAATTTATATTATAGCACTGCGTGACTTAAGTCCGCCTTCGCGTAACTCCTTTCCGTGACGTAAGTAGTTCAAAACTTGCTAGCGCTCGGGCTATAACCTTACTGTGCCATTTGGAATTGAACTACTAAGTCACGGAAAGACGAGCCGTAAGTGTGGGTTTAAGGTCAGCGATATAAAATGATGAACGATGCACGTGCCATAAGTGACACTCGACGGTACAGCGTTAATCGCCCTCGCTGTGCTCAGGTGTTAACTCGCCGTGCCAGTAGGTCTCACTTACGGCACTCGTATTGCTATATACGATTTCATATTAAATACCATGAATGGCTTCAGCGCATTCGGTAGTAATAATTTATTTAAACATTTTTTTGCAATTTAATTTATAAATGTAAATAAACTCTCCAAATGGTCACGAATGAACAGTGAAAACCTGTTGATGCGGATATAACCTACAAAAACCTTAAAATCATAAATCAACATGTTAAAAAATAAAGAACATTAAATTGTTCAATACAGTCGCCGATTTTATTTATTTGAAAATGAAAAAGTAAACTAACATGGTGCGCTGCCCATTGTTATCTATACAATATATATCGACGCATTGTAAATATTTTAAAACAGAATTATTTTAGGTATTTAGTCTATTTTAGATTTTTTCAATGTCGGCTATAATAATTTTTAATTGATTCGAACATGAAATTGAATATTACTAAATACAAACAACTAAATACAAACAAGACGAGCGCACGAGGCACCCTGAACGACACTGGTATTTATGATTTAAGATCATACCGCTTTTTTTGAGGTACAAGATATTTACAACTTGAACTGTTTTATGCAGAATACTGAAATAAAGTTTATTGATCATTAGCAACCATCTGTTGAACCGTACTTCTAAATAGTATACTTGAATAATTCATTAAACCAGCACATTCGCAATCAACGCACATATGAATTTTTTTCCAAGCTTCTTCAAGTCCGTTAGGAGACAGCCCAACGACGGCCCTTTGTTTTACAGTCTTCCTTTTAGCGTAGGGAATGTCCTTTTTTATGACCACGCTGAGCCTAAGCGAAGCATTGTCCGTGGCAACCGAGCGAATTTCGCTCGCGAAGCTCTTCCTCGTTCGAGGAGGTAAAAATTCTAGGTAGAGCATCACAAACTTCCCTCTCTCTCTCTCTCTCTCTCTCTCTCTCTCTCTCTCTCTCTCTCTCTCTCTCTCTCTCTCTCACTCCCCCCCCCCCCCTCTCTGTCGGTGGCGGCAGCGTGCCGTGCAAAATAATGCCAGAATTCCGGTGCAAATTTTCGCGTTCAGATTCAGTCGCGTGCTTGGCGAGCAAAAAAAGAATCTTCGATACTATTTCTCTTGCTGAGGAATTTTTCAAACGTTCCGAGTCCGATGGATTATAACGAGTCTATTCGTGGAACACTTTGAGATTGTAAAAAAATTAGAATTTCTTATGTACGAGGACCTAATTAATTTCTAATCAATCACAATGACTGTCACGTATTGACAAGGGTTCGCGACTGATGATTTATTTTAATGTGGTATTACTGCAATTCTTCATTTCAAGAGTGATTGATTTACTGCGTGAACGCAAATTTCATGACAAATTTATTTAAATCGTCAACTAAGTAGTAAAGTTTCTCACCGAATTTAGTTGTTCACTAAGCTGAGTTGTCAATTATTTCTATATTATTCGCTCTCGATGCGATACTGTTACGCAATGCTTTCTTGTTCAAAAAGATGAATTGCACGGTAAAAAGCGTCGATAAACTTTTTATAGTCTGCACAATAAAAAGTACAAATGAGATATTTCTTTATTTTGCGACGTTGATAAAGAATTCGTACTTGGCACTTTCTTATAAACGGAGATTATAAATCCCGTTTTATTCAGAATTATAAAACTCCTGTAAACTTTGAAGTAAAATGTATTTACTCGTGAGAATTCACCAGCTATGAAAACTTTCGAATTAGTTGATTATTTATTTTAAGGATAATTTTTCTCGATCATGAAATGCCAGACTTTCAATGTTATGTCCTATCTATAAAATCACTGTTTTAAAGATCCTGACGTGATAGCCGGAAAACTAAAGCCTTAAAAAAGGGACAAGGAAGCACGCTGTTCTCCTCTTCCACTATATAACACTTTAGCTTATCGCAAAAACATATTCATTTTCTCTACTCGTATTGGCATCATCGTAGCCGCGATAGAAATGAGAATAGAAACTCTGGGAAAAAATATATAGAGCAGACGAGTGGCACGTAGTCAGCGATGCCGATGATGAGAAACAATCGGAGGAAGTCGCTCGCGTGAGCGCGTGGCTTGCCATTAATATGTATAAAGCACACACGCTTACTGTATGCAAATCTGAAGCGCTGCCGCTGCTGCTTTGCATGGGCCGAGTGGCGACTGAGCCGAAAGCAAGAAAGTGAATAACCGTGTTAAACTGAAAGACTTTTCTTCACGAGTCTTGCGTAAGGTGCAAAGATCTTGTACGTGCATTTCTTCAAATATTTTTATATATATGTTGAACAGCTGGAAAACAAATGAAAGATGTTCTCAGACGTTCAGAGAAGCTTTAGTTAATCTATCTAACTTGTAGCATATGTTGTACATTCGCAAAACATAACGGCTCAAGCTAATCTAATCAAATTGATTGCACTGCCGTGTTTCTCTTAATGATATTTGCTCAGCTATAAATATTCCTCGTAGAGCCTAAAAATGTACGTTTACTTATTATATAGTAATGTTAACGTAAAATTCCGTATTTATGTTACAGGATGAGATTTAGCAATTGGTCGTTCAACAAGATTGCCAATAACATCGCGTAGCTGTTGTGGAAGCAACGCGGAAAAGTACGAAAACCAAAAGTAAGTTGTAATTCAATAAAAATATCGCAGTTCAAATACTTAATATGTTAGAGTGTCCCGAGAATGTAATAGCTACGTGACCGAGAGTGTATATAGAAATATGCCGTGATCGAGAGATTTTCGCAGGACGGTCGCGTGAATAGTCGCATCGATACGCATCTATTCACGTTGTTGGGCGGCGCGTCAATAATCTTATTCCCTCACTGCAGCTAGCGACTCTTTTCTCTCGTAGCCATCTTTTTCCCTTCTCTTCCTGGCCGCCTACCCGACAAACCCCAGTAGAAAGAATTTGCTTGTTCGTGCTGAGATTTTTTGCGTCGACGAAATGTTTTCGCAAGTGCAGCTGCTGTTGAGTAATACACAATAATTATCAAGGTTATATGTTCGTCTGTCAGACAGAACATATCTCTTCGTCATGGTCGCTAAATTAATAAATATTATAGGACATATATACGAAGGTCAAACAAAGCCGTCATGAGAATGCTGATATCACTTGGCAAACTACCTCGGAGAGGCCAAAAATACGAGCACAGCTATCAAATGGCGCAAACAAGCTCAGTTCGGTCGCTCGCAGCCTGGGGGTCATCATCGCTGCGAGGTGCACGAGACAGCCAACTAATTCAAGGATTAACGAGCGACTGATCCTTCAGCGGTACGGTCCTGTGACATAACTTCCAGTCGGTCCGGTGATATCTCCCGGCAGGAATCGATTTCGGCTCTTGAGAACACTCACGGAATTTAGGGCTCAGCCTTTACTCTAAATGTATACCACGAAAGTACACTGGCAGCGCCCAAAGGCTCGCAACCACCGACCGATAAAGTGGAGAGAGAGAGAGAGAGAGAGAGAGAAAGGCTTTTAGTCATTGACTTTGCATTGTTGGAATAGTCGAGTGAACTTCAGTGTTTTCTGTAAATTATTGTTTGACCGAGAGAGAGAGAGAGAGAGAGAGAGAGAGAGAGAGAAGGGATTCATCAGTGTATGCTCTCTTTAGAATCTCGTTTCAAAGTCAAGTTGGACCTCTTTTTTAATTTTCATTCTACCGGGGGTAGATAATATTCTTCCTCCAGATTTCAATAAAAATCTAGTGTCAAGCACTTGCCTTTGACGATAATATATGTAGTAATATCTGGAAAGCTGAAGTGTCATAACTCGTTTTATGATTTGGCGAATCGAAAAATTCACTTTCAGCAAAAGTTTAGCGAAATGAAAGGAAATTAAAAACTAATAAATTTGAACTTTAGGTTTGTCTTTATTTGCTGGTTGGATAGCGTTGAACAATTAAATAGTAATGACGAGGCTATAAAAACTTACAAGAAGTAATTGATTGCAATGCAAATGTATCATACGTTGGTATAACTCCTAGACAACATGAAGGAATCACCGCAAGCGCACATAGACGTGAAGGTCGTTAAGGTGTAGGTATTTAATTGTACTAACTAATTTATCATTATAATCGTGCCCTCGAGGGAGTAACGAAGTAATCTCAAAGTTGGCAACAGCTTCAAGTGTGAATTGTGAAGGGCGTGAGAAAGATATTATTTAGTTAATCGAGGACTCAACGAACACCCGTCCAATTTTGGGTACCACTTTCTGAGGGCGAGTTATTTCGGTAAATTATCGGCTGTTTCAAGTTTGCCTTTGATATTATCATTATAACGCTCGAGAGAAATTTTAATAGAATTAAATCAATAATCATTTCAACTATATTTTTGTAAATTTCGCAATCTGAGACATTGCAATGATGTTTGTGAAGGTTCTACTCGCTTACATCTGGATGCTGTGTTTCTTCATTGCCTTATCAGAGACTTCCACTGTTTTTCTTTCGATGTATCTCCGTTCTGCTTTTGTATTTGTGAGACTCTGCGTGAAATTAGATAAGAAAGTCTTTGAATTGACAAATCATACAAATCAATACTTGTTATTTTCCATATATCCAATGTACAGCTATTCGGAAAAGCTTTATAAAATAGCAAGATTTTGACGATATAAACTAAAAACGAAAGCTGTGTTCTGATTTTTCTACGAGTTAGTGAAGAACAATATATAATCACACAAGAAACAATGAGTAACAAAAAATTAGTTATTTACAGATGATCATAATACAAGTTATACAGGAATATTTGAGATTGATATTATTTAATATTTATGAAATTTACATAGTATGTATGTTGTTGCTACATTCAGCGGCGATGTAAACTGGAGGATCTGATGAAAATTAAATAATACTGTTTTAAATTCTTTTAAAATGAGTTTCAAATAGTACAAAATTTGCCTTGTCCTGATAATTTCGTAGTATAAGAAGATATGTAACTCAAAGTTTATGACTCATAACTTATTGGCTACTGTGCGAAAGGAGTCCGTGTTATAGATAAAAGAAAACTCTTTTTTATAACAATGAGTAAATTTATCAAGTTGTAAACATCTCACATCTATATCATGTAAATAAAACTATGATAATCGATTATCCATTCGTTATAAGAACGACTTTTTTCAACATTCCTAGTAGTTTCTTTTTTCTAAAACTATCGAATTATTGCGTCCGATGTCATCAGTATAATCCAATAACATCAAACACATCGAGTCTACCAATAAAGTAATGCGCTATTTAGTATCGCACTATTTGATAAAAAAAAAAATAAAACATACACAGTGGGATTCTCCTGATACTTTCCGGATGATTTATATGCACACAAGACGTATCGCAGAAAAACGTTCGCGTCTGACCAACATTTGATTATTCGTCCGGAGAAATTCTGGTGCCTCTACACGTTTGACGCAAGCACTGCGTCTTTACGCGATATCGACTGTCCATGCATCATGGCGACCGGATGCTTTAGTCATCTCAAAATATCGTCACTATAGGCGATCAATGTTAGATACAGCACGTAATAAATGGCGATGGTTCTTCATCGGTTATTCGTCAAAATGTCCTATGTTATTATTGAACAGTTTCGATGTCTTTCGTGCATAATTAGAAACATAATTTCAGCCGTCATCAAATTAACATGAGTATATCTCAAAAATAGTTTGGTTTTTCATCACGACGGGGTCCCATACTTACCTTAGCGTTGCTATCGCAAGCAAATTCAGGTCTTCTCGACTTTACCCATGCATAAACACTCTCGTCTGAAAAAACTCGCACGTCAAGCAAACTTCATTTTGCGGAACGCATGCAAAATTTACTACATATTCGCTTCGCGATGAATATTAAAGAGAATAATTTTAACTTTACGGCGACCCGCATATAATATCCCGTCAAAGATGTGCATCATAATATAACTGGTATTCTGAACATTACTGGAAATATAATTCATCTGTCGACCGTTCGAGTTGGGAAACGTTTGAACAATTTTTCATTGATGTACGTTTGAAGAAACGTTTTTTCAAGAAACGTTGCTTTAACGACATATTATATATAATTGCACACACAAATGGCATATTATATATAATTGCAAAATTATTATCGCTTTCAATCACAAAAAAAAAGACAACCTGTTGCTCGTGATCTCTACTTTACGAGAAAATCATTTCAGTCGTGCTGGCTCCTTCAATCATTTCTTTCTGTTTTTATCTTCTTTAAAAAACGCTATACGTTTTAACTTCAATGGCGACAATAGCGTAACCGTAAATTCTTCTTGGTCATTGTCTTTCGATTATAAACGTCGATTTAGTAACACGATTGGTTGTAAAAAGGTGGCGACGGCATATCTTATCGAACGTATATAAAGGATTTTTGCAATTTTACACTGCACCTCACTCACTTTATAGTACAAGCTTCGTTTGATCTTGTATAATTACATATATACACATCTACGACTATCATCTGTATAATTTTCTTTCATTAATAGTTTCATTTTTTTTCAAGATTTTCCTGATGCTAACGTGTGGGATATTCAACAGTTGCGCGAAGTTTTGTTAAAAGTTATGTTTCTTCTCTAGTTTATTCATCTATTTTAAATTAGTAAGCGTTTGTTCATAAAGAATATTGTAGTTTACAAACAAAAGAAGATCAAATCGATACTAATTTATATATTTGTATTTCGATTAATTAATTGATCTGTTGGCTAAACGGTAATTAATCAGATAATTATTACAATCACGCGCATTGAATAATAAACTTTTATGAGGGATGCAAGAAAAGAGATTTCGTTGTGTAATAATTTGAAAAGAAATGAAATAAAAATTCCATTATATGAACAATTGATTACTATTTTGATTTTTTGATTGGGGCTTGTAACCCCGAATTAAATTAGAGAAAATATGAAATTGACTATTCAAAGTTGACGTAAGTCTAATCGAACAATTAGGCTTCGTCAAAGTTATTTATCGGCCAATACACCAAATACGAAATAAGTCGATTAGCGAAGGCGATGCTTGCGTCGGCCGATCGAGAGAAAGAGAGAGAGAGATAGAGAGAGAGAAAGAGAGAGAGAGAGAGAGAGAAAGAGAGATTTGTGTGGTACGTGCCCGATGGTAAAAAGACCCCCACTCGAGTGCGTTCTCGCGGTCGCAGCCGCGCGGCTGAATGGACTGCTAGCGCCGTATGTCGCCAGGGCAAGCCTAGTCGAGCCGATCGCTTCGGTGTCGAAAGGTCGCGCGACCCGCCGAACGACCGCCCGCCTGTGATCCCGCACGAGGTAAATATCATATGTACGAGTGCGAGTATAAGTGTGGATATTTCGCTTGGGAAAGAGAGTGGGGCTTGCGCGACTCGACATACGACTGCGACGTACGTTACCAGTGTACTCGCGTCCCATTTCGGATGTGGTTTTGGTTTTAGAAGCCTTTGACGCTCGGTCGATTTTAACGACACTTGACCTCAGATAATTAATTGAATGTTTCATTATGTACTCACAGATTAATTTTTTGCGATTAGATTGTATAGTTATTTTGATTTGACTTTCGACAAAATTGCTTGTAATTTTAGTCGTACGAATTTCATAATTTGTTTCCTACCAATTAAGTTGCAATATTTATTGTCTCAAATAATTCTAAACGAATAGCTTTAAGAAATACTCCTTATCTAATGTACTCAAATGATCATTCTTCGTGAAACTCCGTTGAGATTACATAGTAACATTTCGTAATTCATAACATGTTTTTCACGCACAGTGCATTAGTTAAGACTGTCGTGATTTATTTTTCGAGAGTATAATGTTGAAAAGACTCACGATTCACAGTACAAAATTAAAAAAAACACTGCGATAGTAGAATGACCATTTTGCAAAGTTTTGGTATTTGTAGCTTTTTTCAATTGCAGTTTACATTGGAACTCCAAAGTCGAATCGAGGCGCTGATTTGCAACGAGCTCCCAACTCTTTAATACAAAATGAAAGTAACTTGTTTTTTCATGAATGTGAATATTTTCTACTTTTATAATAATATAATACATAGGAAAAGATCGAAATACGTTTGGATACACCGATATCTAATATTCCTGAGCAGTATGTTTCAATAATTCATTAATTTTTTTACTATTACGAGCTTTTGGCAATTCTACTTTGGAAATTCCATTTTTATTACGCATTTATCAGAGTATACAGCAAATTTTTTGCAAACCTCTCAGGAAAAACATCAGTAAAATTTATTTTCAGTTCGTATACGTCCGAATACATTAGACTTGAGAAACGAACAAAACATTCCAAAGCGGAAATACGTTTGAGCTTATTCGAAAAATTCAAGAGCGCGCACAAAGAGGAAAAAAGTACTTATCCATGAACGTCGCTCTAACTTACTCTCACAATACCTGTTTTTTGCGATCTCGCGATAAACTGTCGCACGAGACGTTATGGTCATTGTCATGTTAAAGCCACCCAAACGCGTTTCCGATAAACGACGAATGAGCTTAGAAGCTGACACACAAACTAGATGCGTACTGCGTTTATCGCTGGCTCACGCTTTACTGTGGTAGTAATGATCTCGGATGCGACGGTCGACTTTGCAATGGCTTATCACCTGATTGGGTATATTTATTACAATAAATTACAACTTCAGTTCTAAGTGGTTTGCGAAAAACAAAATTATTTAAAATAAGTATACTTCATACAATTTCCTACAACTTTCCAAGTAGTTGAGTGCCATATATTTGAAAGTGTAAAAAAATTAATCGCGGAATTAAACTATCTATCACTCATTATAATTACTCCATTGAAATACAATATTACAACGATATCTTTACAAAATCCATAAACTGTTTACGCAATTTTTTAATTTTGAAACAATTACTTTAATCCAAGTTTTCGAGGCCGTTTATCTGTTTTCGAGAATTAAAATAATTTACGAGAAGATTATAATGTTGATGGAAAATTGTTGCATCAGCTATTTCCTCAAGTTATGACAGCCTACAACGTTTGTCGGACTTCAATCTTTATGAAACGGGTTCGATATTCCAACCACATATCGGACTTAAGAAACTGATAAGTCCTTTTTAGCTTTCTTAGTTCAATATTTACGGTGTTCACATAAAATTTTTCTAGATTGTATGAAAACATTGAAAAATGGATGATTAGGAAATTTTATCCAATTGTTTGAACCTTAGTTGGTACGTTGGAAATTATGAGAACAAAGTTATGTATATACATTTTTTATACCATAAAAAATTCAATGTAGATAGTAAAAGGTTGAAGATAATTGTTTTTAATTTTTCATTTTATTAAAATAGTAATGACAAAATATTTAAAGAAAAAGTGTAAAATATAAAATATTGAAACGTAAAATATTATTACTGCTCGTGGAGCGCCACTATATAGATAGTAGATTCTATCATCTTATTTTATCGCATCTTAATAGGCTCATGCTAAATTATCAAAAGTATTAAAATAAAAATTACGTTGTAACGAAGATTGATGATGTTTATCCTTTTTTTCGATAAATTGCTATAACTATCTTTTTCGTATAAGCGATATTAAAGTGGATAGATTTTTAATTATCTTTGAAAATTCAATAGGAAATTTAAAGACATACCGCGTCGTATTGTCCGACTTTTAATGTTTATAACTTTATATTGATTAATCATACATTTAAAAGTTGTATCGAGGAACGAACCGTCTGCGAAGCTTGCTGAATGCTGATATACTTGAATAACAGAGAAAAATCACGTAAAATCAGCATCCATATCCCTACGTCAGTTCATCATCTGTGCAGCTTGCGTCGCCTCGTCGCGGCGGACGAGCTATAATATACAGCACCCGTGCACCGCACAGCTACACAACCGAGTTAGAAGGCGGAAACTAGCTCGCTTACAGCCCTCCGTGCAGCGACACGTACGTGCCCGTATTTATGCCTATGTAAATTGGCCGTGCCACTGTGGCTCTCGGCACGCGGCTCTAAGCGAAATCCCTCTTCTTGGTGTTCGCCGAGACTGCTGCCAGCGTTGCAAGCAACATGCGACATCGTCATTGTTTGCTATTCGATTAGGCTGAAAGCTTGCGTGTTTCCGAGTATCGCTGCGCTGATTTCATTGCTGCTATCTTCAGAAGTTGCCGGTCGAACTTAACTTTAGCGATTTGGCGGTAACACCTGTATGCAGATTGATCAGCTTTTATAAGCGTACAGCAATGAAAACGTCATTGCCGGTAGTTATTTATTAACCCAACAAATGGCTAATAAAATAAGATTACATCAAAACTCATCAGGGCGAGAACTGCAAGTCTTATCGACACCTGCTACGTTCTCTAAAATTCATATACTTGAGCATATACTTCAGCTAATAGGTAATACATCCGCAGATGTTTATACAAACGAAAAGTATTCTTTATTCTCATCGTTTATGCATGAAATTTTCAAGACTCAATTCTCCATACGTTTGGATAACTGCGAGGAGAGCAGTCGTATATTTAATAAGAAAAATACCATACTCTTTATTGAATGAGAGTAAATTACGACTTCGAACTCTCGTCCGTTCCACCCTTAGTAATATATCTAGACTTTCATCGATAACAATGATTGATATAGAGCCGCGATGGCATAGGGATTTCCAGTGTATATACCTATGACTATTTCCCAAAAAATATATATGCCAAAACCAACACCACCATTTTCACACTAGCCTATAAACTGTAAATCCGGAAACCGGGAGCTGACTGTCTTCGTTTTCTATAGTCGTTCGTTATGAACATAGAAGTAAACATATGACTATTTTTGAATGCGGTAGTCCGCTGCTTTTTGCAAAGTTCGGAATCAAAGCATAGTACGAAAGAATATTTGTGCTGATAGGGTCCGCATCACAGAGCTAATAGACGAGGCGTCGTTCGTTTCTGCAGGCTAATCGGCTGAAACACAACTAACAAGTATTTAACAAAAAATGATTATTCGTCGGAAGAGCGAATAATCATTGTACTGGAAAAAATTACCACCGATATATTTTGATTCCTATTTTGCGCTAAAGTAATTCGAAGCCATTGTATGCGGACATTTTATCACAAAAAATTTTTATATCGGACAATGAATTCAGCTGTCATTGATGTAGTCTACACAAATTGCTATCGTAGATCACCCGCACCCTTGCTACGTGTATATAAATATACAAAATACGTGTAAAAACGCAACCATTTTTTGATGTATAGCTTGCGCTAAAGCGCTAAAGCAGTTCGAGGTCATTTCGCGTAGCCGTTTCCTCGGAAAAAAATTAGAAATTGAATATTAGACCTGTTGTCACTGATGTAAATAAAAAAAAAGTTAATGTTATCGATGTAACCTGAACTACGTATCAAAAGGCATTTCTCATAGATCTGCAAAATACCCAGTTTGTTTCATCAAAGAATAATCGTGGAGCACAGAATTCTTTTTTAAAAAATATTTTGCGTATATACCAATATGTCATGGGGAACTTAACAAAAAATAAAATGCGTGCCAATAACAACTTCTGCATTAATAACAATGCCACGGTTTGTTTATGTGTTTTAGAATGGTGTTGGTAGTGAACGGTGTATTGCAGGACGATGTGCCTCCAGACAGCCGAACCCTTTACACAGCTCATCCCGTATATCGGGACACCGCTGCTCAATTACACATGATACCGGTCAAACTGGTGGGTCCCGCGGGTCTTCTCTACGTGCAACAGAGAGAAATGGCGGCTACCTTGCCACACGACAGTAAGTAGACAATAGCTTATAATATGTCGAATATGGTCTAATATGTCGAATCGCAATTTAATTTTTAGAAAACGTCACGATTCTCGGTTCGGATGACATGACTACGTGTATAATTATCATTCTAAGGCATTCTGGTAAGTTTAAAAAACTATATTTTCTACGAGTACACATTGTAAAATTATAAAAATTACTTTTTCGAAAATTTCAATGACATTTTAAAGGAAGTTGTTTAACCAAACTTCATTAGTGAAGTTGTCAAAGTGTCTTTCCTTGACGAGTTATTTGGTTACGACAAGTCATTTCATGAACGCATTTTCGACAAGGATACTTTCTTTTGCCTATCTCTTCGAATCGTTACTCACAGAAAGCTCGATCACCTGTAACTTTCCGTCTGGCGCGTTAAAAGATCGGGCGAACAAGTACTCGTATATCTACACTACAAAACGACCCTGTTTTGTTTTTACCTGTCTTAAGTATTTTACGTACTTTCGTACGTGCTGTGGACAAAAGCTAATCGTAACGTTGTATTCCATGAGTCATTTTTCATGATGCATTTGGTGTTCGACGTGCCTTCAAAGTTCTGTAACTAATTGAACGACCCCAATGTTAACGGACAGTGTCGACAGTCATAAATAATAATCTTTCATGTGTTATATTGTACGCAGAGTCCTACAAAATGGAACAGTACAACAAAATAAATCGATGACAGATACAAGTAATTCATCCTCGCGACGCGTTCAAATGATCAATGTTTCAAATTTGAAATAATGTGCTTCTATAATATTTCACAAGTCTGTTCAAAGTATTTTACATAATATCCAGCTAATAAATCGAATATTCAACGTTTATATTAATCGTTTTATTCTTCTTGTAATCCGGTAAACATTGTGTTTCCACTCAGACAAAAAAAATATAAAAAAAGACAACTAACTTAATTCACTTTAAAAAAATATCGTAGCTCTGATCGTTCATTCGTTCTTAATAACTACATTTTTTATTAAGCCGTAACCAAAAGGCGATAAATTGAAACATTGAATGATAGAAGCACAGCGATAGCAGAAACTGGGATACGGTAAGTGTTGTGAATCGGTAAAAATATTACATTTTTGAGCTGCGTATCTTTATAGCAATTCCTCATAAATTTATTTCTCGCGTATATTGTCTTCGTGGTCGTATGTACAGTCCGAGCAAATAACATTTGTATCTTGTCGACAGAGGATATTTACGTTGAAGTAAGTATCGACGATGACGAGTTATTTCGAGATAACGAGGAACGAAAGTGCACGGCACGAAGTGCTTTTGCATTCGATTTTTGTCGCTAATGCACTGAAATTTCTAGAGAGACGCTTTTCTTCTTTATGCTATGTCTCTTAGAACTTTTCTTCGTGCATTTAACTATTGGTTTCTGTCGTGCCTCTGATGTGTATAAAATTGTTATCACAATCTGAAATTTTACTTGGCATTGCAAGAAAAAATTGAAATTTCCTATAAAAATATTAAATGTCGAACAACCGTCAATATTCAAATTAAGCAACTATAAACGCATCAATAAATTGTTGAATAACAGGCTCGGGAGCAGCAGCAATGGCACATTTGGACGGCTCGGGCACGCAAGAAGCGGTGATACAGATGATACACAAGGTATCAGAGTTGGCGCTCGGTTATCCCGAAGGGCGCTTGGAGTTGCAGTTGATAGGCGGCTACGCTGATCCTTGCAACTACTCCGAAGAACTTTTCTACAATATTTTATGTAAGTCCGCTGCTTCAAGACTGCTGTTGATATGCAATAAATCTCCTGCTTTGCCAGAGACAAGTGCAGATTCTCCGGATTATATATTCGGGTAAAAAGGCATTAAATGCTTTTGACACTTTCAAGGTGCCATTCAATTTTAAGCCGTTTTTTTTTCGATTCAGTTTATTTTATTTGTTTTATATTTCAGCCTATCAATTATGAAACTATAAGTACACGCGCGCAAGTAACATTTTCATATGCTTCTGTTGAGCGTATTTTATCGATCTTTATCAAAGCTCGGTTCTTGAAATATTCAGTGATAAGGTACTTTGGCATTGAGCCAAGGCACATTTGAAGTTATGAAAGTAATTCAAAAAGTAGATATGTTTCATTGAAGTGTCAGATTTTTATCTATTCATAAAAATTTATAGAACTGAGCATTATTTGACTTCAATTATTCATCGTAAAAAGTTATATACGAATTTTTATTCGTCACTGTAAAAGCAAGCTTTCGAAAATTCTTGCATGCTGGTCTACATTTAACCAGCTAAATAACTTGTTTAATGTTTATTTGCTAGCGGTCTTTCACAAGCAACCCATCGAAATTGACCTGACGCTGTGCTGTGTGGGCGAGTCGAACACGACGGTACGTGGCGGCATTCACTGGCCAATGATTTACGGAGTCGGGCTCAACGTGAAAACCGGCGAAATCTTTCCGGCCACTTTTCCTGACAAGGGTCCCGAGCAGCCTCTCAGAAGCGCCAGGCATCTAACTGGTGGAGAGGAGGTAGCGCTTTCTTCGTTGATTTCGTGAGAGCTTACTACTCTTCCGCTTCGGAAAGTTTCTAACTTTATTCAATGGTTGGCGATTTAATAGAGTCGTTTATTCAATTTATCACAATCAATATTCTTTACTGCAAGCTCACTTGTACGAGCTTGACTTATGCAATGATACTAAAATCACTTGAAACTTATGAAATTATTTGAAAATCGTACACAAATTCATATGAAGATACTCGAACGTAATTGAGTTAAAAAACAATGCAAAGCTTTATGCCAGTTATTAAGAATTTACACAAAGTCACCGCAAACGTATAGTGAAACTCTTCGCAGACTGCGCACTGTATGTGGTATTCAATTTTGTGACAGTAGCTCGTGCTTTGAACTAATTATCGGAATTATTGAAGCCCGAAAAGTTACTTAGTATACTATTATTGTTTTACGGTGTACACGATTTACGAACTCATCGTATGTTTGTTCACTGCAATTTCCTTTGCAATTATGCAATAACCCATTTCTTCTATTTCAAGACGTCAAATTGAACTTATCATGTAAATCAATAATTTTCAGGTACTGGATATTTACGATTGCACGCTCGGCCTTTTGAGAATTGGACCGTTTAATTACGATCCTTTACGCGGAGTTGACCTGTGGCTCGCACAATCCGATCAATTCATTCTGCAACATTTGTCAACGTCACCGGAAGTCGAACTTCCTCATTTTGTCTCTCAGGTAGATGTACTCTCGATGATATCAATTCGTTATATTGAATGTTGAGAAAATAAAATAAATGAAGTTATAGCAAAAATGAAAGTAAGAATTCAACGGCAGTATTTAGTTTTCAAGCGTTATTTTATTTTTGATAGCATTTTTTCTTGAATAAAATATAAATCAAATTAAAATTTCAGCACTTATGTGAACTTTCTTTTTCAGGTCAGAGCGACGCTAAAGTACATACGGCAAAATCCGTTCCCGGCCGTGACGGTATTCCGTGACAACAGGCCACATTATTACCGGCGAGACGAAACCACCGGCTTATGGCAGCCTATACCATATTAGCTTTCTAACGCTCACTCACCTGACTGCCCGTGAAACCTGCGAATTCTCGATCAGCGCGTGATAATGTTTCTATTCAGCCTTGTTAAATTTAATTCTTACTAGCGTTGCTATTCTCTGTGGGGAGCTTCGTGAATCGTTGTGAGGTCATAATTCATTATACAAAATTTCTTTCATTTCATTGATTTATTTAAACGAGTCAATTTTAAAAAGTCTTTTTGTGAAAACTTTCGATATTGTGAAAAGTATGCTTTAAATGTGCAAAGGGAGGGGGAGGGGGGAATATATCCGCAAAACACAGCCAAATGCACCACTGCTATGCCCCCTGCGATTTATTAAAGGGTCCTACTTCGGTGAAGGAAGCCGGCGCTGACTTCCACGGGCACGAATCTACCGCGACGACGGGGAAAGGTGAATGGAAGAAGTCGGAATAAATACAAAGAGGCGATCCCTTTATTTACGCCATCGGAAAATTACATTTACGTATTCTTACAAATTACAATGGTGAGCGCATTCGCTCAATCCACAGAACGCGACAGCAGGCGGCGAATAGGAGCGTATTCGCTCAACTATCATACGCGACGAGTCTATAATATTTAGGAGCGGATTCGCTCAACTATCAAACGCGACAATTCAATTCGCGGCGTTGTACCGGGCGAGAGCTGGTACGTGAGAGAGAGATCCGCGGAATAGAGCAGAATCGAACCCACCGGGTAACTCCTCCCGCGGCTCGCTGGTAGAGAGCCGGCGTCGGCGAAATCGTAGTCCAGCCGGCAGTGGAGCTCGTCGGATCACCGGCGGCGGCTGGTTGGCGGCTGGCGGCCGGGATCGGCTCCTCGATCGTCTGATGGTGATCGCCGGGGGAGCTGCTCGAACAGCAGCCGGAGACTTGCCACACAAAGACTCTCTCTCGTCCTGGGTTTCTCTCTCTCTTGGCGCGTTGTCCAGTTTCTCTCGCCCCGTGACCTGATTAGCCTACGGTCACTCTCCAACTCTTTCAATCTTTCCCGCTCTCGTAATTCTCGCGGCGCGAGCCGCGCTTTTCGCGTTCTCGCTTATTCCTCTTCCTCTCTCGCTCTCTCTCTCTCTCACGCTCTTCGCGCTCTCGCTCTTTCTTACGCCGTCTTCTCCGCCGGCCGCGCTCTCCCCTCTCCAGGCCCTGCAACGACCCGAGCGCGTGAATGCTATGTCAACCATAGCCACGATCGGCCGCTACATCCGTGCGAGGAGAGTGCCGCGCACAGGGCTAGCGAACATCGCTATCAGCCCTATCACAAATGAACGCCGACTCATACATTGCAATAATTTTTCTTGATATCGTTCCACTGAGTAGGATTGAAGTTTTTCAGTTTGAATTTGAAACCAGTGTCTATTTTGTTTTCATAAAGGGCGTTTTACGTGTGAATTATTACTAAGCTTTAATGTTGAAATAGCAAATAAATAATTTGCTTTTTTACTTACTTATTTGATCGAGATATTTTATCTAGAACTCCGTCAGAGACTTAATGTGTTGTATAAATTTGATCATTTTCCTTGAAAGGAAATCAATAAAACGTTTGTATATGTGATTGAAAAAATGTATAACATTGTTAATATATTGCTTCAATATTCAATTGAATAAATATTTAGAATAAAATATATAGATCAGCAATAGTATTTATATCAATGAATTGAGCATTTTTTGTTTCACTACATTTTAACAGCTAAAAAAAAATTTTTGTAATTAGAAAAGTACAAAGAAATGCCCAACATTGTGTAGAATAAAATAATTAGTAATATGTGTTGCAAAATGATCAATAAACATCTTGCTATGATCATTTATTTAGTACTTTACTTTACCTCTACAATACAAATTTTCACATCTAGGGTAAGCAAATACTTGTATCAAGAATACTTTATTCTAGTAAACATTGTATTGTAATTTGAAGAGCATTCAAATGTGTTATAAAAGTTTGAAAAAACTTATTGATAAAGAAAGTGATTGAAACTCCATCCGTCAAAGTACTTGTAATTGACTTGAATTTATGAACTATATAGCGAACAAAAATAGTAAACATCTCCGTATTTTGATAAATGAAGATAACATTAAATATATTTATATTATTGTAAAAGTAAATGAAATTAAGTTAGTTCTACAAAAAGTATACACTCGTGGAGTTCATATTGCATTGTAATTTTTTTTGCTCTTGAACGAAAAACAAAGAAAATTATACTGAAAATATTTGTCTAAATATTATTTGACCATCATTATAATAATATAAAATTTTACTCTGAAATTAAATTATTAATACGCATTATAAATTGCACGTTAATCTAATAAATTTAAGAAATGATAATATTGTCCTTACTTTTCATTCCCATTCGTCCTTATTTTCAGAAAAATATTTGAAAAAAGTACTATGTTATTGACTCAAAAAAATAAATTCAATACTGCAATATCATGAATCTCTGCAACAAAAATACTTTGCATTCACACTGACCTGAGACCGAAAACGCGAAATGTTCGCGTCAAATCATGGATCAAGAACTGTACTTAAAGATAGTCGAAAAGGTATCGCAAACTTATTATGATTAGAACGGGAAAGTCGAAAGTTTCGTTTCACATTTGCTCGCCGGACTCATCAGCATGGCTATTGGGAATAGGCATTGCCATGGACATTGACATCACAAAAATATCAAGTATATTAATTTTCACGCTTCACGAACGAACGAATTGAAAACAATTCACCTCGTTACTGACTCAACCTGTTGTTTCCTTATCGTTAATTTTCTCTTTTTCCGTGAGCCATCCTTTCTCTTAGCTTTTCCGCACAAGAACGCCTTGGCTTTTCCGCGCATTTTTCAAATGACACGATTCAGTTTTTGTTGTCATTCTTTAATAGTTGTCTGTAACATGAACTCTAGTGATATTTTCTCTATTACTGCCGATCTACTTAGTGCAAGATTAATCGCGATTTGACGGACGAAGCAACAAGATCAATTCCACAGAGTCACAACTTCTAGTGGTAATCCCAAGTGTCCCGGCAATTAAGGCACATACACTTACTAAGACGAATCGCCCATGCCGAGTACTATCAGCGAGCTGCAGAAATTTCACTTTCAGATTCATGAGTTGAAGCTTGCAATCCGATTGGCCTTAGCTCCCGTTCGTTATATTTGCTCGATTTATCCCTCTTAATTGAATCAGCAATGCTGCACTAACCTGTATTTTTTCATGAAAAACCTTTTTCAGCTGCTTTTTACTTTGAACAAATAATAACATTTAATTAAAAAATAAAAAAGCTACAATTAATTAACAGAAGTTTAAGATAAAATGCAAATCAATTTACTATATTTTTATCTGTATCGCAAGCCCTATGATACACGAAAGTACGTGTCATGTTTTATTAAATATATACAAATTTCTGTACCATAGATTTTTTATATTTTCTTTTATGAAAACGAACTTTTAGGTATAACTTTTTCAAAATTGAACTTGAGATTGCTTTTCGTAAAACTTAGATTTTCAAGCAACTCTAATTTTCTTTAAGATTTTTTATTTTTTCATAAATTTTATGTTATTATAAAAAGTCATCTAATTTTTGCGTACATTAAGCAACGCCGCTGCCAGGAACAAACTTGTTAAGACTACTATAAAATTACAAGAAATAAAATGTTCGATTCCGTTCATTTAATTTCATCAATCCTTCGAAACACTAACCTCGCGAGGATTTCGCGGGGGAAGAAAAAAAAGTGCATTCGGGGAATATAATGCAAAATTTTGTCTTTTTATTTTTGTCACGCTTCATGAAGAATGCAAAGGTCTTTCGTACGATTACGTACATCAGTACTTCTCGTGCATATGAACCTACATATGCGGAGATACGTTTTTGACAAAAGGCTCAGCTGCCGTCGTACCGTGATAAAAATTTAGAGCATTTTCAAGAATATAAGCATGATGTGTTCTACACGTAGGAATTTGGTATAAAACGAGATATATTGCGCGAATTCTCGCAAGTAAATAAAAAGAGGCCACATCCTGGAATACGTACGGAATATTAATATTTGAAATATTGAGCTAAATACACCCGAAATTACTTTTACACGTAATATGCGATAAAAAAGGAACTGCGGATAACAGCACTATACTTTTGGTAACACCACAGGGCGTGAAAGTGATTTTAGCCTTCGTGTAGACGTTTACCCCCCCCCCCCCCCCACCGAGGGAAATAAGAGTAAAAAAGTCATACGACTGGAATCACTTATTCGTGTCGAGCGTATATTGAACATTATACTCTGCATGCATGGCCTGTATAAAATCCAATATTGCTCAGGTTTTGTTGTTCCCGGCAGATTATCAAAGAATGTGGCTGAAAGTTACACATTAATGAATTGCAAAGTTATAGATTGCATTTTTATCAGGATGTGTGCCCTTCAGCAATTTTATTTGAGTACAAGGTTTATACAGTGAAGTAATCTGGATAAAACAAGTTTCTGAAGCAGTCAGCTGGCAAATATAAGCTTTAAATTGGTTGGCTTTTGAATTTCAGCTGGACGGTGAGTTATATTGAAAAACGCGCTTAACGTTTGTCCGCGATGATATTCCGCTGCACGAAAGTTGAATGCATGGTTAGTAAAACTATAATCATTTTTATTTTTCATTCAAAATGAAAAGAAATAAACCGCTCCCACAGCTATAAATTAGTCAGTCAAAGGTCTGATGGTCAAAAATTGCAGCATTCCCCACAACCATCACGTTCAATACGAAACATATCACGTAAAGATAAAAATAGTCTTCGCGCGAGGCAATAAACTATAACCCTCAATATTTCCAAAAAATAAAAGAGCAACAACACAAAAGCTCAAGGCGAAATGGCCTCGCGTCGCGTCGTCGCGCAGCCAAAGCACGTGCCATTGTAAATAGACACATATGTACATCTAAGAGGACAAATCGGATAAACGTCTCTTCTGTACGAGCCCACTTGTACATTACAGTCGGCCAGCTAACGTGCTGGTACTGGCAATAACGAGAGGCATATTCAATCTCGTGTGGTCCTTTGATGTGTGTGCGTGTGCGCGTGTCTGGCGTGTCTGTTGCATCTCCGTCGCATGCGTGCGTAGTTTGTCGTGGAGCAGGAGAGGACTCAATTATTCGTGCCTTAAAATGGTCAGCAAGAAGATGGTGCTTTGATAGATTTCTAACTTCGAAAGGAAGTTTTTAATTATCAGCGGCGCGATCCGTCCCTCCGACATTTTCCACAACGAAGCGTTAAAATCTTATCGACCGACTCGGTATTAGAACAATGGTGAACATTACGGTGGCTTATCTCCGCTAACCAAATAACATGGCATTGCTGTGCAATTTGCGATAACATAATACAGTCGCGAGCTCGAAGTAGTCAAGTTGTCGACTGATAAAGCGTTCCCGCTGAATGCTTGAACGATGTTTAAATTGGCACACACAATAAGTAGCTTCATGAAAATGTAATTACAGCGGCAGCTTGCCTTGCACTTCAAAGAAAGCTTTAAGCTTGACAGCCACTACATCCAATATATTCAAAGTACCCGCGTGCCCACTTGCGTGTGTCAATGTTTGAACGGCGCCTTTCGTGTTCTTCGTGTTATTGTCAAGTAGAATGTTTACCCGTGTAATGCAACTCTACGCTCAGCTGGACACACGTACTTTATATAACGAATTATTATCTCTGGGGTAACATTTCGTGCGTTAACATGTTCGATTTTTACGATCAACTGGTTGATTGATGTGTTGTCGCACGTGGCGTTCTGGTTTCTTTTAATTCTGACCATGTAATACATGTGACTTACAGAGCCGTTTTTATTCTTATTACCATACATTTATACCCTATAAAAATTTATAACTACAGTGTATTTCTAATTTTTTTTCTTCGAAAGATAAAGTTCTATAAAAAGGTAATCGAACGTGATATTTTCAAAGCTAGTTGCTTACGAGCTGTCGGGACGAAAAACAATATCAATAACAAGTATTGAATTCTCGAATATCATATTGTAGTCCTAAATAATTTACAAAAGCATGAATTACGCAACAACAAGCATATTTAAAGAATCGAATGCTCCTGACTATCCTGTATTCGTGATACAATGTATCAGAAATATGACCTTTCACGCCAACACAAACATATCAGAGTGTACAGCCCCGTGAAAATAAAAGACTCGCGAGGGAAAATACGGCACCAACACTCGATGTCGATTGAACCCCTCTTGGTGAGAAAATGTATCTGCGCGCGCGCAAGTACGCAGCTTCGGCGGCGGCAGCAACGTGCTCTAACGCCGAGGGTATAGCAGGCAGTCGCGCGACAGTGCCGCTTAGTGTTAACGCCGAGACGCTTCGCCGTCGTTGTCGCATGATTCCTCGAGCTCTACTACTTACTCCGCGCGCTTGTTGCTTATTTGTTTTTAATACTCTCTTAAAACGTTGTGGTGTTTCAGTGCGCCGTCTTTTATTCTTTGTGACTGACATTTATTGGTGAGTAAATTATTATTTTTTAATTATTAAATGTCGTTTTTTATGACGTTCAGTGTCTATAACGAACTGATCTTCCTAGCTTTCACTTTTTTATAATTTGTCTTGTTAAAAATCAATGAGATACAGCTTTTCAAATAAATCTTTACAAAAACATCCTTTATTTATTTACTATTTAGGAATGAAATCACGGAATAAACATCAATACAGTTCTATCGTACCACTAACGGAATATCAATATTATAATTATCAACTATTACACGTACATGCAATTATTAGCGTATTATGCACGTACTGCTACACGCTTCGATGACATGATTATAATATTTCCATTCAGAAATTTCCGTAAATATCGTAATACGCATTGGTCGATTGTTCAATTAGATTAATTTTTTCAAATACTATTCCTAGATATCAGTCTACTTACTATTCACTCATGGAAAATAAATTGACTTTTGCGAGGAAGCAAATTTATATATTGTAAAATCGACCATCATATTTAAATAATCTATTAATCATCTCACTCTCATGTTGCCTATCTTCATAAATTATTAATCTACGCTATAAGTGCTTACATTAGTAAAATGCACACCTAAGTCCTATTGTAAATCTACAAATAGTTAATAATGTGTTATTGCAGATAACATACTTAAAAACGTAAAATCATTTCTTTTACTATGAAATTTCAGTCTACAAAAGGAAACCATTTCTATGATATAAATCGAATTTGAAAATGTTTCTTTATACATTTGAAACAAGCAAAAGTTATTTATTGAATTTTTAGAGGTTAAAGAAATCTATTAATTTATACACTCAACACAAGCTCGTTGATTTTTGCGCACAAAATGATATACAATAAATCTTGCCTGAAATCCTATGTAGTTACATACCAGTTGAATAATCAAGAGTGCTACTCCTCTCGAAAGTGTTAATATTTCAAATGATGCAAGTCAAACAGAAAGGCAACACATTGGTTGTATATGTATTTTTAATTTTTAAAAATAAACTTGTTTTTTATATCCAAGTAAATATTCATACGGAGATCGATGTAATTTAATTCGATCGCGCGTTAAATAAATATTATCGTTTCTACTAGGAGTAATATTCATTCATTTAAACAAAATTACAAAAAATAATATCCAAAGAGTCAGTAAAAACCTATAAAAAATAACATATCTTTGTCTATCTAATTGTCTCCCCATCTTTATCAAGTTTAGGATATTGCCTTCTTATTCAGGATTCAATTTCATGCTGACAAAATAATATTGCTACTCTGTTTTCCATCTCTTTAAAAATTCCTTGATGTCATTTAGTACGTGTACATCTTATTGCTCAACTTGCATGCAAACTTTTATGAAACTGCGGTTAGAAAACTTTCCCGACTATACCAGTTATAACTACAGATGGAGATAAAAATACATTTAACGATGTTTAAACGCTGCAATCCAAAGTTTAACATATTGTTCGCAATTCAGGCATAATTTTAATTGAGGTAAGTTTGTTAGTTTTGCTGACCTAAATAACTGTTGAATTTTAATATTTTTTCAAATTTAACTACACACGCATATTTAAAAAAATTCTTTCATACGTTTATTGTCCAATTTTGAAAGCTTACAAAGCTTTGAGTTTTAATAAGCCAAATTATTTTCAACGAAATTTCAGTTTATTGCAAACAAAAACTGAATCATTATTTGAAAAAGGCAATCACAATAAATATATGAATAGTCAATATTAGGACACCGGAGTATTACGTAATAGTAATTACGTAACAATATATAGTTCGATTTTAATTGTATCAATATTTGGGTGAACGAATATTTGCGTTTGCTAAAAATCGTTATTCACTATACAAACAGCAGCGCGTAAAATCGTTATTTTGATAGCGTGCAATACTATTGCAAAAACAAGCATCTGAGAAATCATACATATACTGTTTTTTAGTAAAGCCATTTGAAAAGAATAGCCTTTACAGTTTGAAATACTCATAGCAAAGTAGAAGGCAAAAACAATTTGCGTGAAAACCACCTCAAACAGACAAAACTTTCTGACCGCGCAATAATCGAGAAAAGTTGGGCGGCCACTCTCTCTGTTTGCCCTGGTGAGCGCTCCGAGATTTCCCACGCCGCTCGCTTGCGCGCGCAATTTCTCCTTCTCTTCCCTCCTTATTTTCCCGCTCGACCAACTCGCCAATATCGCTCTTCATATTTTATGGCGATCACATAGAGTCTCGACCGTCGTGCTCGACTTGTTTTCTCTTTTGTTGCTCAGATTAGATTTTATTTCTTCCTATGTATCAGCGATTCTTTTCTCCAACCACACGAGATTTTTTTTATCCAATCCAGATGATCTATTACTCAGTGTTTAACTAACGCTGATAATCAAACGCATTTTACTAATTCGAAACTCGTATTTATTTTAATTAATCACCGAAGATTTCAATACACTACGCATACTTATAAGTTGATGTATTAAAATTTTGAATGAATCACAAAAAATAATAAGGTCATAAAATTATAGAAAGTCCTAATGAAAAATGAAATTATCTATTCCTTTTGTAACCGATGAAAAATGTTTTAAAGTTGTCATACGTTACCAAAGTAACTGATGTCAACTGCTATGATCGATATGAGCGAACCCCTCGATAAGTAGAGTATAATCGACAAATAGCTTTATTATTTTCGTTCGATCACGATAATTAAGCCATCATGTATATAAATTCTGAAAAAAAATTGAAATTTGCTGTTAACTTTCCATTCAAATGGTCGAATAATCCAGTATAAGTCGATGGCAGAAATGATAATCAAAAACTGCTCAATAGAAATAAAATTAAAAATTCTATCAGTAGAAGATTAAAGTTATATATGGGAAAAGGTCAATAAGCTCATCGACGCAAGTTTTATTATTTTATTTTTATCGATCGATCTCATCTTTAATCAATGGAGCGCGCCGAGATTATATGACGTAAGATGTACGGCTATTCGAATCTTAGTTCTCTCTCTCTCTCTCTCTCTCTCTCTCTTTCGTGTGCAGATCCTGACAACCACGTGTTCAAGTCCCTAGAGAGGCACAAAAGCAGAATGGAATATGAAGAAAGTAGCTCCCTTGCGCTCTACTTTTCTCTCTTTTGTCTTTTATTCTCTCTCTCTCTCTCTCTCTCTCTCTCTCTCTCTCTCCCTCATTCTCACTCGGCTCGGCAGACCTTGATTTCTGTCTTCAAGAGCGTTGATTTTTCTAAGTGCATTTTCTCTATTTCGCGCGTCATAAACTTGAAAAAAATTAGGTCGGCAGACTTCATTTCGTCGACTCTTCTGAGATTGTTTTTTTAGGTGATATTAGTATAACTTCTAAAAGCCCAATACGATTCAACCTATTTTATTGAAAATTTACTACATACAGTCACATTTGAATTCTCCGAAACTAACTTATGTATGCAGTTTTCGATTTATGAAATTCAAGAATTTGAAGAATCAAATTTAAGAAAAAAAAACTACTATCCTCAACGATTTATACAAGTAAATATTAGTATAATCCTTAGTCTTTTTTTATCGAGTATTGCAATTGTGCTTGTGTCCTAAGTCTCATGGGGATGAGTGGATACAAATAAAAAATACAATAGTCACTTAAAGTATAGAGCTCGGCCATTCGATATATAGCATAGATTGAAGTGACCTTAATAAAATAATGGGATAGCAGCGAGGAAGAACGAGCCGATAAGAAAAGGAAAAGCTAATAATTTATTGACTGGTGTATATCGTTCGTAGCAGTTAGCGAGTTGAGAACCATTCAAAAGCTTGCTGTTTCACGTTGGTGTGTTCTTGTAAAACTTCATATATATATGAAGCCGTCGTAAGAGCGAAGATTGAGAGAGGCTTAATACTTTATTGAATACCTTATTTGTAATCCATACAATTATTACATTGCGAAAATGAAAGGAATCCACTGATGTATCACCAATCAACAGGATTTGATCCCTCAAACAAAAAAAAAAGAAAAACTCAGTCGAACTGAACGTTGGTTAAAGTTCTTCATTATTATTTAAGCCAACGCGCTTCCACACTTTGCAAAAGTTCTGTCGTATCCTCGTTAAATCTGTTTACGATGTGTCATTCAACGCGAGCATAAAGTACAAGCACCCAAGCACCGCTAAAAAGTAAATATTCTTTATTTTACTAAAACGTCAATCTTTATATGCACGCGAAATTTATTTTAATTTTTTATATGCTTGAGGGTTTTTTTTACCACTTTCTGCATTTAATAACAAAAATTTGAATAGCTTGCCTTTAGACATTAACTTAGCACGGACTGACATTTATTCTGAATGGACATTATGAATATTTCACTTTGACTGAAATGAATACTGCAAGTAAATTAATAAATGTTAATGTAATTAATTCTTGCTATATTAATTTATTTGTACTCACGTTTGATAATTATTTTATAATGATTAAAGATTATCATGGCTGATAATCATTTTTCATGCGCATCGACAGTTTAGCACGCATTGGACATTATCTTTCTCATGATTCAACATTAATTTATGCAAGCAAACATGCAATTGTAGTTTTGTCACTGCACAACTATAATAATATATGTTCATGTAAATTCAAGCATACGCGTAAAAGTAAATCGAGAGTAGAAAAGGGAGACGAAATGTTTTAGCTTCTCTACGAGTGAACGTGATTATACTTTTATGAAGCATTTGCAGAAATGATAACACTTTTCCGTTGAAAAATTTTTTCTCCAACGAAGAGAAAAAGCTGAGCGTCCGATAATGAAGTAACCTGTACCATATGTGTACGTGTATGCTGAAAATTTATGATGCTTAAACTTTCCATCGAATCTTTCTTACATGCACACACACACATCTGCTATCAGCTTGGGCAGCTGTCGTGAAATATCGTTTAGTAAACTCTAGTGATAATTCACCGAGGAAATTTAACTGCTATCCACGCTTCTATGTTTATATAATAGTGCTATCGATGAATTTATGGTAAATGTAATGT